GACCATACCAGCAGCTGGTCCAACGCTCGTAAACCCAGCGGCGTGCATAAGAGGTCCAGTAACTATGCCGGGGCAGAAAAAGGTCCCAACTTGCACCGCTCCCCAGAGAACGCTTTTTGGGTTCTCGGAAACATATTGTACGGTTTTGTTCGGAAGATTTGACCAGTCTACCTGGGATGCTTGGTCCACCACATGATTTGCAAGTCCTTTTGAGGTGTTTAGGAGGGACTCGGTGGAGAGATTGGACGGTTGGAGATGTGCTACGATTTGATGCAGTCGTTCCATGATTCTGGAGAGAGAATGCTCGAAGCACTGCAGCTGAAGGGAAGGTTTATGGATCGAGGAGTAACTGACCAGACGGAGTGTTCTTGTAGGACTTAGCGCGCTGAGCCACACCGACTAGTTAGGCAGAAAAACAGTTAATACTCAATGAAAAGCAATGTCTCGGGGATTGAGGGGTAGAAGGGGCGTAATGACAAGGCCGTCGATTTACTCGATGTTTTCCCTGCATACGCGCCTACTCGCTAACGCATACGACGACCGCGGCAAGGCGCATTCATCCCGTAAAGATCAATTTACTCAACCAGTTAAAACGTTCCTTTCTAATTGTTCAGACCATCTATCTTGCATACATGCAACCCATTTTGAATCCAGCAAAAACAAAATCAAAGACCGAAAGGAGGAGAGAAGCGCGAAAGAGCCCGATCACGCTTAGTGAGAAGCGCGGGATCGAGCCAACTCCTCCGCTGCTCGCGCCGCAAAGTCGACACCAGAGGTCCAGTTGCTGCCGGTGGACCGCTCACGGATATCCTCAGGTTCGATATGATCAAACGAGTTGTCGCTACGGTTCTTCCTCAAGGACGAGCCGGACGCGTCATCACCACGTCCGTGCAGGTTTTGCTGTTCCTTCGCCAATGCATTGCGCAGCACCTCCAACATATCCTGCTGGCTGGAGAGGTACTTGGCCTTCTCATCATGGGACATGCCGGCCATATCACGGGGCAAGAAGGAGCCGCTGGCAGAGAGTTCCTCCGCTCGTGCCTCCGGAGTTTTACCGGTGGAGGTCATAGAGGCCACGGCAGAGCCAATGGCCGAAAGCCAGTCGTTACCCTGGGCAGGGGCATTGGCATTTCCTCCGGCAGCCGTCGGGACGTTGAACCGAGAGAGAAGCGACTGTGCGTATGCAGCAGGGCCTGTCGCCGGAGGTGGAGTGGCAGCCTGTTGGGCGGGCAAGTGGAAAACATTCTCGCGTACCCAATCCAGGGCCTGGTAAAAGTATTGGAGGCCCAGAGCCTTGGCACGCTCATGCGAGCGACCGATGAACTCTTCAATTTCTCGTTCGTGCTGGGCCAGGAACGGGTCCACATGAGTCTGGTAGAGGATTTGGGCACCCTGAGTCTGTGGCAGGACCAGATAGGAAAAGAAGAAGAGACGGATCCAGCTATAGAATGGAAGCCTGTATAGGTTATGTATTAGATACTTGTATCGTGGTGATTTCCGGTCGAGGGAGCATACCATCCCAAAATCCACACCGTCCAGGACTCAGCCATCAAGATAGCCGACAGGACCACCCAATACATTAACCATGGTGCGAGCTGAGCGGGGTTCCCCGAGCGGAGGGCTTTGAAAGAAGCGAAGATAGGGAAGAGGATCGTAATGATCGAGCTACGCATGAATCCCCGTTAGCATTCCAGGAACGGGCAGAAAATTATTGAGAGATATAGAGCCACAGTTCCCGGGATTCCCGGAAACAGGAGTTATATTACTTACGACACCAGATCGGCGATAATTCCAAACATGATGGAAGACGGAGAATAATTCACTGGTTTAGAGACGTCTCAAACGTGGCCGACGCGAATGAGTCGGTAAGGGTTGATAGAATCTTTGGCGGTCAGTGAAGCCTTTGCGTTTGCGGGGCAGAGAAATGTTGATCGGCGAGACTTCACGCGACCAGCTGAGGACGGAATAAGAAGCGGCCAGCCGCAATGGCAACTAGAGAAAGAGAGGAGAGGAGAAATATGATTTTGAAGGAAGGGTGGTCAGGGGAGAGAGAAAAGGCCAACACGACACGACGGTGGTTGCCTTAGGGGAGATCAGCCAGCCCTACTGTGATCCATCCACTATTACTCTTCCAAGTTTAGTAGATGGAGCTGAAAGAACCATCGACGAGATTAGGGCAACCTTCCCATTTCCGGGATCACGAATCGCAGCGAATCACACTCTGCTTGACGTCATGATTCAAGGTTAGTCAAATGCCTGCAAAAAGTTTATCCGGACAATATATATAGATAATACTAATGGCATATATTGGATGAAGCGGCAGTGTTGCTGTTCAAAAGCGACGTGGTTGCTTCAAGTTTGCTATTAATCACTGAAACTTGTCCACAGGAAAGTGGGTTGGCCTTCAATCTCCAGTCTTCTGACTACGCTTCCAGGTCATCCTACTACGTGTCGAATCGTCTAAACAACGCCAGCAAAACTGTTATTTCGTCATCGATATGACCCGAAGGTTTATGTAGTACCTTGCAGGAGAGGGAGTGTCTCAAATCGTACTTTTTGCATCTTGAAACAACAACTTCAACGTGCTGAGTCATGCAGACTGGGAGCGCTAGTCTGTTCACGTGAGACGCTGCTATTTAAGGAAGCGAGTTCCACACCAGTGGGTCCCGATGACGGTGAACCAGACAGGCGGTGAGGTCGAATCTGCCGGCAGTGTCTCTGCCCGATGACTTCAGTGTCTTTAGTATGAAAGTTCTGGTGTCTTTCCCTCACAACTTCTACGAATTTGGAACTTTTATGCCTGTAAATCTTTGATGACCTTTCCTTAATACCATTAATCGAACATATCAATATCCGAACATATTTGTGTGCCAGGGACTGGTAGCTCATACTCAATAATAGTACCCCCACCAAGCAGCACTATACCCTTGTCTCAAACACACCACGATAGAGACTTGAAGCTCCCGAGCCGCTAAAATGTGTATTGCATTAATATCTACAGCCCATCCGTCTTATTCGCTTATTGTTATCGACAATAGGGATGTATGCGATCGAAGTACCTGCAACGGGAACACCTGATATGCCGTGACCTAACAGTGTCTAGGAATACCTCCGTCGACCAACCGCCCCGGCTGATTGGTGGCCCGAACCAAATTCCAATATATTAGGCGGCCGGGACCTGGCACGAGCTACACAAGGAACATGGATGGGTGTCACGAAGGAGGGAAAGATTGCCGTTTTAACGAACTATCGTGAAGATACGTCCGAGAAGGCGACCGGCAACCAAAGTCGAGGTGCTATCGTCAACGGCTGGCTTACGGTCGGCCCTGAGCCTAGAGAATCCACTCGGGATTTTGCGCAGAGGATGGTAGCAAGTGCCACGGCGAAGAACGTCGGAGGATTTAGCCTGGTGTGCGGCTATGTTAATGAGCCATTGGCTGTGATCTCCAATCGCTCATCCAATATAGATCAGGTTACGTGGCTGGCGACAGAAAAGGGCCAAACAGTGGGACTAAGCAACACACATTTTGATGACCGCTCCTGGCCAAAGATTATCGATGGCGAGAAGCTGATGATTGAAGCTATCCAGGCACACGTCGGGGCCGGCGAGGATGAGAATGGACTTATTGATAGACTACTTGGGTTATTAAGCAGGAATACGCTCCCTAACCTTTCCGAAGGCGCAACTGCAGAAGACTATCTCCCGCACTTTAGGAAGAGTATCTTCATCCCGAAGCTTGGGGCTAAAGAGGAACCGGCGAGGCCATCTGATGGAGGAGCCACGCCTTGTGCGGAGGAGAAAGCGACTGGTGCCAAACAGGGCGATGAGCTGGACCAGTCATACTTGCATGGTGCGTACGGTACCCAGAAGCAAACCGTTATCCTTGTAGGTAAAGACGGACGGGTGAGGTACTTTGAACGCACCCTTTATGATAATGAGGTGAACGCTATTCCGCTTGGCAACGGAGACCGATCATACGAGTTCCAAGTAACCCAATAATGAGATCAGCGGCCTATCTTGGCTGTCCTGCTCTTCTCGGTCGTGATGATTGTTTCTTGTATATAGCCAAACTGACATGATGCCCACTTTTACTCTGATTTGCAGTCGGGCATCTCATCTCTTTTTAACGCTAGCCATTTTACAGTAGAGTTGTCATTGCAGAAGTAATAGTAGTACTGCCAATAGTGGCCATAGGAGGAGTGCTATTAATATTAATCACTATTATCCACCCAAATGCAAGGGGAGTCCCCCTTTGCACGTGGTTGTCTTGACTCATGCCAGATCAGGTGCATGTCAAGTCACGCAACATTCGGCGATTTTAAATCAATCCCGATTCTTTTAAAATGATCCCATAGTCTTGGCTCGAAAAGATCTCTCGCCACATGTCGCAGAGTGTCATTTGATCTTAATTCTGCTCATTTACTTTCCTCTCACGCATACAAATGGACGTACAAGGTACGATTCGACAAGCCCATGGTATATACCTAGAAGGAGCCCATAGAGGAGGAAAATTTTTTTTTATTTTGTATCCACGCAGCGCTCGAATCGAGTTCAACAGCTAGTTATGATTAGTTTCAAACCTATCACAGTGGCCCTGGGAGCTAATGTCTCATAGTAGTCCCTCCTCAATCGATTGTACCAGCGCCCGATCATCCTTCCATGGTTTATACTGTTTCAGTTTCATCGAACAAGCTTTGCTAAGATTTCAACTAATCCCTGGTGTCGCCCACTATTCCAACGTTGGCCGTTTAAGGAACTTGCCGAGCACCCACAACGGATTTTGTCGAGGTTCCTCCACCAATCTGCGGAGCTTCTTCGTGTTTCATCTTGATAACTTATTTTGCTCACTGTATGCCCGGCCCCACGAAGCTGGATCTGTAATTTGCCGCGATTTTGCCATGAGAGCGAATAATCAGATTTCTGCGCGCCTGTATCCATTCGAATTGTTTGCTTAGTCCGGCTTACGGATGCTTCGGCGTGCCCTAAGTAATCGACTATTGGTGCAGGTGCTTGATTCATTTCCGCCGGTCCCACAAGTCCGTGCTTCATAGATGACCGGAGATAGCACCGCGATTTCTCGAGGCCATTCACTAGCACCACCGGGACTCTCTTAATGGTTCCCGATATGCTGTTCCTGTCATTAAACCCCTGAATTAGATTAACATCGCCGACTACCAGCTAGTCTGAACGCCTCTTCATATCGAGCAGGCAACAACTTGATCGGCCCACGGGGGGTGCTCGGGAATGTGTTCCATCTTAGGAAATGTGTACACTAAGGAAACGGATTCTGGATCAGCCCACAGATTAGCTGTCTCAGAATTCTAGTAGGACTTCTATGGTGGAATTTCTGGATGAGATTAATGTGGAGACCTGCGGAATCACCGGGCATTTCCCATTCCAAGACCGAACGAATATAAAGGCGTATGACTTGCGACGTTTTCTAGCGATGCTCTAACACTCCAAGTTCAAGACTGGTTCTTGCCATCCATTCATTCATTCTGCCCTTCCTTTCTTTACTCTTTTTGTCACTCTTTTCTTCTCCGACCAGCTCGGCATACATTCATTCACAATGAGAATCGGCAACTTGATCGTGGCTGCAAGTGCTGCAAGCCTGGTGCATGCGTATCCCACGCGTGATATCAAAAAGCGTGGCTCAGGATTTACCTGTACGTTGGAAATTAGGCTTCGAAGTTACTGGATCTAACGAATGAGCTTAGGGGTCGGCGTTAGCGAATCTGGCGCTGAGTTCGGATCCAGCATCCCAGGAACTCTGGGCACTGACTACACTTGGCCTGATACGTCTAAGATTCAGACTCTGAGGAATGATGGAATGAATGTCTTCCGTATTCCCTTCCTCATGGAGCGTTTGGCGCCCAACGAGATCACTGGATCCCTGGACGCCACCTATTTGAAGGACCTGAAATCTGTACGTCCACACCCAACGAATGGTCATACGATATTTACTAACGCCTCTGTAGACTGTACAAGCCATCACTGACAGCGGTGCTTACGCCGTTCTCGACCCCCACAACTACGGAAGATAGTAAGACCATTCATAATTTATGTGTTGAGAGACTATGTGAAGCTAAACAGTTACATAGCTCTGGAAGTATCATCTCTTCTACTTCTGACTTTAAAACTTTCTGGAAGACCGTCGCTGGAGAATTTGCATCTAACGAGAAGGTCATCTTCGACACTAGTAAGACAAGGACACCGACTGCTCCCAAGGGATTTGAATCCTAACATATGCAGACAACGAGTACCACGACATGGAACAGTCTCTCGTCCTCAGCCTGAACCAGGCCGCCATTGACGGTATTCGCGCGGCTGGAGCCACGACACAATACATTTTTGTTGAGGGCAACTCGTACTCGGGTGCTTGGAAGTGGGCCGATACCAACGACAACCTCAGTCAATTGACTGACCCGCAGGACAAGATTGTTTACGAGATGCACCAGTATCTCGATTCGGACGGCTCTGGTACCTCCGAGACCTGTGCCAGCTCGACCATTGGCAAGGAGAGACTGCAGACCGCCACGCAGTGGTTGAAGACCAACAACAAGAAGGGTTTCCTGGGTGAATTCGCCGGCGGTGTCAATGAGCAGTGCGAGCAGGCTGTCGAGGGTCTCCTCTCTTACATGTCGGACAACTCCGACGTCTGGATGGGTGCCGAATGGTGGTCGGCTGGCCCCTGGTGGGGATCCTACATGTACAGCATGGAGCCGACTGACGGAACTGCTTACTCCACATATCTCCCCATCTTGAAGAAATACTTCGTGGATGGCACGGGCGCTAGCTCCTCGGCCACATCTGCAGTCCCATCAACTGCAGCTGCCACCACCTCTACCTCTGCCAGTGCCTCGACTGCCTCTGCATCATCGTCTACCGTCAGTGCTGTTGAATCCTCCTCCACTAGCAGCGTTGCTGAAGCCCCCTCAACCACCTCGGAAGTCGCCGCTGCCACGCCCACCCCATCTCACCCAGCCCCTCAGCCAACCTCCAACTCGTCCAGCACTTCTTCCGATGCGCCCGCAAGCAGCGCTCCGACGACTCTTTCGACCTCCCAGGCCTGTGGATACCATACTACCGTCACTGTGACTGCTAGCAGGTCTACCGCAGCACCCAGCAGCTCCGCGAGCGCCGTCCCCCACTACTACCAGTGCGGCGGAATCAACTACAGTGGACCTACCACCTGCGAGAGCGGCTATACTTGCGTCAAGCAGAACCCTTACTACAGCCAGTGCCTTTAAAAGGACACCCAGGGACGGTGATGTGGCAAGTTGATGGAACCGATCGAATTCCTCACTTCATTTGTATTGTACATATTACCAGCTTCAATCTTGAGTAGAGCTCATCATACAATACTCTCAGCCAACCGATAGAAGACCATCAATCCATTCTACAATAGAACCATAGAACCTGACAAAGAATTAGCGTAAACATTTCTCCAAAGCCCCACGAACTTCCATTCCAGGATGGATCCAGGTCTACCCAGACCTCACTCATATAAAACTTACCCTCAACCGAACGGAACATTGTTCGAGTAACGAAAGCCAAACACAAATCATTGATAGAGCAGAGACCCCGCCACAATATGAAGATGGAAGCCCCTCGACTGACATCCACCAAGAGTTCCCAATGTTAGTAGCCATACTAGGTGACACCTAGTCCCGTAACCTCATCTCAGAGTTTTACTCCGAGGAGAATTCGGCATCAACAGCAGCTTAGGTCTAGTTGTAATGCTAAGATCACTGCGTTGGACACGCACCAAAGAAGATCCCGCCTGGCCCTGAACGCGTTCCGAAACATCCTGGTGTACATATCATCAAGAATTTCAGATAATCGAGAGTTATCACTTCGCACCTGCGCAACCTCGACAAAAATATTTAAGTCTGTTGGTGAATAAATGAAGCTTTTTCTTTATTAGTTCCTCCTGGTTACTCTGTACAAGATACAGATACTGCCACTTTTACAACGACAGTATATGAATGCCCCGAGATTACTCTATAAGTATTCTGGTTTACGTACTAATTGAATATAAATAATGTGATTGAAAGTAGCAGTAGGAGGTTAAGGTAGGTAGAGAGTTGCCAATTTTCCGTAAATCTAGAAGGTTGCTATGCTTTTTGTATATGTATGTCTAGTAAGGGATATAACTCTGACTTAATTTCTCTCATGAATCGATAATATTTATCCCAATAGTCGAATATATTTAGCCACTAAAGACCGCCCTCAACATGCATGGGCTCCATCGAAAGAAGGTCTGTGAAATATTGATTGAGAGGCGCCGGAAAACCTCCTAATTCAGCAATCTCAATGCTAGTCATAAAGTCCGTGTCCGCGGCTCTCATATGCCCGCCTGATGGAGGAGACACGACGCTCTTATTCATGTCATGGTGCACAACCTGTCCATGCTCAGTTGTATGCGGTGAAGGCGTTATAGACGATCGGACAAGCCGCTCGAGAAACTTAAAGTACCGGACAGCCATGTGCGTATCGTCCGGCGAGCCTTCTCGGATGGCGTCGATGGCTGCTACAAGGAGCCGAGCGTTGGGGTGTGAGCTGGACACAAGTTTGTCTTTCGAAAGAGTAGCCTGTGTCAAATTTTAGGTTAAATGGAAGAGAGAAGATGAAGGAATCGTCGTGTTGAAAAACCAACCCTCAGCAAGTATAGGCTCGCTGCCACTATGAAAAGCCAGCAGCGGACCGGTAGATACGGTAGTAACCCTGCGGGATGCAACACGCCTACTGCTATTGATAGTAAATCATAGCTCGCTTGTGTTGCTTGTTGTGTATAGTGAGACAGGATTGTTGGTGCTTCTTTGTGCGGTGCGGTCGTTGGGTGGTTGGTGTCGAAGGAATAAGAGGCATGAGATGCGGGAGCGAAGCTATACATCAACGTGTAGTTATACTCCATTTCGATACAAGCATTCAGAAAGTCCCCCGGATCTGAGTATATATTAATCGCGGCCTGACACGGAAATTGATCTTTCTGTCCACGTACCATGCTGATGGTAACTATGTTGAATCTTCCAACGGCTTAAACCTCGATCTAAACTTTTAAGATGGGGAAGTAACTCAGAAAAACCACTTGTGTAATCGATCTGTCTAGTAGAATGGATAAACTCGCGGGCTTTTCTTGTTATGACCGTAAGCTCAAAGTAGTCTTCCCAAGCAGTATTGTTGGGTAAACTGCTGGCAAAGTTTAATGCTAATCGGTCCTGTACAATTGCTCTCGACTGGTCAGGAAGTAAGGATTCAAGCCCCATACGGGTAGACAGGTGTTCATCAGCAAAATATAGGAACACACAAATTAATCTGTTCCATTCCTGTTTGATGACTTCCGAGGCAGAAGAATGATTCGGCACATGAACGCCTTCTTGGAAACAGTGCCCTTCGTGAGCAAGAGCAATAGCATTAGAAAGAAGCATCCTACCATGAGTTAGCAGGTCCCTTTTTTCAGAGATATTCGTGAGGATTGGTTCTCCTTACCAGGACATCTTGTTGCTTCGGTACGCTGGGGCTACAATATTTCGTTTCTCCATCGATGTTGTGGCGCGGTAGTTTGGGTAACCAAATGAGGACGAACTGCCACCTGAATTGGCGCCAGATGGCCCCCTATATTCATCTCCAAAGCCAGCGATGTCGTCATCAGCAAAGTCCGTCGGATTATTGATCGCTTTTACATGCCACTCGATGAGTAGAAGCATAGCGGATATGGTACCCAGGGACCGCGTGGCCGTGGTGCCCCATAATGCCGACTGCAGTAGACGTTGGAGGATCTTCCAGACCTTCCAGTGTACTCGTTCCGACCTGATCTCCCCATGTGCACCACTAAGTGGATGATATCGTGACGCTATAGTCACGAGACAGATTGTCAGCAGCGGCTCTTCCATGACGAGGGATGCATGCGTTGACTGGTGCTGATAGCAGAGAGGAATTACTGGCCGTATTGGCCACAATCTGGAGAAAAAAAACTCTATATACTCGAAAAGCTCGTTTAGTTGGACGATTCCTTTCCTGATAAGAAGGAAGTTGCTGCAGCTGCTAGCATCAGCAGGTAACCCCCGGATAGGATCGAGCGTACTATCAAAATGAGTAGTCTGTGTGTGCTCGGGTTGGAAAGCGACAGGGGTTGAAGGACCCCCTTCACACTCCTTATACCCCTCTGCAGTGACAGTAAGGAGATTGAGGGCATCTGCAGGATTTCGTAAATGGGCTGAGAGCAGACTTCTACGTACACCGGAACTGAAGGCATCCTCGGCAGGAGAAGCACTATCATCACCATAGGCTGGCACTGAATCTGTAGGAGACCCAATGTAGCAGTTATCTGAGTATGAGTCTTTGTCACGGTCCTGACGAGCAGCTGCTCTTGTGGTACTGCCGCGTTTCTTTTTCATGGCTCTCTCCGGCCTGAAGTCACACTCCTGACTTTCCTGAATACATCGTTTGCATGGTTGCCGCTGGCCTTGAAATGCCTCACATCGCGTTTTACGCTTCCGGCAACGCTCACAGGACAGAAAGGCACGCCTATTTCTTAAATTGGGAGGGGATCTGGATTGATTGACAGGCAAAAAGGATATCTGTCGATCCATTTATTGTGAGGCTCAGTTCAGATATCGACAGTGGTAAGAATGGTGTTGGTGTTGGTGTTGGTGTTGATGATATAAGACATCGGCAATGGAACTGGCCTGGTTCAAGACCTTTAGTAGTTGTGGTTTCACTGCAAGCGTCGCATAGAAGGGAGAGAACATAAAAGGCGGGGGGCCGAAAAGGACCACCAACCAAAATTTAGAGCGACGCCGGGACCACTGTAATTCCGGTGGCTATACGGAGTAGGGTGGACACTATGCAAACCATCCTACTACTGCAACCTATACGAACAGCTAGATCACTACACAACACAAATAATCCTGAATTATGCACTCAAAGGGTGTTTGTAACGCCCTTTCTGTACTATACTACACCATAGTGACAGATGTCGAGCGTAAAATATGACGGACACCTATATGAATGTACAGTTGATGTCGATCTACGAGATTCGCATTATCTCATGTTACCACGACGTCCAATTCTTGAACTGGATACTCCCCCAGACACTATTTATCGAAGACTTTGCCCGGATTTAGCAGCCAGCTAAATTGATGTCAGTACCTTTCAAACATGCAGCTATTCCCTTTGTCAATTGGAAAGGGGAATGAGGACTGACTGTGGGTCTAGAGTATTCTTCAAAGCCTTCATGACACCAATCGTAGCGGGACCAAGCTCTTTCATGAGGCATCCCTGCTGTGTACTCAGCTTTCTTCTTTTCATATAGTAATAATTGGGATTACTCCCGTTGCTTACCTTTTTACCGAGGCCAATCCCGTGTTCCCCCTATTCCTCGTTAGCTGATTTATAACAGACGAATATTGACAGAAACTCACCGAGACCGTCCCTTCCAGTTCTACGGCCTGCTCGATCATTTGTTCTACGCAGTTCGCCACGGCTCTCTGCTCGTCTGCTTTACTTGGATTGTACATAATAGCCTGGTGGAAGTTACCATCTCCGACATGGCCCAGTACAGTATGGAATAGGCCCAATATACTGGCCCGTTCCTTGGATTGATCTGCGGGTAGCGAGTTTAGTCCCGATGAGTAAATAGATGTTGTTACCAAGTTGTCAAAGCCTTACCAATTATTTCCGCCATTTTAGATATTGGGACAGCGACATCTGTCGACCAGATCTGTGTGCCCTCCGGCCGGACTGCCAAACAGGCCCATAGGGCCTCCTTCCGAGCTGACCAAAGCGATTGAATTTCGGCCTCTGTGCTGGCGCAGTCGAAGGACAGATATTTATGGTGTCTTGCGACTTCTTTTGCGAGCTGAATACCTTCCTGGATGGTATGATTGCTACCGGAGAACCTATGATCGCATGGCATCAGCACATCTGTCCATAAGAAAAAATCGAGTAGGCCAGGCAAGAAAAAAAAAGAATATATTACTTGATGAATAAAGTCGGAAGCTCTGCCCACTTCCTCCCCCCGGCGCCACCATTCATATTAATCACTCTCATTTGTACGTCGTCCATCAATTCCAGGGCAGCCAGTGGGGCGCCACTCCGAATCATTTTGGATGCTGCGCTAGCGGCATCCTTTACCGTGGGGAATGTCACCGTTGCCACTCCCAGATTAGCTGGGGAAACAACGAGTTTGACGGTGACTTCGGTGATAATACCCAAAGTTCCTTCGGATCCGGTGAACAGGGCATTCAAGTTGTATCCTGCAGATGTTTTCCTCGGTCGATGCCGTGTCCGAATGACGGAACCATCAGCCAGAACGACGGTCAAATTTAGCACGTAGTCCTTCATGGTGCCATATCTCATGGCATTGGTACCACTGCAATTCGTTGCGACCATCCCCCCAATGGTTGCGGTAGGGCTCGGGTCAAGTGGTAAAAATAGTCCACTCTCCTTGATTGTTTCGTTGAGAGCTACCCAATTGACTCCGGGCTGTACCACGACATCCATGTCATCAGGGTGAAAGGACACAATCTTGTCCATGGCAGAAAGGTCGATACAGATACCCGAATATGGGGCACTGATGTTCCCTTCCACACTGGATCCAGCCCCATATGGGATCATTGGAACACGATAACGGGTGCAGACCTTTGCAATCGCTGAAACTTGCTCAGTGGTTGTGGGTCTGACCACTGCGACAGGCTCTGAGTCTGTATTGCTAGTGGACCATTCTGAATAGCCGTGGCTTTCCAGATCGTCCTTTTCTACACTGACTGCACCTTCACCTAAGATGTGCCGAAGCTCATTAACAGCCTAGCATGGGTTAATAAGCAGTTCGTTACGCTGAGAGCGCCTTCACGCGTACAGACCTGGAGCATAGTTTCGGTATCAGCATACACAGCGGCGTCTGAGCTGGTACTGATGACTTCCTTACATGTCGCCATATCGTTGACATCTCTGTGGAATCGAAGCATAGAATCTCCGAGCGAGAGAGTCAGTATTCCACCGAGAAGCATCCCGCCAAAACCGGTAAACATATGGCGAGGGTCGTTAGCGGCTCTAAAACGCGCATCATTATGTGTCGTCCTCGCGCAAACGGTGGGCTTCAAGGTCGGTAGTCTGCGAGTTCTTCTCAATTGCGGTATCCTCAGGAGCCTTGTCGTGACCATGTTCATTGTGTTTGTCATGTAACTGGTAACTGGTCCGTGTTCTAGGCTTGCCGACTCCTCACTCTCCTATGTATAGATAATATGCAAGAAGGGTAAATGAAATTGCTCGAAAAAGCTTCCGTCTTTCTCCCTTTTGTCTTCTTCATAGGCTCGGATATAGACATATTTGTGCCTACCTATCTGACATCCGGGGTAGCTTCTCTCTATACGGCCGTACCTCGGCGCCACATTTTAGGACTTCCTAATTCGGGTTATCCGTCGAACCGTCGGATATTCTGTAAAGGGCAACGATGTAAATGTAGGAGGTTCAAAAATGATGACAGCTGGATTTACTTGAGACTTACGGGTTATATTATACCCACTTGGCCCAGTTACTCTTAGGATAGTATCTCCAAACGCATTTGTGATTGTGAAAATGACCACCCCACTCGGACCCACTGACGACAAGGTGTGCGTCGAAAATGTCGAAAATGTCGAAACTGTGAACAGTGCCCGGCATGTACAGGTAGACATGAGAGCAAGTCGAAAACTCGTTCGGAAAATTGACTGGAAACTCATGCCGGTTGTAGGTGACTTACGATATGTCGCTCTTGCTTTTTATCTTTTGATTGATCGTGCATATTAGATGTGTTTCACTTATGCCCTCCAATACTACGACAAAGCAATTCTAAGTCAAGCGGCAATTTTTGGGTTGCGAGAAGATCTTAAGATAGAAACTGGACTCAAATATTCCTGGGTGTCCTTGATCTTCTATTTCGGATACCTCGTCGGGACCTACCCGATCTCTCTCCTCGCCCAGAAATACCGTATTAGAGTCGTCTGCTCAGTGATATGCGTGCTCTGGGCTGTTGTCATTCTCTGCACACCGGCCTGCACTTCATACGCTGGTTTGCTCGTTAACCGATTCTTTCTCGGTCTGATCGAAGCCGGCGTATCGCCAATATGCATGCTTGTCGTTGGACTCTGGTACACACATTCAGAGCAAGTTCTACGATCAAGTTTCTGGTACTCGTGTAGTGGCGGCTCACTTTTGATATCTCCGCTGATTAACTATGGACTTGGTTCTATCACTGGGGGTCCATTAAGCCCTTGGCAATACATGTATCTAATAGCCGGAGCCGCAACCTTTGGCTGGGGTATCGCACTTTGGTGGCTGTTTCCCGACAATGTCCAGGAGACTCCTGGATTCACACCAGAAGAGCGACAGCTTCTGCTGTACCGACTGGAATCTAACAATTCAGGCACGGAGAACAAGGAGTTCAAACCTGGTCAATTGAAAGAGGCGATGTCTGACTATCAATTTTGGGCCATCATGGTTCTCTCCATCACGTCTTCCTCGGGATCTGGCGCGATCACCACATTCGGGTCTATTATATTCTACGGAATGGGATTCGATACGTTCACATCCCTGCTCATGAACCTCCCCATCGGTGCATTGGCCTTCATCTGTATCCTTGGTTCCGGCTATCTCGGTCGAAATTTCCCAAACGCGCGACTTTACATCATTGCCGCCTCTTGCTTACCGGTCATTTTAGGTTGTGCTTTACTGTAAGTCACCCTTACATTTACTTCCATGAGCCCTTTTTCTAGATCTAAAGACACTGACCTTGTCTTCAATCTTCTAGATGGAAACTCCCAACCTCAATGCAAACAGGACGAATCGTAGGCTTCTACCTAATCAACTTTTTCTCCTCTGCCTGGGTCCAATGCATCGGCCTAGGAACCTCCAACGTGGCAGGCCATACCAAGAAAACCGTCTACGCAGCAGGCACATTCATCGGCTACTCTATCGGGAACATCGTAGGCCCACTGATGTTCGACGCGTGAGTTAACCCCTGCTGAAGCCACGAAGTCACCATCCTTGCAATAATACTAACGAGGGTTCCTGAATTAGTCGTTATGCCCCGCGATATGACAAGAGCTTTATCGGCCTCATGATATGTTTTGTGGTCTGTTTCTGTACCTCGTTGCTTCTTCGTCAGGCACTGGCTGTCGAGAACCGTTCGCGGGATAGGGAGTTTCTAGGACAGAGTAGGGGAGAAGGCTTGGAGGATATGACGGATAAAGATAATAGACACTTCCGGTATAATCTCTAGGTAATGCGCTGGGCTGGGGGACAGGGTATTAAGTGTACCCGTATGTGTGTGGGTAGGCCGTGTATGTTTGGGGGACATACAGAGCTGAGGGGCTGTGGTCGGGCGTTAGTTTGTTTGTCTTGTTCCATAGGCGATTGCTGGATATTGTAATTAGCATTTGAAACTTTTTGATTCTATCCATATTACAGACATAACCTCACGTTTGTAAACTCACCGTGATGGGGTTTGGGTAACAGGTATGACTTTTAACACAGCCCCGCTAGTTTCATAATTGATCTCACGCAATATGAGCTTCCCATGATCCTATGATAACTTCATAGAGCCATTTCCCATTTCCTGATAACATCCGTGATTAAATCCAGTGGCATACGTCGCAAACAATGGATATACAGTCACCATAATGCTCGAATCATTTTCAACAATGCTGATAAGTTTCTCCATGTACCAGCCAGGGAAACTAAAAGAGCACACAGGAAGAGTTAGTTCATGAAGGGACATGAAAATATGCTTGAGTAGGAGTATACCAAAATGGTAAGTGATTCCGAAACGAAACATAGGCTCTTCTTGGCAGGGCCCAATTAATCGGAATCCCATGCCTATTTTGGGTGAAGACCCCTCCCCACTCGAGTGAATAAAATAGATTATTAGGGCATCGCTAACGTGATTGATTCTGGTAAAGAAAAAAGTAAGTATTTTACTATGCAGCTCAGCTTTAGGGATGGAATTTTAAATTTCCGATTATTTTGACTAATGGTGGGCTACATACATTGAGGGAACTATTGAAGATAGATGAAGATTTTTGGAGTTATACACCGGTATTAAGGTCTGTTAACTGTACCCTTGAAGAACTTCTATTACTGTGACTACCACTGTACTTTAACTACGATAGTAATACAAGGTCATACTACGCAGGTGATTATGCATTATATTACTCACGTAAGGAAAGTATAAAACCTTTGCATACTAGTTTGCTTGTAGGTTATCGAATAGGCTGAAATCCTGAAAATTTATAACCCTATAAGAGGATATTGCCAAGGAAAGACTAGGATATAATAGCTATCAAGTTCTTCTCTCAAGGCCAGCTACATGAAACCGTCTACCTATCTCCAGTTAATCCCCCACATGTATTTTGTGGTCAGGGACGGTCTTGGAACATCGCCCCTTTGTGAGAGGCTCTCAAAAGTTTCAGTAGATCAAACCAGCCGTGTAGCAATTCTTCTCCTCCTTGCAGAGGTAGTTGGCACCGGGGTCAACGCAGCCACAGGGACCGAGGTCGAGGCAGCCGTCGTTACTACAGCAGAAGTAGATTCCACTGGATCAGCCACCGCCACACCACCATTTGCCTTCATTTCAACACTAGTCCAGTAGTCGCTAGTTCCATTATCCGGGTCTTGGTCGGTAGGCGTACAGTCATCCTCTATAGCAGAAGAACCATGCTCGCCGCTAATGAACTGACCATCATTATAACCGCCACCGCCAGCATTGAGCATGTTTTCCGCAGCGTCTGCAAACCAACCATTGATAAAGTCGCCATGAAAGCAGTATCCATTACCCAGCGCATCTCCACAGGAAAGTTGGAAGGGGGCATCTCCACTCCAGCCATTAGGCGCAACAGACTTCGTGTCATAGCGCGCGGCGTAGCGAAGCTGGGGGAACTGCTTCATACCATCCGGACATTTATTAGAGTCATCACTGAAGTCGTATTCAGCGAGGTTATCTGGGTTGACACAGTTGGGGAAGCGCAGTGAAACCTGGAGATGCTGATCACAGGTGCTGGTCGGGAAATTGGCGATATCTGATTCCCGTTCGTTGGACCCTTCGCAGAACCATTCAAGATTGTTGTAAGCGTTATCGGCCTCCGCCTGGGTCCGGGCGGATGCGTTGCCCGAGATCATGGAGAAACCTTGCGGGATGGCGATCTCGGAGAAAGCGTTGGTGTAGTAGGTGCTGAAGCGGAAGACGGGCACCTCGGTGAAGTTGTCGCCGTCAACATGGTAGAGGGTGGGAATCCCTGGGATATCTGGTTAGAAGGGCAAGGCGAATGAGTGGCTGTTAGTCTTTTACTGACAGTAGGCTGAAAGATCGTTGGGATTGTCTCCGCTGTAGCAGCCCTTTTGTAAATCAGCAGAGGTCGGCATATCCTTAGTGATGGCATCGCTGCCAAAGAAGGTGTGCATGTGCGAAGTGTAAGTGCCTGGAACAACGATCGGGTCGATGTTTTTATTCATGAATGCCTTATGGTACATTTCAGTCCATGCGGACACAGCACCAGCGCTGGCCAGGAGAATGAACGCACGGCGCATCTTGATTGGAGAATAAGGAAAAGAGACAAAAGAACGTAATCGATCACAGATCGGAGTATTTAAGAAATGAATGTGTTGGACAAAGAAGCTACAGTAGAAGCCTGAAGAAAGGAGTGTTTGGATGATTGAACTCGAGCTGTTGAGATGATCATTCTGAGGGTTTATATACCAGAAGTTTTCCAATCGCTCGACTAGGTGTTTGTCAATCTCGGAAACTGATAGAAGGTGGCCAAGATTGATCTCACCATCGAATGAATACGCGAGCCCACCTTGTTTCAGATAAAGAAACAAACATAAGGAGTCAACCTGTATAGCTCTACCGAAGCAATCTATCTCCGGTAATTTACTTCGGCTAGTGAGAAGTCGAAGGGGTGTCTAAGTAACTGACAGTGAGCGATTTGATGATGTACATTTTGCCTTTTAAAATTTAACTACATCACCGTATGGTAATTTTGCTAATCTCTCCTCTGGGGATAGATAGTGTTGGCTGATTCAAAGCACGACCAAAAGCCATTTGATGTTAGTCGAGTGGAAAATGCTAACATATAGTAAAGAAAGCATATACTGTGCACCTCAACATGAGGATTACAGAATATCCACACAATATCAATATTCCGCGGTCGAGACTCTTGGCAGTGGGTTATAGGGTTACTGGCGGCTGTACCGCATTGGGAATATCCGACAGTTATCCTCAACAATTTCAATGCTAGAAAGCACAGATCCTCTGTCTGCGACCAGCAGTGGTCATGCGGAACAAGCACTGCATCTCAGAATCCTTTCGTTTTCTTGTTTCCGCCGAGGCTAAATGACTATCAGACAGTGAACGGGGACACCGACGGCATGCAGTTAGTCAACCCGAGTAAGCTACATGTACAGTGGATCAAACAACACATCACCAAGCATTTCCCTTGCTCCTAAATCTCACGACCCATTGAATTCATCTCTGAAGGACCATTACATTTGTGAATTTCGTTCTCAAGACTCTAGATTATCCCTTACCGTAATGCTATTGTTTGGCTTAATAGCAGCCGCTCTACTCTGCGGTATGTCCAATACTGCAGCACTCACTCCACGCGCCACGCTGAAGCAGGTGACCGATTTTGGCTATAACCCCGCGAACATTAGAATGTATATATACGTCCCTGATGCTGTTGTTACGTCCCCCGGTGTCGTCGTCTCGCTCCACGGGGCCTCTGGCAACGCCGAGCAACAATTTCAATCAACGCCTTACGCGAGCCTAGCAGAGCAATACGGCTTCATTGCTATCTATCCCGAATCGCCACAAGGGGCTTGGGATGCGACATCCGACAAGTCCCTTGTACATGACGGCGGTGGTGCTAGCCAGTCAGTTGCCAACATGGCCAAATACGTCGTGAACACCTACAAGGCCGACGCAAGCAAAGTCGTCGTATCCGGAATATCTTCGGGGGGTACCATGGCGGTACGTAGGGCTTGGTCCTGAGAGACATATAGCACTAAAGTCCTAACAATATTCTTACAGAACACACTCGCGGGGACTTATCCCGACGTCTTCAAAGCGGCCGTCATTTATTCCGCGGGATCTTCGAGCAATATTAGAGACATGTACGCAGGCTACACTGGTACTTATCCGAAGATACAGCTCTATTTGGGATCTGAAGATACGATCATCGGGTCAGATTCGTTTAATGAGACTCTCGCGGCGTGGGCCTCGGTGCTTGGCTATGATACAATGCCCGACCAAGTGCTAGCTGATACCCCTGTTAGTGACTGGACGAAGTATGTTTTAGGCAGCAAGCTACAGGGTATATGGGCCGAGGGTGTTGGGCATCCTGTTCCCACTCAAGGCAATGAAGATATAAAATGGTGGGGCATTATGAATTGATTATAATAGTGTGGGTTTCCTGGGAGCTGCTGGGGTCTCTCTTGCCAAAGGAGTGGTTTATCGCAGATCCATACGTTGAGTGTCTATCTGCCAATTTTCTCCAGTTTACCTAGGATATATAGAACAACGTAGGTACTTGAAAGAAATGGAGGGAGGGGTAAAAGTGAAAATATCGTCTCTCTCATCTCTGTATCTATAAATATGTCAAAGTAGGGTGGTATGTCTTTCATGCTGTGGCCGAGAGTTGTACGGAACTCACACAACCCTCCAGTTTCAGCCTGAGCGCCGTAAGTAGCGTAAGTGAAATCATTCCACCAGACAGGTAACTATTACAGAGGGCCTTACTATCCAGGAAGGTCTAACGCGGTTCCAGCGTGGAAATGAGATCCATAAAACGCAAGATACTATTCTATAGACCCAGTGCTATCTGCAGTTGGATTGCGCGTACGAGCGCCACCACGTTGTAGTGGTTGTCCTATTCTACTGCAGAGATGGCTGCAATGCCCTAATCGATATCTTAATTGGCTTTTATATATAAATTCAATTACTTTTATAACTAACGGTGGGTGAACTCCGGGGCTCGCAAGAAGTTACGCATTAGGAATAGTGGCGATATCCTGGCTAGGTAGGAGTGGAGACGATCCAACACAGCTGAGCCCTATTCTTGGGTACTCTCCATACTTTTACGGTATGGTAGGGCCTACTCAGCTATCAATGCGGGGATATACTTGTTCGAAGTATTTTTATTTGTCACGATAGTAGTTATGTGAGAAGTGACGTTGCTAACTGTCTGATGCAACATCCGAGCAGCGCTCGGCTCATCGAGTGATGAAAGTGTATATATGATTACATACTATGATTGATTAGAAGACATTTTATCTTCTTGGGCCTGGGGGTATGGAACCGAGGGCTCAAATATGGGAAACCGAGGTGCATAGGTTTGAGTAGTATTGCTGGAGAGTTCCTCTGCTCCCTCCGCATCGAGTGATATAAAGCGAGACAGTTCCAGGTCGTATCTCTCATTAGCCATCTTTGTCTCGACATTGTTACCTCAGAATGTCCCCGATTCAAGTTCCAAAACCAAACACCGACACCATGGGACAAGATATCCAAATTCCGAAAAGATTGAGCAATGGCTTCGGTCTTGTGTACAAGCGAACTGTTCAAGTGATGGTGATTTCGATGGTTATTTTCTTTGCACCTTTGTCATTCACGTACTTCTTTGACAAGACACATACATCCAACCTGAGCGATAAGGTTCTCGCCATCCTAATATCCCCAAAGTTTGCATATGGGGAGGGCTCGGGCACTATGTCTGATGTTAAAGGCGGTCAGATGGTAGTATATTTGCGCAACTTGACAGCCATGTTCTCTCACACGATTGCCGGTTCTATAGCCATCGTTATTGGTCTAGTCCAATTCAACACGACCCTGCAGTTCAAATACCCAGTGATCCATCGATACCTTGGGAGATTATATTTCCTATGCGCCATGACCATCACTTGGTCCTCGAGGTCTTTTTTAGCTGATGCTGTGCCGACAAAGGAAGTTTTCTCGGGTGACCCCTTTGCATATATCCTGTCGTCGCTATCAATCAGTCTCCCATTGACTATGGCCTGTGCCATATATGCCATTTGGAACCGCGACATTGGCTCTCACCGAGAATTCATGGTCCTCAATTATGCATTCATGCTATCAGCTCCAATCCTAAGAGTGCAATGGATAACCCTGGGTCGACTCTGGGGCGAAACCAAGTACATCGTCAACCTTTATTCTTCTATATTCAGCGGACCATTCTTAGTCGCAGCCTCCATATTCTACCTTCGCCAACGACATGTCCGCCCTTCGAATTCGCTCCTGACCAACCCAAATACCCGCATAATAGCAACAGCGAGCGGCTTACTTGGCCTTCTCTTTCTGGCCATCAAAGGTCCAAGCTTCAACGGAGGACCTCGTCCAAAAGCATTTTGGTTAGCACTAGGACCACAGCTAATCTGTTATATGGCCTTATTCACTGCGTTTGCACGTGCTGCAAAACGTCGCGGAGATATGCGGTCCTATACGGCGTGGATAACTTACCAGAATGGACTGATTAGCGCACCGATGTGGAGTGTGCTTGTCATGTATATGGCTCGGAATCATATGAGCTGTTCGGAGGACAGTTTGGGCTTGATTACTGTTGCTGGAGGGATTAGTCAGGGCTTGTTTATGTCGTTCATGGTTTATGTCTTTGCAACTTCGACTTTGGTTAACCCGTATCGTCGCGCTGTTAAGAGTCGTTGAGTTTGTTATTTTTGCTATGGATTAAGTTTGTCTCTCATAGTCTGAGATCTCAGTATGCAATGATATCGGACTCAGTCTTTTATGATTTTCATATATAGAAGGTCAAACATTGATGGTTTAGAGCCTGTCTAACTGATTATGTCCGGAAAACCGTGCCCTAACTCGGTGGCAACTCCGCAACAATTGCTCAGGCCCCTTACCGGTCCCTTTAACCAATTTCTTTTGTTAGATTATTACACAATCTCTAATTTATTTCTCTAATTCTCCCTATAGAATTGCTAGATAGCTCCTAATAACTAAGGACTAGATGGATGATTGTAGAGGGTGAATCTGCTCTACTTTTCTTTTTCCTTCTTTGTGTCCATACTGTGAACCCCTGCTAGGAATAAACCTTCAATGAGAAGATAATATATAGTCTAGCATAATTTGTTGGAGCCTAGCTATGAGGCGTGACAGACAAGGTGCAGAAGCAACTGATCTGATTGACCGGAGGTGATTTATTTAAGATTTAGTAAACAACGACTTGCGGACGTTTCGGATTCTTGGATAGTAGTAGTTGAGTGGGTTTAGTAAGCTCCTTTCAGATCTCTAGACTGTGCGAAACGGTAGTTTCTGCGTAATATATTAATATTAATTTTATCTTATCTTATTTTCCCCTTAGCATTTTACTGCCATATTTTCATACAGGAGGCTCCCTTGTGGCTACATGTAGTGGAGATGGCGTTTGGTACTACATACCTAGGTTTGTAGATAGGACTAGCTTCAGTGCCAGGGAACGCAATATCATATTATATTCTCAGAGAAGAAACAGAATCATTAGACCATGTCGTGAATATTAAATCTGTCAAAGAAACCACCAAGCACACCCAAAAGGCATCTCCTAAGCCCCTTCCCTCAACCTAACAATCACATTCTCCCACGGCGCACTAGTCAGCGTAGCATTAAACCGAATATCCCTCTCTGGCCTCGCATCCACAATCCGATCAAACCTCTGCAAAAGTCGAACAAGCACATATCCAGCCTCGGTAAGTGCGAATTGCTGCCCGATACAGATTCTCGGACCCCCGTTGAACGGCAAATACTCCCACCCGACCTTGAGATTCTCCCAGCGGTCCGGATTGAACACCTCCGCGTCCGCGCCCCAGATATCCTTCCGTCGGTGCGTGACAAACACGCTGTACACGACGGGCTGGCCCTTGCGGACGTACACGGGCTCGGAGCCGTCCGGGCCTCCGCCACGGGGAAGGGTGGTATCCTTTACCGCGACGCGACGGTTTCCTGGAACGATGGGGTAGAGACGAAGGACCTCGTTCATGAAGTAGTGGAGATAACGACAGGATTTGAGCGAAGCGAAGGTGATGTTCCTTGGATTTTCATAGTCACCGAAGTCGGCTAGGATAGTATTGCGGAGCTTCTGGAAGATATCCGGATAGCGGGCGAGGAGAAGAACGCACCAGCTCAGCAGCGAAGCGGTGGTATCTCTACCCGCGAGGAGGATGTTGAGGAGTTGGGAGCGGAGTTCGACGGGGTCTTGTGTTGCGGCAGTTAGACCGTGGAGAAAAACATAATGGTCCGAGTTGCTCTTTTCGGGGTTGGTTTTGCCTTCTTTTACAGCGGCTAATGCAGCGTCGACAAACCGGTCGACGTAGGCGTGCACAAAACGGTTGGTTTCGCGACTTTCTTTGTTGTTTACTATCCAGTGGAGCTTTTCGAAGCGCGCGCGCTGCGAGGCGTACCATTGGCCGCGGTCGAAGTAGGAGGGAAATTTGTCTTCGATGATTCTACCACCGCTTAATGCGGCAGATTGGCTTTCGACGCTTTCGCCGAAAAGGAATTCCGTGGCAGAGTCGATGGTCAGTCGGAAGAAGATCGTTTGGATGTCGATTTCAGAAGTCCATTTGGTGGAAGGGTCAGCGGGTATGCCGGCCATGGCTTTTTGGACGTGGCGTTCTTCGAGATCGAGGTCGCTGACTTGGTCGCGGGTGAACTGTGGACGGAGAAGGGTCCGCGATCGCGACCAGGATTCGCCGTCTGTTGAAAACTGGATTGAGATTGGCGGTGTCAGTGACCGTCGTAGCTTGTTTGAAATGGATCTATGCTGTGTGTGGCATAGGGTGAAAAGGGACTCACAATGCCGGAGCCCAACAGCGGGCGCAGGGAATGTCTTCTGAGATCACCAAGCTCGAATTCCTTGAACTGTGTAGCTAAAATGGCCTGCATATTCTTCGGGTCAGAAGTAAAGATGCTCTCCCTCCCCATCTGGCGGAGGCGGAAGGTCGACACGTATCGTCCTTCACGGGCTGTCATCGTTTCGACACGCCGTGCGGATAAAACGGGGATGAGTTTCTCCTTGTCAGCACGCAGAACTTCCTTCAACGTGTTGATGCCGAGTATATCACCCGGATAGGTGGGGATAGCACCGCAGTGCCACTTGCGAGCATTCTGAGCATGACGAAGGCTCGTAAAGATTGACCAAAGGAGACGGAAGACGACCGCGAGGGCCGCAAGAATGAGCAGGGGAATCATGGTGGACTTTCTCGTTCCCGGTGGGCGGTTGATGCGGTGCAACAAAGAGGACAAAGGGTGGATGTACAGCAATATTTAGCCCTCCAGATCGGTCAATTCTACCTCGGGCGATAACATTATCACCGAGGGTATAGGTCCAGAAGTGGAGAAGCATCCTGGTCTAGTGGTGCATAGGAGGACGAGTGATATGGCTGAAATGAATTAATCCCCATTTAGTGTATACCCCATATAGATGGTTTCATATTAAAGCCGCAGCCATTGGCTTAAGCCAGCCGGGCCACTGTCCCACCAAGTCATCATGACACTTCGAACAGTAACCCACTACGGTACTGACGAAACGCCGATCCCTCTTGGCTTGGTCATGATTGACGGGGTATATCTTGGTCGGAGTCGTCCGAGAGCATTGTCATTCGGACTCCCACTGGCCAGTCGGAGATACCGGTATTTTGTTTGGGAGGGGGCGGTCGGAGTCCGGGGAGGCCGAGTCACTAGGAGATACGCTCAGATCATCATAGATGTATCGGGCATACCGCATGCGGCATGTGAGGGAATGACGGCGAAGGTGGCGGCTACAAGGGTTGAATCTTCAGGGGGTCATGTGATGGATGTCTAGTGACATTGATCACTTGGATGTTGGCCGTTGGATGTACTATGTCCTAAGGCATTCAGGCTGCTACTTTAAATGATCCTCCACTTCCTTGGCAATTCATGTGGTGCTGACATAAGTTTTCCGCTCCGTTTGTTTCTCCGGGCATGTTATCCCACGTCATGTGGCTCAACGCCAGTATGCAAGATGACGGCTGAAATACGAACGATGACACCAAGACTTCTACGGAAAATAGTACTTGAGCCTGGGTACCATCATAGCAGTGCCAAGTCCTGATACTCGAACGTGGGCGGATGATTATTTATGGAGACATGACCTATCATGTCCATTGATATGTACACGTTGCGAACACCAGTTCAACTTTAGTACAATATGCGGCCGCAGGCCATTTCACGTCGCATCTAATCCATAGCTAGCATTAACATTTAACATAGCGAGTCTAGAACTCTGGGTATCTTTAACATTGACACGAGAGTCGGTCGCGTAGACATCATGGCGGCCCGCAGGTGATGTCCAAGATGGGGTCCGTGCGACACTTTAACAGCAGATCTCACAGCACTCGAAGCAAGCCAGACCGGCGCAACTGTACATGACTCATTAGCTTTGTGCATTACACTCATTTGAGAAGCATCACGGTCTCATTAGGTGGGGGAGTAAGGGGAACTTACATTCCGCAGCAGATGCCACCGCCATTTCCACCACCACGGAGGTTCATGTTCATCTGTTCCTGGCCGGCCTGTTGGATTATTAGCTATATGATACGAGGGTATTCATCAAAAGAAATCACGGTCGCAGAAAAACGTGGATAATTATGGGAATGGGAGGGTGTCACGCACAGGCTGCTCAGTAACGACCTGCTGCTGGTTGGGAGCCGCAGGGCTAGTAGGCTGCTCCATGGTGAGGGTGTTGGGGTTCCAGGTAGGCTGCTGGGAGGTCTCCTCCTCCTTGGAAGACTTGAACCAAGAGAATCCGAACATTTTGATGAGAGGATGTGGTGTTGGTGAAAGTGTGTGTGAGGGTGTGTGAGTGTTGAGAGAGGAAGATTGAATGTTGGAAAGAGGATGAGAAAAAAAAAAATAAGTCAAAGAATTTCACCAACGAAAGGGATTGAGGGACGAATAAATAATCCTGGTGCCTGATGATCACGGCACATGATCGGCGAATCCCAAATTTGTGTTAGCTGAGAGAATTCGAAGGAATGGACGAGGGCTGACGCCGTGATTACGGGCCGTTTCAGGTAGTCTCAGTCTCTTGTTGGACCTCCCATGGGGAGAATACGCTAGGAGACCTGGTTTGACAGGGGTTTCTGAGCGAATTACCAGGTCAACTGGAAGTTGTTGACAGCTTGTTGACGCTGAGCTGCTGCCGGCGTAACAACCGGAGGGATCCACTTCTGTCCCGCTCAGCCTTGTCTTAGGGCAGTTGGCCAAGCCTCCTTGGCACTTGCTTGACAGTGCTCAGCCTTCCCACCAAATATAGCAACATCTCTTTATATTCTATTCTTGTCACCCATGACGTGTATCGTGAATCTATCTCGAATCTAGGCTACACTTTACGCCTCACCAGTCCGCGGAGGAAGTCGAAGCTATTACTGTCGCTCTGCAATTGCCATATCCGCCCGGTCGGCCGATCGTCCCATCCCAATTCCTCGGCGAGCAATAACCCATAGTCTCGGGTGATACCCTTGATTCGGGCCCTGGCGCCGCCTTCTTCTTCCAAAGTAACAACCTGATGCATATGCAACCAGTCACTGTAGTACATCTCCTCGAATGTTTTATCGAAACCCGTTCGGAGGAAGCGAGTGTGTAGCTCTTCGAACGTGGTTAAGAATCGTGCCAGGAGCTTTTCAAGGGTAATAGGCGCCGTTTTATTACCGAGGAAGTGTGCGGCCAGCGCGTTCAAAGAAGTAGTCGGCGACGCGTTGGTTGCGTTGACGCCGATGCCGACCACTGACGTGTATTCGCCCGATGAGTAGTGCGAGTTTACCAGAATACCACAGATTTTGGTATAGCGTTTCTTATCAGCGTTCTCGGGATCCAGGGCATCTGTTCAGTCAGTATAGTAGCGGGTATCCGGGGGTTTCTACAACTCACAGATGTCATTCGGCCATTTCATTTTGACAGGCATCTCCTCGAAGCCCTTGTCGTAGCTCTTGATACCTTGCACCACCGCCATGGCTGCTAGGTACTGAATGAAGACAACCGGCGCAGACTGCATCTTCTCCATTGGGTGGCGGACCACCGTCGAGAACATTAGGGCGCCCGCGGGCGACACCCAGACGTTGGAGCCTCGGCCTCGTCCTGCGACCTGCGTAGTAGCGGTGGCCGTGAACCCGTTCGGCAAGTTGCGAAGAAGCTTCGGATTTCTGTCCGGGTTAGAAACGGCCAGCATACCTTGACATGTAGGACTTACTTTTCTAGTATGGTGTTAGTGCTCGTGACAACCTCTCCATAGACAATGCTGGAGCCAAACTCCGACGCGCCCTCCTTCATTTGCGATTGGTATTGCCGGAGATTGGAATAGAACGCATGGTGGTTGAAATAGGGGGTCATCTTCGACGATGGTACGTCTTCATGGATCACAAGGTGTTTTACAATAGCATTGTAATCGATGATGCCCTCTTCAGCCTTACCCGAGTCCTCTTTCGAATCGTCCGGAAGGGCCTCTTGTAGCGATTGCATATTCCAAGCCTCAGGCTTCTCGATGCGGAACGTGTCGTTCTCATCCTTGAGGTACTGGTGCGCTCCATCAGTAGTGATGAGTTCCTGCAGTGACGAAAGAATCGAGGAGGTATCAGCTGGGTCCATGGAAGAGATATGCAGCGAAGAAAGTGACGGCACGGTCGTCGTGTTCTGTGTGACTTGCAGTCCCAACTTCGTCAAACAGGCCTTTAGGAAGTCCGTCCGCGCCCTGTCATCCGCAGCTAAGCCGTCTACCAATTTGCCGTATTCCGGACCGCCGGCATTTTTGTCGAGGTTCACGGCAGCGAATCTAGACACATTAGTCTCCGTTCAAATCACCTCGCCAGGATACATACTCCGGATGTGGCCCCGTCAGAACCGCCGCCCCCTCACCTACTTTGCAGTAGACAACAGCCGCCGCACCCGATCCCGAGTCGACATTGAGCTCCTCTGTATAGCTGGCCAGCACCTCGACGCCCTTATCCGCATACGAGGATGCATTCACGAAGACGCCGCCCCCATTGTAATACGACCGGAAGCTCTCCGGCACAATGCCCACATTCAAGGCCTCCTTGGACACCTTCAGCTCCGCCGCCCGCGCACCGGCCTCGCTATGATAAACAAAGCCAGAGAATGCGCATCCTCGACAGATACCCGGGAAGAAAGCCAGCTCGCGATCCCCGATCACCTCGTAGGTTTTATCGCCGACCTCGAACTCGCACCGTTTGCAGCCGTAGTAACCCCCCGCACAGAAACCCAAGTAGGCGCCACCTCGGCGGACGAACTGTTCAATTCGGCGGTTACCTGGACCGTTCAGGGCTCGACAATATCCTAGATCGGCTCCGCCGGGGATCACGAGTAGGGCGCAGGTGAGGGTCCATGGCTCCTTGATGAGCATGTCGGCTGTCACAGGGATCACGGCATAGTGGGGGGCTAGCAGGCGGCGGAGAGTGTAGAGGCAGTGGCGGACGGATTCAACGGTGGTTCCATTGCCTGTATAGACATAAATTGATTAGTATAACGTGAAATTGATCCATATATATTGGGACATACCGGAGTAGACCAGGACGTTGACCTTCTTCCCCGTGGTGTTGGGGCCTGCGGATGACATTTCGGAGTTCAAGAATTCCCTCCGACAATTCCTCGTCCTGACAAACAACTACCAGCGCCTTATTCACCTGCAATAATTTCAATCACAATGTCGCCCAAGGAGCAAAACCCGAGAGTGGTGGACGTGGACGACGACGAGCCGGATGAGTGGTAAGAGAGAGAATGAAGTGATTGCGGAGAAATGAATGACTGTTCGTGAACTGACGCGGGGAATCGTTTTCTTAGGGATAAGCGGATCTTCAGCACGGGCTGCTCAGGTGGGCTGCAAATCTGGACGGTTACCAACGGAAGATCGCTGGACTGACCCTGCGTAGTGGAGCAGGATAAAATGAACGACTGTTACTTTGCGAAGAAGGACTGGCGGGCGTGCAAGAAAGAGGTGCGTTGGTTTCCGATACCTTGTATCCCGACATCCTACGCCCAACGCCCAATACCCAGCACCGCTGTAAAAACCACAATATGGGATATTTTTGTGGACTACCACAAATTCACATATACCTCAATCCGGACCTCATACTCAAGGCTCAGCTCAATTGACAGACTGCTAATTATGTCCCAATCATACAGATGGAGGCATTCCGCGAATGCTGGAAGCGCAAGGGCAACGACGAGCGCACCCAAACGAAGGACGCTTGAATCTGCTACACATAATCTATTTATCCTAGACCCCTATGTACTACTATACTATGTACACTAATCAGATCCAATCCATCTCCCTTCTGCCATCCTTGTTCAAAACAGTCGATATCGTATCACGTGATTATATCAAGCTATCAACGTAACATCAGAAATCCGACTCACCTCCGCATCCCAGAATTAACGCCAGCTCCAATCCCAACCCCCAACCCTGAACAGACACAAAAATGTCACTTCCCCGCAGCCTACGGGCAGCAGAAACTCTCCTGTCCCGAACAAAAACGCCCATCCACCCCCAACTCAGAACCCTCAGCACAACCTCCCACCGACAACAGCAACAACAACAACAACCACCCAAACCAGCACCAACACCCACAACCACAAACTACAAACCAACACCACCAACCACCCCAACCAACTCCCAAAAACAACCCTCCCCCCAAGTCGCCAAAATCCTCTCCCCAACCCCAACCCACCCCACAACCCCCAACATCTCCAAAACCGGACTCTTCGACAAACCCCTCGAGCTCGAGACCACCCCAGAAGAAAAAATCGACTGGACGCGCTCCTTCCACGGACTTTCCGCAGCCCCATTCCCCAAGGAAGCGGCCGATATACTCCTCGCCGAGACGGACCCGGAAGAAGTGGAGATCAAGCCCGATGGCATACTCTACTTGCCGGAGATTAAGTACCGCCGGATTTTGAATCGGGCGTTTGGACCCGGTGGATGGGGGCTTGTGCCCCGGAGTGAGAGTATTGTTACTCCAAAGACGGTTACGAGGGAGTATGCTTTGGTTTGTAATGGACGGTATGTTTCTTCTTTTCCTTTTCCTTTTTCTTTTTCTTTTTGTTGGGGATTGGGATTGGGATTTGATTACTGGATTGGGATGGTTTGGCTAAATGATTTGTGTAATGGATAGGCTTGTTTCTGTTGCGCGCGGCGAACAGGATTACTTCTCCCCCGATGGGATTCCGACTGCGACGGAGGGATGTCGGTCCAATGCGCTGGTGCGGTGTTGCAAGGATCTAGGCATTGCGAGCGAGCTGTGGGATCCACGGTGGATCCGCAAGTACAAGGCGCAGTATACGCGGGAGGTGTTTGTGGAGCATGTGGTGAACAAGCGGAAGTCGAAGATCTGGGTGAGGAAGGATGATGAGGTTTCTTATCCGTGGAAGGAGTTGAAGTGATGCGTTGTCGTCATTTTGCTGGGCTGAGGTAATGTCTCATTCATGGGGCTCTGGACTGTTTGTTCACTGTGATACCCGCCACATATTTGTACTATAGGTCTTTTTTTTTATGCTAATTTGTATTATGAAATATCTCCGATTTGGTCAGACTTCGATTTCTATGTATGATACTGGTAAAATAGAAAACTAGATTGCTAGTCCATATCGCTGGATAGAAGAGACATCGTACACACATTGGTTCCCGTACATACTGTGCACAGCTGGTATTACAAAACGCCCAAAATTATAAAATCATACCCTTTTAATCATTTCTTATGTATGCTTTTAACTGGTTATTCAGCGAGTGTTGTGGCTGTTCGCTCCGTATTGCGATGTGCGCGAGACGAATGCACCGGGCATCCGCTCATTGGAGGGGTGTTGTTCGTTGGTCGGCGACTGATTCATGTGCGGCGACGGATATTCACCGTAGGTCTCCTGCTCTGAGGGCTGTGGCATTGAGGGGAGCTCATACCGCTCGCTGGAGTCATATGGACTGTCCTCGTAGTAGTGGCCGGGGTAGGCCTGGTACTCCGCTGCCGGCGGTGCCGGTGGTAGAGGTGCGGAGGGAGGTGGTGCTGGAGCCGTGACAACATGCCGAGGCGGAACGGGCGCCGCCAGGATGGGAACACCGCCCGTGGCAGTGGGGTAGGTGTTCTGGGTGCTCTGATTGCCGCTGGCCTTGCGGCGGCCGGTCGATGGCTCGCGGTTGAGGGTGCCATGGGGGACGCCCAACTGATCCTTTCTTGGGGAGGCGGCCGGCGATTGGAAGCTCTCCGTGTCGTGTCCCTCGCCTTCCCCAGCGGAACGACTGGAATCGACGAAGGTACCTTGGCTGTGAGAGGTGGACGAGGCTCCGCCTCCACGACGCTGCAGGGAGCCGGAATCCCGGCCAAGGTCCAAACCGGTCGACCGTGAGTCACCATATGGCATAGTCGGATCATGGAGGCTGTCCGTAGCGGTGAGACTAGACACTGCCATCTTTTCGGTGTTGAGGCCGGGGCCGTTGTTATCACCTCCATCGGGCTTATCATCGTTGTTATCTTCGGCAGCAGGTTCCTCATCGGCCGCACCAGGGGCGCGAATAGGAATCTTGCGGATGGCTGCAACCAATGCGCACATGAACTTGGAGCGACGGGCCGCGCGAACCGACTCAATGGCCCAGTTTGATTTATGGCAGATGGTAACAGCGAGCTCTAGCTTATCCATATCACCCACCCCAGCGAAATCAATGCTGACGTCCGGCTGGAAGTCACGGCTGTTCTCCTTGTCGCGGACAAAGAGCTCCATTTCTTGCCGAAGCATTTCGACATCGGAGAAGTTCGTGTCAAATTTGATGGGAATAGTCAATGTCTCATGCATGGCGTTGGAACGGGTGAAATTGTCAATCCAAAGCGTGTTCAGCACGACGTTGGGAACCTGGGTGGTTCGACGGTCGGTCACGCTGGTAAAGACCGTGAAAAGCAATGAGATACGTTCCACCGTGTATGGCTGGCTGGAGATTTCCACCCGATCGCCGACGTCGAAAGGATGTTTCACAAACAAGAAGATACAGGAACCAAGGACTTCTTGAGCGGTGGTGGCGAAGACGAAACTCAGGGATAGTAGAGAAGTGGCACCCGCAGCGATCACCGTGCCAAAGCCGCTTGTCACAAATGAGACAAAGACCAAAACACTGATACCGAACGCAATCGTCATCAAGAGATTGTCCAAAACGTGAATCGCCTGGTCCACATCATGCATGCTGTGGTTCAATGCTTTCCTTCCGCGACCAATCTCCGCGACAGTCAGGATCATCTCGTCCAAACTAATATCACCATTGCCATCCCGGTCCAGGATTTGGAAGCATTCCTCTGCCTCCGCTTCCTTACCGGCACCCAATACCTCGGCAATATCTTCGAAATACAAGGCCTCTCGCCCCTCAATAACGAACGACATCCAGATTCGGCGCGCCAGGGCTTCCGACGACCTCTTGCGCTCCAACGCGAGCGTGACAATGGAGCGAGCGGAGTTGGCATTGAACACTTCTTTACCTGTGAGTTCTTGAGCGACATCACCGAATGCTGCCGTCACCTTGTCACCGATCCGGCCAACATTTTGCCCAACTTCCCTAATCAGCCGCAAGGGCGCCGATCCCGAACGCGGCATACCCTTCACTTTGCTGGCGATGATGTCGGTCATCGCAGTATCTTCCTCGCGAAATTCCTTACAGTACATGGGGAACATACTCCGAGAGGCATCGTACAGTTCTCCCAGGAGGGTGACGTTGCGCTTGGATTCTTTGATCTTCTTATCGAATTGCTTTCGGTGGTAACTGATCGAGATCAGCTGCACGATAGCTTTCTCGGCGAGGAAAATCAAACTGCAGACGAATAAGGCAAACAGAATGTTCTTGATCGTTTTCTCCCAAGACTTAGTTCCCGTATCATTCTCTGCCTTCTTGACAGGGTTCAACGTCATAATCTACATGCGGCCTGATTAGCAAGTGGCCTGCTGCTGTATCGAATTTTGGAAGATTTTGGAACATACCGGTAAGAAAGTGACTAGGGAGACCACAGCCCAGAGCACGGTGGCGATGGGAAATTTCAGGCTCTGGAGAATCAAGGCATACTTGCGGGTGCCAGAGCTAACGATACCAACCAAGAATTGGAAGACATAGGGGAGGAAGTGAGCGAAGATTTTGCACACCCACAAGCTTAGCCAGACTACCTCAATCCAGGTGAAAAACCAATGCAAGGGTACGCCGCCAATCCTCGTGTCTTGACGGACGGTGGCACCCACAATAATGGGAATTGCAATCAAAAGCGCTAGGGGAGACACATAGATGAGATATCTGGTGATGATGGAAAAGTTGAAGACGGCTTGGTAGATGCGTCCCATGCGCGTCAGGGTCCCATCTTCTGGATCGTCCAATGACCGCGCTCGCGCCGAATCAATTCGTTTGCGACGTCCTGGACCGGTGACCAGGGCGGCCTTTTCTTCGGCACCTCCCTCTCCCGGCGGTTCATACAAATTGGGGTCAGGGCTCGTGGGGTTGATACTGGTCTTGCGAGCGCCTGTTTGTCCCCGACTAGGGACGGGGTTTAGAGGAATTTCAATGGTGACATCGTTTGGGTTGGCCATGCCGTCGCCAGAATAATCAGGGATCTGTTGGAAGCGATGTGCCGACAGTCGCTTTTCAGCGAGACCAGGCCGAGTCGACATTAGAGCTGCAGACGCGGCACGGGCAGTGGGATTGACGGCCAGTTATATTTTAAAAAGAGCGACAGCTGTCCAGCAGCCCAAAGAGGGGTAAAATTAGTAACTGCGAGCGAGCGACTCCAAGGAACAGTTTCGATTTAGGTTATCGAATGGCAAGCATCAAGGCAGATTCTAGATGCCACTCCCACTGGTTCTTGTGGGGGAGAGGTGGGTCAAACCCAGCACCCAAAGGTGAAGCAGGAAAAGATCAACAGATCAATTCGTATCTGAAAAAAAGAGCGTAACTCGTCAAATGAGAGTGAGGGACAGATCAGGACACTGATACGAGACAAACGAAGGACGGTCAATCTGGTTAGGATGTAAAATGGGGGAGAAAGAGAAAGAGAAGGAAAAAGGAAGAAAGAAGTGTGAAGGAACAAGCCGCAAAGGATCTGAAAGGGCAAAAACATGTGTACTCCGTACCACGGGTATCACTCAGGGCAAGAAAGATAAAAAAAAAAAAAATTAAATTAAATTTGAAAAAATTAAAAAAAGCCACCTCAGGCTATTCCAGGCACCATCATGGGGCGGGCGTGTTTCACCATCGATTAGAATCGAGTGGTTCCCGTCTTAACGTTCAACCTCCATTGTCATGAACAGGGGTTGCCTGGGAATTCTGGCTGGAATTCTCTCCGGTCAATCCATTCTTGACTCCATTCCCAGCGCGTGGTCATGCATGATTTTTCCCGTCCTGGGTGATTCTTCGTGGGGAGCGATACTGTCCATCGTGACATCGTGACTTGAGACTAGTACTCAGTAGTCCTCCATAGTATATGATGAAGACATGGTGGATATTCGAGGTGATGAACGCCCAATCAGCCTTGTGGACAATTTGTTGGACGATCTTTTTTTTTTCTGTGCTTTTTGCAGCCCGTGACCCTGCCAAGTCTCCGGCTGTTCCCCACCATGAGAAAATATCACCCGACAGTCATTTGATTGGTTGGAAGTTCAACGCCGGCTACCAAAATGAGGAAGGCAACAGTACCGTAATTTGGCCAGGGCTCAAAGAAGTATTATTAGTATTCTTAGTAGTATTCTTAGTGTTCGTTGGTATTAACTAGTATTTAATGAGATAGTCGTGAATACGTATACTCTCGGTCAGATCGCTCCATCGTGACTTGGGTCTAGAGCATATGCATCGTCCCAATACTGTAGATCGGTCTCTCCGTTTCCATACCTAAATTGGGTAAAATCTGACACGTATCCATTTACGGTCTGTGAGCAAAAAAGTTCAATGGTGTACGTGAATCAATTCGATTGCTAATATCCTTCCCAAGAAGGATCCCAAAGTGGCGGAATTGAAACAAAAGTGGCAAACCAATGCGGGTGCAAAAGCTCTAGCCGAGGGTGTAACCAATGCGAATCGTGAATATTTCCTCTAGTCAATTCATAGTAAGACTATAATTCCGGTGATCGACAATGAGAGATTGATGACATCGGATGGGGTATTTCTAACGATAGACGAGCACAATGGACAAGTTCCTGTTCCTTCACTGGTAACTGGTTTAAGAAACCAACATCACAATGCACTTTTCTCTGTTCCTCGATCGATCCGATCATTGACTGACGTAAAACGCCCATAAGTCTCCCTTGGTTAAGCTCAGCGTTAGTGACCCGAAAAATGGCCAATCAATGGGCCTCGTCAAACAACAAGTCTTAGGAACCCATAAAAAACGTGACTTTCCCGACGATCGTCTTAGCCCTTGCGTTTGGTCCTCTGGAAACTCGCCATCTCAGACAACAAGACCATGTTGGAGAGGGGAAGTGGGTCTGACATACTGAGTTATTGGTCTCTAACATCATTATTGCGTTGGAGCGTGAGTTTCTGCTTGTACATACATAGTCCTATGATAATAAACGACGGGGCATCGGAGAATGTTGATCAAAGCGTCATAGATTCATAAAGCCGGGTCCGTAGTTGAGTATGAACAAGGCATCATTCGCTGGAGAATAATAATTACAATGAGATATTATCCAACTCATCCGGAACTGAGAGAGAGAGCGAAACCAGCACTCAGCCTACCACGGTCTTAGTTGCATGCCTTAATAGGTAATAAAGGTAGTGGGCTCAAATATATATCGATCTTCGCATACTAGTATTACATAGTGTTGATTGAGGCATCGGAGTCGGACTGAGATTTGTCTCCGACATATAAATGCACAGACCATTTAAAGAGGTACACATACTTTAAAGGACTATTGATCAATTGACATTTCACGTTGTTGGTGAGGTTCAAGGTCCATACAGCGACTTTGATAAGCACCAGATAAGACCAGAAGGCAGAACATCGAAATGCCAAGAATTTCATGAAATTCAAAATGTCAAAATGTCATGAATTCCAATATTGGCATTTTGAAATACCTAGTGGAATATCATTCAACCTTGTTTATTGTACGCATACCTCGTGAAATTGACCCTGCAGTTACTCTCTGCAAACAATATGTCCATGAAAAAGACAATTAGAAGGGCAATGACTTGTCTGACAAGTGTTTGGGATTTGGATTTCAAAATGTCAAAATGTCAAAAAATTCATGAAATCCATGAATTTCAGATTGTCAAGGTTTTGATTTGCTTGCTACTAACCGACTTATAATGCGTACTGCCTAGTTTCATACAGGCCCCGGTTTCCACCAGTGAAACATACAGCACAAACACTCCGTTGAAGCTGAAAGTCTAAAACAGTACTTCCAGTTCAACTTCGAATTATTACGGGCATTAGGAGAACGGTACCTGCTGTTGAAACACATTTGGCCGAATCACCTGGGTTAATTGAACAGTGTTACAGACTGTTTAAGAAACTGTTCAATAGCTTGTTGGACAATGTCCGAGTCGCTAAAGCTGCTTAATATCCTACTCGCGGCCTGGCCTCTGACCTTTACTACGGTTACACCATTGAGATCGTACCTCCCGGAATGGCAATATTGTGAACCGTTGCAGATGGCCATTAAAACAACTACGGACACTACCTATTCGACCAAAAAGCCACAGGCAACGGTTGTTTAACCTGAGTACAGTACTAAATGCCACCCTCTGCTATCTCACCCCAAAAAACAAACACCTTCCGGATCACAACCTCCTGCGTCTCATCAGACAGCGCCAAATGCACCGGAAGCAGCAAGATCTGCGAGCTTGCAAGTGACGTAACACGGTCATCTCCATGAAAACGACTGTAACTCCTACCAAAAGGAGACGAATGTAGCGGCATAAACTGTGGATGTACCTGAACATCGGCGCTTGCCATATGCCGAATCATATCCTGGCGCTGCGTGGGGTCCATAAGCCTGATTTAGAACACGTTCGTATTATGGGTGGTATTATCAGGAACATGGGGTAAAGTAATGTACCCCTTGTGGACCAAAGGTAACAAACTGACAAAGTAACGGTTCCAGATATGCATTCTGCGCGCATTGATGCAATCCGCAGCTTGTAATTGTGCGTACAAAAACGCTGCCTGCAGCTCAGAAAGAGTGGCAATCAACCCCAGATTCAGCCACTGGTAGCGATCAACTTCACCGCGCGTAAAGCGCGAACGGTTAGTCCCGTGGTCATAGAGGATCACGGCTCGCTCGACCAGCGCTGGGTCATTGATTAGGAGGGCACCTCCCTGACCTCCGGCTGTAAAGTTCTTCTTTTCCTGAAAGCTGAGACAGCCGACGTTGCCGATAGTGCCGAGCATCTGCCCCTTATAGGTAGACATACACGCCATGGCTGCATCCTCGCAGACGAATAGCTTGTGCCACTTGGCGACCTCCATGATTTTGTCCATGTCGCATGAGACTCTGCCATAATGAACGGGAATGATTGCTCGCGTCTTGGGAGTGATGGCTTCTTCAATAAGGTTCGCGTCAATGTTCATCGTGGCGTCTTCCAAATCTACAAACACTGGTACGGCGCCCCGCAGCGCGAATGCGTTCACAGTTGTCACGTACGTATAGCTAGGGACAATTACCTCGTCGCCCGGTTGGATATCAGCAAGTATGGCAGCCATTTCCAGGGCGGAGGTGCAGGAGGAGACAACCAGTGCTCGTCCGCTATTGCCTTCCAAGAACTGTTCCAGCCATTGTTCACAAAGCCGGGTGTATTTTCCCTTGCCAGACAGGCTCTTCAGAGTGAGTACATCTTCAATATTGGCTAATTCGGTGCCGATAATGGTGGTGCAAGTTGTAGGGATAGTATTGGTGTGTTTATCCATATTCGGAAGTGTTGCCTCGGTGAAACCTGAGGGACAGACAGAGGGACAGATATAAGGACCATAGTTAGGCGCGCCATTTAAGACTCATACGCGGTCCAGAAAGCAGGAATCGAGTATTTTGAAACAAACTGGAAACGCCACATCAGAGGATATTTAGTGCCACAGACGCAACCTGGTAGGTGTAACCGCATTTTAAACGTCTTTGAGTTGAAACCCGGCGCTGACCCTCGGGAGATACAAATACGAATTCCGGACAATGAGATTGAAACTCGCTTGATAATTTTATCACTGACCTTGACGACGATGGCTATTAACGAATTACGTTGGGGTATTCTGGGTATGCACTTATAATGCATCATGGGTATGGTTCAGTACAGGAAGAACAAGATTAACACCTCGCAGGCACAGGAAGCATTGCCAAGAGTACATCTCCCCCCTCAAGTCATAATAAAAGTCCTCTAACAAGCACAGAATTCGCAAAAGACCTCCTCGTCGACCCGGCCACAAGAAGACATGGTAATATCGGCCACCTCCTTTCCGGGGTAGCATCTTCTCGTTCAGATGATGTCGCCCAAGAATTTATCAATACAGTACAAGCCCCGTCCTACTGTCACGCATACGGCAATTACTCCGATCTAGTTAACTGCCCTATCATCGACGTGATCTATATCGCGACACCTCATTCCCACCACTTCCAGAATGCCATGCTAGCTCTCGAAGCGGGAAAGCATGTGCTGTGTGAGAAAAGCCTGACTGTGAACGCTGCACAAGTCAAGAAGCTATTCGCCATAGCGAAGCAGAAACAATGCTTTCTCATGGAGGGACTATGGACACGGTTCCTTCCAGTAAGTGTAGAGGTGCGTCGACTTCTCCAAGCCGGTGTCATAGGGACTGTCACCCATGTCTTCGCGGATAATGGCCTGGGAGCGGACCTACATAGAGATTTAGCGACAGGCGACCGCATGGTTGTAAAAGAACTGGCTGGCGGGGCGTTGTTGGACCGTGAGTACAAATGTTTCTCCGGAGGGCTATGTGCACTCATGACTGACGGTATTTTACCCAGTTGGCGTGTATTCAATCCACTGGGTCCTTCAAGCCCTCTCCAAGGAAATTCGCCGTCCAAATCAGATCCTCTCCACCATGACGAAAAACCCCATATCAGGAGTCGATGAAACCACCACCATCCTTATGAAATTCGCTCCCAGCACTGCAGACGGACCTGAAATCCAAGTCACAGCCAGTGGCAGTCTACGTACCACAACCAACACAGTCGGCGAGACCACTGCGGTACGGATCCAAGGCGATCAAGGCGAAATACAAATTTTTGGCTGGCCCTGGTGTCCATCCCGACTACGGGTCATCAGCCGGAGTCCCGGGATGAATAGCCGGGGGTTTATCAGCAGCGATAGGACCGACCTTCTACCTGACGGTGCATACGGACTTTGTTTCGAAGCAGATGAAGTCGCACGCTGCATTTGTGAAGGCCTTCTAGAGAGTCCCGAGATGCCCTGGCTAGAGAGCCTGACGGTCATGGAGATTATGGACGCAGTGCGTCGGGAGAACGACCTCCAATTCCCAAAGGAGATTGAGACATTGGAGTACCCTGTAGCGCTACCTCCTAAAAGATGCCGAAACTAGCATTACTATGGGATAAATTCATGAACATTCCACAAATTCATATAACCACTAATACAAGTTATCCTCAAACATCCTCCCTCCCACATCCACTCTGCCCACCCCGTCTCCCCGTAAAAACAACTACCAAAACCACCGTAACAAGACTAAGCACCCCCATCGAAACAGTCATAGCCACCCAGCCACCCCATTCACGAATATACCCCGCGTAAAGCGGCCCCACAAGAGTTCCAGCCGCAAAAGCAGCATTACTCAGGCCATACGCCTGCGAATACGCACCCCGGACACCAAAAACCCCAGGATGACGCTTTTCAACCACCTCAGTCGCCATACTAATCTCCGCCATGAGAGCAGGCATGGCCAATGACACCCCACACCCAAACAGGAATAAAAATAACCGTAATGACACTGAATACAGGGTTGTATTCTCCTGAATCATGCCCAAAAGCATCATACTTGGCGCCGTGAGCGCAAAGCCTGAAATAGCTGGCCAGTATGGACCGACCCGGTCCACGCAGTAACCGGCAAGAGGAGACAGAAGTATTAGAGGCAGGAAGTTAGATAGAAAGACGATGGCTATTTGGCTGGATGTGTAGTTGAATAGATCTTGGAGGTAAACTGGGAGGACGGCTTCGAGGGCTGTCATGAAGGTGTTTAGCATGCACATGCCTATGATGGCGATTAGGAATCGGGGGCAGCGGAGGATGAGAAGGGTTGGGGGTGAAGCTTGTGTTTGTTCTTCTGGGGGATGGTGTAACAGAGGTGAGTGTTCAGGCGATGAATGGTGGTTATGTTTATATCCCGGGGGTAGAGGCTTGAGAAGGCCACAGAGAATAATCTCGATGAGTATAAGTGCGATAGCCGGGGCGAAAACAGCCCTGTAACCAGCTATATCGTAGATGAAACCGCCGATGATGGGACCGGCGAAGAGCCCTAGACTTAGGCCCATGCTTGTGAAGCCTATAGCGCTCCCGATATGCTTACTTCCGACTGTGTCGAGGAGAAGGCAGTAGCCGATTGTGAATATACTGGAGGTGGAGATTCCCTGGAGCACTCTGGCTAGAAGAAATAAAGGGAGGGATGTTGTGAGGGCGGTTAGGAGAGTGGCGCCGCCTACGACGATTAGACCGAGGAGGAATGGACCTTTTCTTGTCTTTGAGTGGTCGCCTATCCAGCCGAAGAGTACTGCGGATTGGGAGATTCATGTTAGATAGAGTGTCTTAGGGTATCAAAGATGAGTTGTTGGCAGCGTACAAGACCCTAGAAAAATAGAGGCTCCATAGATAGCCAGAATGGCCGAGGCCCAGAGTTGAATATCACTTTCTGGAATTCCCATTCGCACCTTTAGGGCAAAGGGCAGCACGGGGACAATTAGTCCATGGAGGAAAATGTCGGTAAAGATAGCGACACAAACAACCAACGTAACAAATGCACTCGAGGATCGCCATCCCGTATGGGGGATCATCTTGAATTAGGAAGGCCTCCAACGAGGAGGGGATTGTACAATACTGCATGCAAGAAGGATCAAATTGCCCAGACAATGTCGAAAAGAAGACTAATGCATGGTTTTACGCTGACGATAATTTTCCTACTCGGTGATTTCATTCCAGCCCACGTTAACATGCCGAACAAGTTAAGGTCTACTACCCTGTCGTTTCCACCTATCGAGAAGCAAAACCAGCAACCAAGGTCAGATGCTCGATCCGCTCTGTTCCATCCTGTAGTTCCTTGTCCTTGAAGGTTTGATACATTTGTTTCAGCCAATCTCGTCCGTGGTGTAGCTGTAGCGCTTCAGGGTTGAGCCACCTATACGAGAAATAAGCTGTAATGCTCCCGTCGGAGTGACTTAGCTGCAGAATACAGAGGAATTGACCCACCGTTCAATGACTTTGAATACTACTACGTCGTCATCGCCACGCGTCTCGGTGAGAAGGAAAGTAAGACATCCCTCTTCTATATCGGCAACACGGTCAACTGTTTGACGGAGAGTCTCTCGAAGCTAGAAATAGAAATAAACGTTTTCATTAGCCCTAATGGAGAAACGAGACGTTGGGGAGCCTGGCAAGTTGCTCTTTCCCCGCCGACGGACGAAGGGTCGCGATGAGATGGATTGCGGCCATGGTATCCCGGCTTTCGTTCAATGTGGCCGAACCAGAAGTTCCTATACATATTTGTTGATGGTTATGGCTCTGAAGGTCCGATCGCAATGTGATACTGGACTACGGTGCGTCAATACGCACAGGGTTACACATTAATGTCCCAGAGTAGAGAAGTAGATTTAATCACCGAACGCCTCAAACCCTAAAGAACTTGGAAAAGACTATATAGAGGGATCATGAAGCATGGAGCTACCGGCTTACTTTGTTATCGCGACCATTCTAAAATGTCTAGGATCACCAATACAGAGGAGCTGATACGCAATGCGCCGTTCGAGCTCAGCAAAGCAGACATGGAGGTCCTTACCACCACCGAGGAAGCTTTTGCCCCGCATACTTGGGAGGATATGCAGGAGATAATTGGTTTGAAGACTTCTCCCTTGTGGTATGAGGCTTGAATATCATTAAGATGTTGTCAGCCGGTGGCGATACATCCCAGCTGAAGCGCACTCCGACTGATCTCCGCAATTACATCTTCTGGAGCCGAGAGATCCAGGCCACATTCAGCTCTGTAACGAACTTTCTTATGAAGAAACGGTTACACTGGGAAAAGAAAGCCAATAATGCCGAGAACCGTTTCAATTATCGCCACTCAGTCCCTTTCGCCGACCAGTCTGATTATCGCATTCTACGCAACGACTGGCCCTACGCCATGTCGCCGGGAATGGTTCATACTGTCGTATGGCTGAAGACGTCTATACCTGTAGACGCGGAGGGTGATCTGACTACGGAGTCCCGCCGGCTGATTGCGAATTTTATCGAGAGAACATTTGCGATGCATATGAGCCAACGAGAGCATGCGGGGAACAACATCCAATGGTCCAAGAACAGGATAAAGTGGCAGAGCGTGCGTGCTCTTGAGCATATTCATGTCATTCTGAGGGATGTAGATGATGAGTTTGTGACGAAGCTGACGGGGCAAGGCCCCGATGATATCGAGAGCAAATCATATTCTGCCTCCGTGGACAGCAATTAGGGTTTCTCGTGTCCGGCATGACTCGGATGCCTCCCAATCTAGACATTGTGCTACCTTAACGGAGGCCGAAATTCAGTGAAATATAAGGCTAAGTAATAAGTTACATTTCCTATTAATCCGATATCCTCCGGTTGGGCGCTTGTGGTTGTACGTGTCCTCGTATACGAACACGCGAGAAAGATGGACCACTTAAACTTAGATGAACGTGCGGCACAAATCATACGTGCTATAATGTGAGCTTTGTTCCACAGTTCGGCCGGTTGGTTTTTCATAGTGTACAACCTAGCCTGAAGTAAATAAGTGTCTTGAACTAAGGTTATCCATATACTTCACGATCACCAATGAGTGAAAAGCACCGATATATGTCATAATATGTATTCAACTCGATGTGGTTCCCTTAGGTGATACAGCAGCAAGGTCTACATACCCGGCTACAATGGGTGATACAGATGTAAACATCTACTGCGCAATCTAGGATATGAAAACACCTCGACCTTGTTTCAACCCACGGACTATATTATGTATCCGTGCTATTGCATGGAGCGAGTCTAAGCTTTCGAATTAACGCAAGGTCTGAGATAACGTTTGGTGATGATAATGGGCATGCCTGCCAGGCTCGTTGCCGTGAAGTGAGCCGCGTACTGGTTCGATAAAGAGTGGACTTCACTGTGGGCTAGATATTAAGTATTCGCGTTATGGGGCTGATCTGAGCTCCAGCACGTCAAAATGCATATCAGTTCTGATAAATCTACATATGGCATGATTCGTTCAGAGCATACGCAACTTAACGGTGTGCCGGTGCTGAAGAGTATCCTGGTGACTGGCGGTGCTGGCTTCATGTGAGATCAGCAAGCACCTTCGTTGTCGAGTTGGCAGCTTTAGAACTTGACTGACATCCATCCAGCGGCGGCTGGTTCGTCCGTCATCTGTTGCAGACTTACGGCAACCGTTATTTGGTAACTTGCTTCGATAATCTCGACTATTGCGCCTCAATGAATAACTTCAAGGCTGTTGCCCAGTCTTCGAACTTTTATTTTATCAAAGGGGATGTCTGCGCTCCCAGCGATGTAGAAAATGTGCTCCGCAACTACCGTATTGATTCTATTATCCATTTCGCTGCTAGGTCCCATGTTGACACATCACTCAACGATCCAGGTCTTTCACACAAACCAATGTCATAGGCACCCAGGTACTGCTAGAAGCTGCTCGGAAACACGGCTCGATCAGACGATTTATTCACTTGTCCACTGATGAGGTGTACGGTGAGAATGATGCTCAAAATCCTTCTGCCTTCACCGAGGAGCAAAGTCTGCACCCCACAAACCCATACTCAGCGAGCAAGGCCACGACCGAGATGATCGCCCAGGCATATCGAAAGTCGTTCCATATGCCAGTCATTATAGTGAGATGCAATAACGTATTCGGGCCACATCAATATCCTGAGAGTAGGTGTTCTCCGATCGTATGACTAGGGATCCTTTAATCAGAACCTGACCTAGAGCTGATCCCGCGATTCATCACCCTCTTGAGCCAAGGGAGAAGAATGCCGATCCATGGAGACGGTCGCACGTCTCGGGCATTTCTATGGGCGGGCGATGCTGCAGAGGCACTTGACGTGATCTTCCACATGGGAACTGACGGTGAGACGTACAATATCTCCTCTAACGACCATTTACAGGTCCGAGAGGTGGCGGAGAAGATCTTTCGAAGCTTCTATCCCGATGGGACCCATGGTTTAGACAACTGGATTGATCTTGTTGCAGATCGTCCGTTCAATGATAGTATGTACTGGACCGACGATTCCAAACTGCGTGCGCTTGGATGGAGACAGCGGACGAACTTTGACGAGGCGCTACGGATGACTGTCGACTGGTATTGTCGGGACAGCGAGGGCTTTTGGCCAAATTGTAAGGACTCGGGTAGCACCTTCGCAGTTGGTGATATTGTTATTACTGAAGACGGCTATATTTGAGCCGTACGAACTATATGTGCGCCATCTTTGGGACTAGGGGGATAATCGCATTGTTCATATCATTTCATCAGCTATACATACCTGAATGCCTGCTATGGTTCCTACGCAGTGAAATTGGTGCCGGGGGGGTGGTTATATATATGTAAAATCCATATAATATACGCTATGGTATTCTGCGCAGGGCCACTTCCCAACAGCCTGGTTATTATGGGTCTAGAAAACCGACAGATGGCTGGTCGATCAGGGGCGGCTTTGGCATAATATATCTTAATATATTAACACCCCTGCTATTAAGTGGAGGAAATGATTTAGACAAGGCCCATGCATGACTCGATTTCTGCACTGATAGAGATCTTAGACCCTGCATACTTAATTCTCAAATCCTTAATTTAGGACAGTCTCCCTGTTCGTTGTTTTCACACAGCACATACAAGGGACCTCTCGAGTCTCGCCTAGTGATCCGAGATAAGAAGAAAAAAAGGGGCAAGATTGACCTTTCACATTCTTTGGTCTCGTCTCTACCCAGTCTGTCCGCCTCACTTTGAAAAATTTGCTGCCGCTCCTTGGAGAAATACACACATCACAAGTGGGCCCGGATCAAGCCGGCAGATTGGCATTATGAAATCATTATTTTTCAAGACGATTCTCATGCAGGGGAATCTCCAGCAGACGGATTTACGACCTCCCGTTCTCCCGAATAGTGGAGCCGCCGGGCATGTCTCGGAGAACGTCCGGCAATAGCAGACACGGTTGACAGCTTTACCTTTAATTATAAGCTTAGTGCGGTCTACGGATCAAAGAGCCGGCGCTGATCGAACCAGAAATGGAGCCAATGCCGACACCCGGCGTGTCAACATCAGTCCACAACGGTGGTCCATTGGAGATCAATCTCCAAAGGTGGACAAATACGAGAACTCTGTTGGGTTTTACGTTTTGAGGTGGGAAAATCTGGAGGGGTTATGTGCCGAAGCAATGTGGCATGTTAATCTCCTTCGGTTTATGATATGAGTCCGGCTTCGCCTAGGAATACGAGCTGGAATCACACACCGTCGAAATTCAGTTCACACTATCAATCTAAATCTTCTCAGAATGGCGGCTACACAAACTATCCAAGTTCCCCACCTGGGCGGTATCAAGGCCGGCTATGCTCTCTCCAATGATCACTACGATCCCTCAAAGCCGACATGCGTTCTCATCAACTCTATGTGCATGACTGTTTCTCTCTACCATGATCAATTCAATAATAAGGAGCTGACTGATGCGATGAACCTCCTGGCCATCGAGCCATTGGGTCATGGCGCGACCAGTTGTCCCTCCGAACATTTTACCTACTGGGATTCGGCCATCATGGCATTGCAGGTCATGGATCACTTTGGGATCCAGAAGGCGTTCGCCCTAGGAACAAGCCAAGGGGGATGGATGGTGACCCGGATGGCACTCCTCGCACCAAATAGGGTAAGTTTGAGCTAATGCAGAGCCGAATTTAGTCCCTGCCAAGCCCAATAGGATTAACCTCGCATTTTTCTAGATCCTCGGTCTCATGCCCCTGGGAACGTCTATGGATTACGAATCAGCTGATTCTCGGTCCAAGGGATGCTGGGACCCCGCAGCCAGTCTGACAGCTTTCTATGACAAGTGGACGAGTCCTTCGACTACACCTGACTTTGTGGTAGATGATATTTGGTGTGGTCTGGTGGGAGGCATTGGCTTTGGGGCTGCAGCCACCGCCGAGAAATCCGCGTTTTGGACCAAAACTCTCAAAGAAGTATACAAGGGTGACGAGGGACGAAAGAAGGTGCGCATGGCACTCAATTGCCTCCTGGAGCGAGATGGACTGTTGCTCCGACTGAGAGACATTAAATGCCCCGTTTATTGGCTACAGGTGAGTGCCAAATCTATCTCCAATCGGCTCTAGTGGGCGATCTGTGCGTTAACACATAAATAAGGGCACTGAGGATACACCATTTGGAACGGTCGTTCCTGCTGAGCAAATCAAACTGTTCACTGCTTCCCCAGAAACTAAACTGGTCATGATTGAGGGCGGTGCGCACTATCTGAACGCCACAAATCCAAAGGAGGTGAATGAGACACTCTTGGACATGGTCACTAAGTATAAATGAAGTGTTCCTGTGTAAGCCTTGCAGATAGGTACTGGATTGACACAATTTTTATATACGAGAGAATTGCATGGGAGAGTGAAGGACTAGCCGTTAGGTGGTGGGGTTAAATAAATGTGTAGACTGTAAAGAGTTCGCCACTGCTTGGTAAAGAGGGAGTAGTACTTCTTACGTCTTGAGACAGTCGTGGAAGTTACCTTGTGAAGACTTTTCGTATTTAGGCAGAACCACGTGGAGTATCCGTGACCCGCCGACAGTTCAGTCACTGGCCTGAGGACGCAAGTGGAGTCCCGGAGCAGCTGCCTAACCTAGTGTAGTCTAACGGTGACCTGACAAACCCTAAAGCTACCAATCTCATGCCTGGTTTGTTGTCCCCATGTCAAATCCTGGATTTCTAGAACCTTTCCCGGGTCAATGTCGATCCACAAATGCATGGATCCACCTTGACACGCCATGTTTCATTGCGTTGCGGAGGACAAGATTTGCTTCCGCGAATGAAGGATTCGACATACGACGCAAGGGGGATTTCCGGGGTTTGCTCATTCGCGTATATTAGATTGAGCATTGCCTCCCGGGCTTTTCGCGACTCGGTTGCGCGGTATCTGGCTCCATGGCATTGACTTGCACCTCATGGAGAATGATCAGGACGATCTTCAGCAATGGTCGATAGCCACCACGGCCTCCGTCACGGTGCTGGCGTTCGTGACGGTTTGCCTCCGACTACTGGCACGTTATGAAAGGAAGCAAAAGCTATGGTGGGACGACTACATGATCATATTCTCCATGGTGAGTATCAGGCATCTTCGTTATGAGGTCCCTTATTGACTGTCCTTAGTTATGGAACCTAGTTGTTGTCGGATTTATTTACGCCATGATAAAGGAAGGAATGGGTCTTCATGCCGACACAATCCCACTGGGTAACGTCGTCATGATTGCGAAGTTCCTAGTTGTGGCCGAGATTCTCTATGTATTCAACCTCGTCTGGACTAAACTCAGCATTCTGCTCATGTACTACCGCATCTTCCGCTTCCCCTACTTCAAGACATGGGCATACATCATCGGCACCTTCGTCATCCTCTGGGTCATCTGTATCACGTTCCTCTTCATTTTTATCTGCGTACCGGTCGAAAAACTATGGTATCCCCAAATCCCAGGCCGATGCATCAACCAAGTGGGCACATGGATCGCAAACGCCGTGTCAACAATCGCCACCGACATCGTCATTTTACTCCTCCCAATTCCCCAAGTCTGGAAGCTCCAACTACGACTTTCCGAGAAAATAGCCGTATCAATAGCCTTCAGTCTCGGTTTTTTGTAAGCCCTTCAGCACCATCTTCCTTCATGTTAATGTCCCACAAGTCTCACCTCCACAGCGTGGTCTTCGCCTCCGCCTACCGCTTCTCAGTCCTCTTCACCTACTCCGCAACTGACTCCTCCTACACCCTCGCCCCAACAGTAGGCTGGACTGCCATCGAGATGTCTGCCGGCATCGTCTCCGCCTGTCTCCCAACTCTCCGCCCCGCCCTCCGTTATATTGCACGCAAACTAGGCATCCACGGCCGACTTCCCGCTCTTTTCCAGAGTACAACAGGACAGATGTCCAAAACCTCGAATCCAGCGACAGGACCTTCCCGGACGGAAGACAGCACCGCTACTATAATCCAGCACTCGGAGCGTCCGAAGCGGCATTCGTTCTACCATTTACCGGATGAGACGGACTCAGCGGGTGAACAGGGCCAATTGGATACGTCCTTCAGACCAGATTATGCGAAGACGTATACGAATGTCCTTGGTCCAAGGCTAAGTGGAAGATTGAGTGGGGATGAGATTCCACTGAATGGAATCAGGGTGGATAGGGAGTTTACGCAAACAAGTAAGAGGTAAGATTTGGGGTTTGTATTATAGTATAGTATGTTGTATTATAATGAATGATAATGTCATACCATTTCTTATACCTGATTCTTTGGGTGAAGCTAAGACGAGTTCTTCATATAACGTGCCGCTCTCGCTGTTGTCTGATATCCGTAGGGGAAGCGGGGTCAACGGGGACTTCTCAATATCTTAACTATCAATAAGTAAACTGAAGAACTGGTCACCGTGCAACGAGCAATCAGGTATCACCTGATTGCTCGTTCTTTGCCTCTACGCCTCTGTCTGATGGAACGCGTGCTTCTGGTTGCCATCATCTGCTTACTAGCTAAACTGAGTGAAAGAGCACTGATTCAGGAATGAACAACCCCGACTTTGTAGTATTGGTGATATTTTATTCCCGATGGGTATTGGACATGCTCTTTTAGCTTATTTGCTGTTCTAGTGCTGCTTTGTGTACATTCTATACATGATGTCAGCCGTGGATATCCGACCTAGACATCAAGCCCAACTTCATTTTCATCAGAGGTTCTCTCACTTAATCTGTCCCACTGAACATTCCCTTTGTCGCAGAATATCCAACATGTTCTCTGATAACATTATCCACTGGCTCAGACTGCCATATCTCAGGGCCATCTTGATGCGTCACCAGATTGACATGTGCACTGTTCGTTTGACTCTCAATCTGCGTTGGGTCTTTAAAAGCAATAATCTCTCCCTGGATGCTCTCATTCAGGGTTGATAAAAGCAATGGCAGAGTTGAAGATTTTCAGATATCCAGCTCTCTGTTCTTGCTTTGCAGGGCAGTGATCAAGAGAAGGATGGTCGTCAAGATCAAGGCCACAGGTAATAGCAGTTAACGTGGCCATCTTGCATGTTGACGGTTTTAGTACTCATATCGACGGTTGAATGACTAGGGAGCTGTCCAGCCACCTCGATATGCTCGAGGATAAACACTTAAAAGGTCAAATCGTTGTTCAATTATGCGATGTCTCCGCCATTGCTTCATGGTCACAAACTAACGAGTCAGGTAGTGATGAAATGCCCTCGCCAAGGTAATATAGAAAACGGAACCTATGCTCTTTGGGTTACATCAGAAACTGTTGACGCTACTGGGATTTGGTGCAATATTCTGGCCCTAGACAGGTCTAAATGGGACATACAATCCTGCAAACAGGCAATAGTATGGGGCTCGATTCTTAACGTTGCCTCAATAACTCTTCTCTATTTGCATTCTCTATTTGCATCAGGTTTTGCAGCAGCTATAATCAAAAGTTTGTTATAATGAATCACCATTAATGAAGCATGAAGGCTTAGACTGGCGAGTCTCCTTTATCTCGATGTATTGAAAATCGAACAAGTCTTGTTGTATCAAGAAGTGTACTGTAAGCAGCAGGAGGCAGTGACAACATGGCCGTTGTTTCTTCTGACAAATTAAACATACAGACTCATATGATCCCTTCCCCCAAAAGTAAAGTAGACAAACTGCAAAAAGGCTCCAATTTCATGATCTGAGGATATTATGCAACGAGCAAAACCGAGGTAAATTAGTTGCAGCTGATATTCCAACGATGAACGGCAGACCATTTGGTAGAGTTCTGATAGAACGAGCGTCTCGCAGAACGATGGCTAAAGCTTTTTCCAAGATTGCGAGTGCTTTGAACAATAGTAGATGGTCCTTGATCTAGATGAGCAATTTGTTCAAAGCTCGGTCCACATACTAAAAATTTCGTTATTGCCCAGCAGGATATTATTCAGATCAAACCCAAGTGTGTACAATTATCACAAATATACACAGGTTCCCTGTCTTGTTGAATGGACTCAGTTTGCCCATCGGGCAGCGGCGAGTGTTTGCGTAGATGACCCTCGTACCTCGTTTGAACAATGAGAGATAGGTCTTCATCCATGAAAAGCCTCATTGTGAGGTGAATGTACGCGTCGGCATTATCCGGAATAGAACATTGGTGAAAGAGATACGGCTGGCCTCGTTCGTCGGGTAACCGTTGGAATATTCTACTGTTTCCATAGAAGTCATTGGTAGCATCAATGAATCCTGTTTCCAGCCATCGTTCCAGTCGCATTCGATGGCGAAATGTTAAGGAAATGCAGCCGCACAGGTGCATAATCCCAGCATAATCCCTACACTTTCGAATGTTGGGCACTCGTAATAACCGAAATCCAAACTCGGAGCGAGGATGGAGTTTAAGGCATCCGGAGCAATATGCCCAGCGATGGTTTTCGAGGAGGGTGAGTACTTGTTTTCTTGGAATATGCGGTGGATTGGGAGAAAACTCGAACTTCTTTTTGGACAAGATTCTGGGAAAGTAAAGCCGCTCGTCGTCAAGGACTGAGCCGAAGAGTTGATACATGTGTTTGCAGGTTAGGGCGAAACAAACCTGGTTTGGGAATGGGAGTAGCGGGAATATCAGTAGTAGGAGCTCAGTTGGTAGGTTCAGAATATGAGCATTGATTCTGCGGCCTGCATGATCGAGTTTATTTCTGCCAGCACAGGAAGGCGAACAGCAGACTAATCTAAGGAAGTATCGCTTTGCTTTGCCGATAAGTGACATCCTGTTGCTTGATCATGTATTCTTCAGACCTGTCTTGAATGCTTTCTTCTTTGTTGGTCAACCGAGGTACGAGCAGGATCTGAGGCAGCCTGTACAATGTGAGGCGCTGAGATAGCAATATTTCATTATTCTCGTGCTGGGGCTATAGGTATGATTAAGCAATAAGCCCCCGATTAACCAAATGAATCGCGGGGAGGGGTGTGTTGACTCTATAATGAAGAGTTTATGACGTCCAGTGGCTAGAATCTATGGTTCACTTCTACTTTGACACACTTTGCTTACAGAATGAGATGCTGTTACCATCTATTTTGTGTCAATTAATGTACCCCATGCCGAGAATTTATGTACATATCTTTATTCCAATCCAGAATGCAAGCAACGGGCATGTAGATACGTTTAAAAAGCGAAGGAGTGGATATGCTATTGAATGTCTTGTAACTCAGGAATAGATCAGCTGTCAACTGCTGCCTTTGGTCGAACTAGTATGCTGACAATTATCAGGGACGAGCAATTCATCCCGACCTTCGGCACTGAACGAAGGAGGCAAACCCCTATCAGTTATGGAGCGTTGGAAAGTGTTCTGCGGAACGGATGTAAGGTAACTACTATATAGACCGATTACCATTCGGAATTTGCCTGCGCTACCGTATTATACTGTTTACCGTGGATTGATTGCAGCATTTACGTATTTCGGTCCTTGAGAATATATAGTGATTTTGATTTTGTGATATTGTAGATCACATACGGAGTAAGGCCCCTGTTAATGATGTATGCCCTTTACCTGTCTTTTTGGTACTAACTGATGGGGTTGTGTGTTGCTTACTTTTGAGATGATTTGATGACAGACTACGAATAGAAGGTGCTAGGAGTGGACTATTGAATATGTGCGCCATTCGGTTGCGAAACGGTGTATTGGGGTTGTGGGGATTCAGATTATTCAGTCTAAGCGTGATCCTCCAACTCATGGTATTAGTTTATCAAGAGTGGTTCCGTAGTCTGGGAATTGAGGTTGAGGAGAGGTTTGATGGTTGTTGGGATCTAAATTTTTAGCTTCTTAGGATACAGATTTGGATATGATAGGTTATCGGGCTAAGGAATTGATCGTATACAGGGCAAATTGGTTTATCTGTGATGAAAGGCAAATCGAAGCAAGCATACCCATAAGCCTATCTTTTGTACATAGATTGTAATGAGTATATCAGTGAGCTGAGGGGGTATGTTACAATTATCTCATTCTGCTATTGCAACAAAAGTTACAAGGGGGCTGTTTTACTGCCATTCAGCCCTTATGGTGATATCTAGCAAAGGTTGACCTGTCAAACTCACAAGTAGGGCTGTCAGAATGTAGAGTTAATCGGTACCCAGCACCATGCAATATTCAGACCAAACAAAGAACGCATCAGTGTGAGACTGTAAAAACTTGTCGACATAACCCTTGCGCCACCTGTCATCCCAGCAGGTATCGATTGCGATAGCCATATCTGTTGGGAAAAGCGTAATCGGTATGTTGAAGCGAGCCAGTCGTTAAACTCCTTGGTGTTAGAAAATGGTCCAGTTATCAGCTGGCCGATGAATACGTAGTCGAGAAGACTTTGTTGATGGTTTGGTCCTGGACAAGGGTAAGTTACTGAATATTAAAAAGTTCGGCTTATGATCTCGGTCGTACCGATGAACTGATCAGAGGGGTCTTGCTCGAGTCGTCGCAGAGATTCCATAATCTGTGATAGCTGGTCGGAGATGGCACTCTTCTCCATAGTGCCTAGACTATCCCAGCACTCTTCAAGCCTTGGTCCTTCGATGAGTTCCATATATATGAACACATAAGCTTCGTCATCGACCCGCCAGCCAAAGAGCTCAGGCACTGGAACATTGTTAGAGAAAACCCTTTTTGACCACCCAAAGATTCAGTGCTTCGGCAGTTGTTACATGAGGACCGAATTTGATAATCAGGTTGAGGTTTTCAAATTTGATGGGAGTTGGTTGAGCGCATCTACCTATATCTTCAGCAGACAAAGCTCTCACCTGGGCGGGTGGTGAAGAACGAGGTATCACGAAAGTTGATCTCCGTTTTCGTGGTGTCAGGTAGCTCCAAGGATATGAGCTGCTTCCCCAGTCTATACGTAACCATGTTTGAAGATGCAAGTTTGCTATGGTGGGACAGTGTGAAGTTCGTGAGAAAAATGATAACAAAGAATTGGTGCCGAGTGGGATGGGAATTTCAATACCACAGGCCTGTACCGTATTTGTACATCAGGTTTAACACCCAGTCCAAAGGCCAAGGAAAAGACTCATAGAGACCTGTAATATGGAACTCCAAAAGCTTGAAAGCAATGTTCGTCAATCTGTGCTTACCCAGCACTAAGTCCTTACCTCTACACAGTGGGTTACAGAGATTGAGTGTGCTCAAAAGACATAGGTAAGATTGGTAAGATATGTTGAAGAGACTGTTTCAACAACGTTCTTAAGATGCCATATGCCCAATGACTAGTCAACACACCCAGATGGCGGAATGTGGAAAATACGCTAACCTTGGGAGCCAACCGGCGTGATTGTCCATAATTCTCTCTTCAGAGAAACATGAAGCACCGGAAAAGTCCTGATAGGCAAGCACCCCCCACCCCTCTGTGTTAGTGAATACAGGACAGTTTTTGGTTGCAGACCTGGTGCATACCCAATGTCAGGAAGCATTACCCAGTGCTCTACTATATTGGCTAGGAGCGTCAAAGCACTAATGCGAAGCCACGTCACTTGAGCCCAGCCTTGTCGAGCTCTTACAACCCCCACTGTTACTTAACAGCGTCCACCTTCCGCCCAGCATATACATCCACAACTCACACAATTATTCCTCTTCTTTGGTTATTTTTCTTTGCTTGCTACCTTTTGTATTCATTTAGCCAAACAGCAACATGCGTTTACTGAGCACCCATAAGATCGAATTGGTGGAATTTCCGCCAGACCGCATCCCCGACTATGCAATCCTGTCCCACACCTGGGGAGAGGAGGAAATTCTTTTCACAGATATGCAAAATCACACCGGACACACAAAATCTTCGTGGTCAAAGGTTCAAGGAGCATGTGCACAAGCGCGAGCCGATGGGTTTGGCTACATCTGGATTGATACCTGCTGCATCGACAAGAGTAGCAGTGCGGAGCTATCCGAGGCGATTAATTCCATGTTCACATGGTATGCCAACGCTGCGGTCTGTTACGCGTATCTGTCCGATGTCATAGTCCATAATAAAGTAGAATTGGGTTTGACTGAGTTTGAACAAAGCAGATGGTTCACTCATGGATGGACCCTACAAGAGCTGCTGGCGCCCTCCGAGGTTGTGTTTTTCTCAAAAGACTGGGTTCGCTTTGGAGAGCGATGCAGCTTAGCTCCCAGGCTGACGAATATCACACGTATCGACGAGGCCGTTCTAAGTCGTGAGTTACCGGGTTTTGAAAAGAGCATAGCGCAACGCATGTCATGGGCTGCTAGGCGTCAAACTACCCGGCCAGAGGACATGGCCTACTGCCTGATGGGAATATTTTCTGTCAACATGCCTATGCTATACGGCGAGGGAGGAGGAAAAGCTTTTCTTCGCCTACAGGAAGAGATCATGAAGTAATCTGACGATCAGACGATCTTTGCTTGGACCGACAAAAATGCGCCTGCCGACCTCCTTCATGGTCTACTCACATCGTCTCCAGCACACTTTGCGGATAGCCAGGACATCATAGCTTACCAGCAATGGGAGCCTACCCCGCCATATGCAATGACGAACAGGGGCTTGCGTATTGATTTGGCCCTTCATGATCCCAGACAGCTGTGGACGGAGCGCGACTTGCGTATTGATGTAGTCCATCATAATCCCAGACAGCAGTGGCCGGGGCGTGACTTGATAGCACTTCTCCATTGCGGCGTTTTACAAGACATCAAAGGCAAAGATGGATATAGGTTCTTGGCTATACGTCTTATCCAGCTCTCAGGGTTTGATAATAGGTATGCCAGGCGAAATATTGGGGTCTTACTAAGGGAGTCAGTTTCTTGCCGTACGCAAACAATATATGTGCCCCAAGCATATACTATTGAAGCGGATACGCGAAGACCATTAGGTCATGTCATCTTTCATATAACGGGCATCCAAAGTAAGTCCCGATACCGTCTAAAACGGATAGTGTCTCCCACAGTGGAGAAAGATATAGAGAAGATACGGTTAAACTTGACATCGCCACCCACAGGAAATGTGCTTTATTTCTCAAGCCTGAACTGTACTAAAGGAGATGGTAACATATTGGCTTTCCTCGTTTGGCACAATTTGAAGCCAGGTCCTGATAACCTGATTGCGGTGGGGCCATCACCAGACTTCGGTCTAGGTTTTAACGCTATCAGCTTTCTAGGAGGAAAGGAATCTCCTAGGAAGTTCACCGATTTCCTATCGAGTTCTGGAGTGCCTAAGGTACACAGTCTCCAGCCTATGGGACAAAAGGTCTATGTAGATGATTGCGTTGTGTGTGTATCAGCAAGGGAACACACAGAAACCATTCCCAGACATTACGAGTTAGACGTATCCATAAGGGAGGAAAGAACAAATTTCTGGGAATTTCTCCACCGTACCGACGAGGCATCTGTATAGCTAGATGTTCCATAGTTGTGCTCCAACAGGTTTTATTGAAGCTTGATTGATGTCTTACCACCTCATACCCAACTAGTAACCCCCGCCATAGCTCTTACAACAACCCTTCATAACCACAACCATCCTACCCACCCAACCTCACAATCCTCGCCGCCTCATCATGACACCTCCCCAACCGATTCTTCCCCTTCCAATTACCCTCATCCTCAATCTCGACCGAATCCCACCTCAGCCCAACCCCCCAAATACGATCCTTGACACTCCCCTCCACAAATTTCCGTCCTCCACTAGCAAGATACACATCCCTCAACGCCCCATCCACCTCCGCCCTAGCCACACACCCAGCAGCCACAATAACCTCACTCGCAAACTCCCAAACATCCTCCCGAAACCCCTCAGCCCTGCGCCCCAACGCCTTCTGCACTCTCGGCTGTCTCGTCCGCATCACACTTGCAACCGTCGACTCCCAAATCGCCCTCTCCTTCCACGAGGACTCCTCCGGCAGCGGCTCAGAGACACTCAAAGCCATAGCCCTCACAGCCTCAAACTCTTCATCCGAGATATCGACCCCCGAATCAAACCCCGGGATCTCCTCAAATAACCACCCCTTCATCGCCATCATCCATTGTTCACCGCAGGTGAATGACCATGACCGGATTAGGCGCGTTACGGCGGCATTTGGGGAAGGGTGCGGGATGCCCAGGGCGTCGAGGCCCGGGAGACAGAGGGTTAGGGCTCCGTCGCCTGGAAAGGGGGGCGTGCTGGGGTGCCAGTTTGAGAGGGGGCCTGAGTGGAAGAATATATGGGTTGGGGTTGTGCGTATGTGAGGGTTCCTTTTTAGGGGGTCTTGATGTTGTGAGGTTTGTTGAGTGGTTCTGGATTTGGTTTGAGTGGTTTTGCGTGGCATTTTGGGGGTGTGGTGTATGTAAATGAGGTTTGTAGTGGTGTAGTGTTGTAAGTGTTGTAATTGTAGTTTCGGGGGGGGGGTGAGGGGTGTTGTTTGGATGTGGCTGGGTTTATAGTTTTGAAGTTTTGAAGGTCGTTGGATTAGGGTTTTATGGTCAGTTTATATGCTGATTGAGTAGTGTATAGTTCGTATAAAGATTAGAGTCATAAGTTTGTTGTTGATCAGTTCGTATTTTATGGAACTGGTGAGTCATGAGGTGTGATCTTACCCCTTGATTTGTGGCGGTGTTACTATTTGATACAGCTCTATAGGTGTGAGTGTATAGATGTATCCATTCAAGTGTGGATACTGTACGTACTGAGGTAGCATGCTCAAATCGTCCACGTACTCCCTCCTCCCCCCCCCAGCATTCCAAACTAAATCAGGACAACCTAGAAGACGGAAATATTTTCCGTGAAATTCCATACTCAGTATATACCATATCATATTGACTACCGCTAAAGCAAAATCACATCATAACATCCCATATACCATATACCATATACCATATAGCACTCCACCACTCAACGAATACTAAATAAACATCAAGCACAAGAATCCGCCTTCATCCTCCTCAACTCCTCCACAGCCCTCTCCGTCCCCCACCCCTCCTTCAACCCCCTAACAATAATCTCCTGCTCACTCTCAGGCGCCATCCCATTCGGCGCCGGTGGCCTTTTATCCAAATTCGTCGGAAACGGATACCCATCGGCAACAGCACGCACAAAATTCTCCAACTCACCATCCAACTGCCCACCAGCACCCTGAACCCTCTTCACCAGCGTCCCCCAGCACTTCTCCACAATCGGAACGGAATCAATACTCTCCATCGCCTTCCCCAACCCACTACTAATCTGCAGCAAGTTCGCCTTCCGATGAAATCCACCATCCGGACCGGGCTCGGTCTCATTGGCCCCCGCGGCATGGAAAACGGCAGGGTTAAAAAACAGCCCATCCCCGAACTCCAACGGCAGCGCTACATACCTCTCCTGGAAGAAAGCCCGGAAGTCCTCCTTACGCCAGGCAAGATACCCCGGCTCGTAGGTCTGGCTGAACGGCAAGAACCGGGTGGGTCCGCTCTGCAGGGGCATGTCGCTATGCGCGACCGCACCCTGGAGAGTAAGATGCTGGCTCGCGAGCTGGATGTTCCTGGGGTAAGCAGCACAGGTGTGCAAGTCCTGGAAGCCGAGGTGGTAATCGCGGTGACTGTCCTGGGCGGCGCCGCCGGGTTTGACGACGTTAACTTGCGCGGTGACGCGGTAGGCGGGGCCAAGCCAGGTTTCACTGACGAGGCGGAGCCAGGGATTGGAGTAGTAATTAATGAAAGAGGTTGGGTCTTCGAGGGCGTGTTTGCTGAAGGAGTTCCAGATGCGGTCGTTTTTGCCGCTGGCGGCGAAGTGGTCGCCTTTTGTGGTTGCGGATGCGCGTTCGCGGGTGATGATGCTCGTGAAGGCTTTGTTGGTTGTGTTCAGGGTGTCGGCGTATTGGGCTGGGTTGTACATTCTTTTTAGGACGAAGATGCCTGGTCCTGTGCTGAGGATGTGGTACCATTCGTCTTGGAGGGTGGTAGCGAGGTCAGTGTTGTGGAGGTCGAGGGTTCGGGCATCGTAGATGGGGATGTTTTGGTCTACAGATGCTGCTAGTGGGTAGGTAGATTTGGTGGTGGTTTGGGAGCAGATTTTCTTGAAGTCTTCCAGATTTGGAGTTTCAGGATGGAATAGTCGACTGGGGACGGCTTTGTGGGATCCGTTCGGGACCGTCATTGTGCTTGGGGTGATTTATAGGTTGTGGGAAATTGAAGTCACTGGGTGGGTGTGGTGCTTCGGTTCACGATGGACAGGCCAAGGTTTATATATTTGTGGATGGGAGTACAATTCCGAAAACGAAGTCAATGGTTTATCCTAGCCTGAATTTCCGAAACCCAAGATACTGAAGGAGGTGATGTGGGGAGCAGCTTCGTTGGACGAGGTTCTGACTGCCTCAACTCTACAACTTCCGTCCACTAGTGCTCAACGAGAACCAATCATATCGACATCGCCAATATGAAGAATCTGGAGAAATGCACAAGTTCCAAGGCTCCCCATATGCAGCCTCAGGCATGCGGGGACGGAAATTGATCTCCGAGGTGATGACTAACACCCTGTATGTACCTTGGAGGAAAAACTTCAAAAGTCATGGAGAGAAGGAAGAACCATGTCACTCAGATTGCTCCTGTATATCATTCGAAAAAGGATGATTGATCTACGTCACCTGCAATGGTAAAAACCACAATATGTACTTCATCATGCATTCCCATCATCATCATAGAAGTATTAATACACATGTACAATTAATCCCTCCATGACACCCCCACCAAGCCACAGAATGACAGAGTAAAGAAGGTTACAGCCGGCCAAAGGCACTCCCTTCAAACCAGAGCAGAAGGTCCAGCGGAATATGCCACCATAAGTCAAGCAGAACAGCACAAACAGGGCGAGCAAATGTAAAACAAAGTACCGGGGAGAAGAGAAAGCCGAGCACCGTGACAAAGATGAACAAAGAAGAAGACTGTGCTATATCTCTTCCAAGCAATGTTATATTCAAAGGAAGCCCATCCCGTGCAAATTCTATTAATGATCCGAATTTTCGCCCGAAAAAGTCAAACAACCTTGCAAGATGGAGCGAAGGGAAGAGAAGAGAAAAAAAAAAAAAAAAAAAAAAACGGAAAAGATAATAAAAAGTTAAAATCCAGGATACTCGCTTGTATTTCGACAATTTTTGCTTCATGCATTCATCATGACAATCCCGACATCAGGATTCAGTGCCCCATCGGTCGAGGCCAACTGACTCACTTGATTTGACTCACTGAGAATCAGACGGTTCTCCGAAAGGGTCTCCACTAGTGTGTTCGGTCGTCCAGCGACGGTAAAGAGAACCTTCAGCAGCACATCCTGATTTTGGCTCCCGTCCGCCGCCGGGGCCGTCTGATGTCTCGTATGGGTCAAAAGCGTTCGAACGAGGGATCGAATCGGTCCATCTGTCGAGGTATCTTCGAGAACATCGAGGCCGTCAATGATGCAGACGAGAACGGGTGGGGCCAGGTACAACAGCATGTCAATGAGCGATAGCACCTCTTTCCAACTAGTCATCGTGCCATTCAACGGGCTGAAGCGTTCCGTATTTAGGTTGCAGGCGGCGTGGCCTTCTAACACCGGAGGGAGATAATCAATTAATTGTCGAATGAGACTATATGCGAGCGATATGAGACCTTGTTCGAACAAGGTCATCCCACTTCGTTCTTCGGTGGGGAGGGAGCAAAAATGAGAGATGACAGGTAATTTCGCCTTCCGAGCGAAGGTGGCGTAGCAGGCAGAGACGAGGGCGACCGGACTGGGAAACGCAGTCGATGGGGAGCCACCGATGGCAAGGACTTGGGAATGAACATTGGTGGCCCATTGCTGCAAAGATTCTACCACACTATCCTCAGCGATCACATCGACATCGGAATCAAGATCAGTCACTTGGTCGTCGTTCCGGAAAAAGTCCTGAAGGTGCTTTGAGGCGAGCTGCAGCTCTACCCGAGTGTATTTGTGTTTAGGTCCTGAGGACCATTTGAATCTGGACGTTTCTTGCGACGTGATCAATGTCAGTTCCGACGGCAGGTCTGTCCCGAGGTCACCACCCTGCATACCTATGTCCTGTGCGACCGTCGTCGTTAAGCAGGCGATACCGCTGTTTTGCTGGGTGACCGAGCGAAGTCGCTGGCTGGTCAAGTCGAGCATCTGCAGGAGAAGCAGGTGACTTTCGGCCCTTAGCTGGAGTCTCTCCGCCGCATCGTGCTGAATCTCCCATATCAACTGACGGGTCATGGCGGTCTGAGCGATAATCCGACGGTCCCATTTTTGCAGACCGACTTGGCTCAATCTCGTCTCCTCCCAGAGGTAGAGGTCGCTGCTCTGCATGATCTTCCGCTTCTTTTCATACTTCGGGTCATCCATGTCCATGCCATCGATCAGTCCACCGATGATGTGTATCGCGCTGCTTCGAATGCTCCAAATGAGGTACCGAAAGTTCAAGTATACATCTTGGTGCAAGCAGTGTAGAAGACGACACTTGGACCGTCTTACATACCAGTCCATTAACTCCCCCAGGAAGAAGAAAGTCAAAGAATAAAATTTCGCAATGGAGGTGACTGAATCCGAGGTGAAAGCTAGTCCATCACTCCCAGGTGGAAGGCAGATCGATTGATTGACTTTGACCAGTGCCCGGATGACGCCTTCCATGATTCTCGGATAATTTGCCGACGCCTGCCAAGCGTGTTTAGTATGCGGTTTGCGCTCCAAGGCACGTCGCAAAAGCTCACCTTTATGATTGACTGCAGGACACCATAGAAGAGGGATCGGTAGGACTCGTTCTTGGGAAGAGTCATTAATAATACTGCGTGGGGATCTATGGTCTCCATAAAAGTGTCGCAGAGTGTCATTGAACGGCTAAATACCTGCTGCCTCGGGTGAGACAGCCACTGAGTCTGCACGTCGCGTACCACCGCCCGGACATCCTCAGAGGTTTGTGGCCGTTCCTGAAATTCGACGTGATCTGCGAAGGGAAGATTTTCTTGAAATCTCTTCCAGGACTGGGCCAATTCGTTGTACTCCACATCGAGTATCCCAATTACAGGGTGTCTGTGTCGGTATTAGCCATACAAATGGTCTACGGGTAAAGATCGACGGTGGATGTACGCGATCCAATCAGCTGAGCTTTGATGTTAAAAAACAACGGGTGAGGAGGTATGTGTGTGCCGATCATTGAATTCTATATTTCAAAGTGGAAAAGGGAAGATAGGAGGGAGGGGGAATGAGGGGGGAAACAAGGGGAACAGCGATGTGATAAAAAAACGGATGGGAAGATAGAAAGAAATTAAAAAAAAATAAATAAATAAATAAAAGATAAAAGATAAAAAATTAAAAAAAAAAATATGGAAATCAAAGTAAAAGAAGTCTTACTGTGAAAGAGGTCTTTTCTCGAATCGTTTTCTCCAAATACTGGCGGCAAATTGATCGTCCTCAGCAGTTGGAGGGGCTGCTGGGACGAGGGATGATGACTGAGGCGGCATTCTGCAGTGCTTGAAGTCAAAGCGTCGTCTGTCCCTGTTCAAGGCCGGAAGCACAGGAGAACAATTGTGTTGCCAGCTGGAGTCGATGCGGTCATGTCAGGGGGTGGAGGGTTAAGAGAAAAAACAAAAAGAAAAAAAAAAGAAAGGAAAAATCCAGACAAATGCACAGGTTGACCATTCAGCGAGAGTGAGATGAGTGCTTGACTTCAAGGGTGGTATGATGTTGGTCGGGTTGTTGGTGTTGGTGTTGGTGACGGTGTTGATATGGAGATGATTTGACTTTTGTCGGCTTCTGCTTCTAGTCTTCTTTTCTCTGTCCGTTGTTTACCGGTTCATCGCCATGTTGCGCATAGTTAATGTGAAAGCAACGGGTGGACCCGCTTAGAAGACACGACCTATTTCTTTTCTCTTTTGAGGACGGAGGGAGAAGTTGACGGGCGGATAAATGAAAAAGAGGGGGGAGGAGGAAGAGGAGGAGGAGGAGGTGGTGGTGGTGGAGGACAAGGGCCTCACCAGAGGAATCGATAGAATAAAGAGGGAGAGAGGAGGAACAGGGAAAAGGACGAGCTAAAGAGAGAGAGAGAGAGAGAGCGAGAGAGAACGAGCGCGTACGAGAGAGAAAAGAGAGTAAGCCCAAGAAAGTCAGTAACTGCTGCTTGTACTTAGAATGGGAAGTGAATTAACATCGTGATTTTTTTTCCCTCTTGTTTCTTGTTACTTCTTCCCACACACACACTCACTCACCCACTCACGCACACACACACACACACACATCAGGGTCTGTAAAAATAATAAGAAAGAAATTTCTTTTCTTTTATTTTCTTTTTACCCTTTTCCCTGCGTGTCTCTCCTTTTAATTATTATCCAATCTTAGTTTTTTTACCACCCAATTTAAGTTTGTTTTCGATGTGCTTTTGATTTCTTTTTCGTTCCACTTTGGAATATTTTTAAATACTATTTTCTGTTTTCTACAATTTTTTTTTTTTTTAATTTATGTCTGTCTCACTCCTACTTTGATTCTCCCGTCTATCCCCTGTCAACCTTCCCGATCTGCTGAAATAGATCAATTTGAATGAATTGCTGAGGGGTGGGGGAGAAAGTCTTCAGTCAATGGTTATGAATTGGGAATGAAGAGTGACCCTCAAGCAGGGAACCTTGCACGCCTCCCTGTCGTTGCGGGCCAATTGTAGTCCCCAGTTCAGCGGAGCCATGGCTGGTTCGGTGTTCGAGGCCTCAAATAGAAGCGGGGATGCGCTGATGGGTAAATATTCCAGGCCCTCGTAGCCTATGGAACCGTGCTACTAATTTTGGCCCAGTTCGGTATGGTTCTCTTTTTGTTCTGTTTCTTTTTAGTCTACCCTTTTTGCCATGATTTTCCTTTATTGATCAGTTTTTTCTTTTCTTTTCTTTTTCTTATTGTAGATTCTGGGGGTGGGAACAATCTTGAGAGCGGGTCTATTGCTAATTAATGGACGTTTTTTTTTTTCTTCTTTTCTTTTCTATTTTTCCTTTTTCTTCCCCTGCGGTTTTAGATATGCTTGTGGGCCACCCGATCTGTCAAATTAATATCCATCTCTGTTCTTTGTCTGTGCTCCCCGTCTCTCCTTTTTTATTTATTTATTTTTTTTTTAAATTATTTATTTTTTTTTTTCTTTTTTCATCATCGTTTCTTGTCCTCTCCTATGTACCCTTCTCTTTCGCTCTCACTCACTGTGCGCGACACTAATCAAACCAGATACCCACCTTCAGGATTGATAACCATGTCGCTTTCCCTTGTCCCTTTTCTTTAAAAAGATCATGACTGGCATCTGACCGAGTCATCAGTGACTGATACCTGCTGATCTAGAGGGGTTTCAAGTTCTCTGAACAAAAGCCGACTAAAACCGCCAGATTGGTTTTAAAACCCTCGCAACCACTTTCTTTGTTAAGATGCATACACTTTCATGCATCCGAGCCTTTTCAAACCATCCCTCTCATTTTCTTTTTCCATTTAGTCTTCCCGGGCATATCTGGTTGGTCGCCCTGGGGGAGAAAGAGTTCCATCAGGTTTAGTTCTGGACTGTACCTTACCTTCGGTCCTAACCTTCCTTACTAGTAGTAGCATAGCCCATGAATCCCATGCGACAAGAGCACTCCATTGAACATTCCCGGAAATGTCACCACCCTCACCATGGGATTCATCATCCTGTCATCCCACAACCTTTAAGTTTTTTTGATGATCGTGTCGGGGTCTGGGAAGCAACCTACACACGGACCAAGCGTTGCTGTCATGGAGGGTCGAGACTCATGTTTCCCACCAATCGTCGTCATCTGATGGGGAATCCATCAGTCCACAGAAAGCTCGTTCTCAACCATGCCAAGACTGGGCCGTGTGGATTCTCTCTTGACTCTGGCATGTCTTCTTGCAGCCGATGCAGCTGGACTATCAGACGCCTCATCCGATCTCTGATATCCGTGCCTCAACCCAGTGTCCTTCCCTTTAAAAGCCTCCCACTGATTCCAAATACGAGGTGAGATAAACAACTGCCGAAAGGAAGAAGAGCCTGGTAACCTCGCTCCAGACTTTCCCTCCGGTCGATGAAAGCGACCCCGGAAGATGTCACACAAACAACTTCCCAGCTCTTACTTTAGTTCACATTTCCTAGTCGCCTCCACTGCTTACGGCATCATTTGCAGCGTCTCACGGACCTCCTCCAGACCCTCTTTCAGACAGGTCAACTGTCAGCTCTGCAGGCCACATTGACCTGTGTGGGTTTCATGAGTATCCCGCTGAACAGCAGCAAAGTCCTGATCACGGGGTTTTAGGAGTCCATAGTATCCGGATAAGGTTCAATGTGTAGTATCCACACGGCCTGATTGGGAACCCGCTGGATGATGCCATGCATAAGAAGGAGTTATATACCGGGTATGTGCGGTAGATAGCGAATATTCGCGGTGTCCTCCTACCGTGTTTGATTTGTCTGTGATGGCCTGCAGACTGTTGGCGATACTTACTCGCCCGGGATGGGATATTAACTGGAACCAAGGGGAAGCGGCGTTATGACTAAAGGATATGCCAGATCCCGAGTTTTGCCAATTTCCGGGCATGGACTTAAGTCCGTCACCAGGTCAAGCAATCAAAGACCCAGGAGAGACCCGTGAAAGAGCAGCTTTTCGGAAATTACAATGTTCAGGGTTCTTTTCTCCGAGTCAAAGTAAGGTATCTCATCCGGCAAGTTACATTGTTAGACCCTAGCCAAGCTTTGGATATTCTGGGGTTGTTGGCACGGGAGTGAAATGTCGGACGGCATGCAGAAGGGAAGGCGTTGTCACACATGGATTGTCACTATGTCGCTGCTTTTGCGGTGAGCAATGGGATTGTGAGTGTTGTCCTGGAATGGTCCATTCGCATCAATCGGTTAGTAGTTGTAGCTGTGGCTTGTGCATCGCCCTAGTTGGAGTTGCAATATTGTTGACCTATTGTATCACCATATCGACTGCATAGATTGGTTGTGATGCTTGTTCCCTTGTGTTTTCCTCTTTTCCTTTCTCTTTTCTTTTGCTTTTCTTTTTCTTGATTTGCCTTTCTTGAAACGTTGCAGTGTTTTAAAGTCCGGGCACAACAGCGTACTAAACAACCTGCGGAGCCTACAATTATAAATTTCTATCGACTCACTACTAACTAGTACCCGCGACGGCTGATTCCTAGGACCCGCACAAAATGAACCACTAGATGCTTTTTTTCTCGCTACAAGTGAACTAGCATCTCTTTTTACCCTCGCAAATGACCACCCGCAATTGGACTACGTCTCGAGTCATTAACAAGAGAAACTGTGATTGCATGGTGAGATCGTCAACCCGGCGTCGATCAATCCACCTCAGACAGGGTAAACCCCGAGCACAAAGCAACTGACAGGGACTAGAAAGCAAGCCGACCGAATCATATCCTAGAGAAATGGAAAACTAAGAGATCCAACCATTTGGATACTGGGACGCAGCATTACCCAGTTAGAAATCCGCATCACGCAGGTGGTGATCCTGTCGGATGCGGAAGGTCGATAAACATGCAGAGCCCGAGTGTGGAGATTCGCCTGCCCTCCGATCGCGGAGGCGTGCCACTCCACATGCGGAGAACCCGCAGTCGACAGGACATTTTTTTTTTTTTTTTTTGGGTTTTGGTTCTATGTTCTGTAAAGATAATGATATACTTCGTACATGACTTGAGATCAAGAAGTTGGGGTAGAAGGAATCACCGGTCGTGTTTTTCTGAATTCAGGCACCGGGATGGTGAGGCTGTGTAGAATAATCCATTATCGGGCTTACCGTCCCGTCTCAGCCTCGAAGTGGATTTCCGAATCAAGCTTGTCCACGTTGGGGTTCAGTGAACACGAGAGAGGTGGAATAGTAGTTCTAAAATCGGACATACCACATCCCCAGACACCAATTTGCCAGCTAATTATTTTTTGCAAGCCATGGCACTGGGAACGGCATACCATGGTATGGCGTCGAGTCTTGGTGGTCGAGAAGAGCTGTCTGCCAGCGGATCAGCTGTGCGGAGAGTTTGAAGGTTGGACCGTATTTTGATAGATGACGCAACTCATTGCATTCAAATCAGGTGCTTTTCGTTACTTTTTTTATATATTTTTTTTCTCTCTCTTTGTATTATTCGCATGGTCTATCTCCACCCTTTTAAGCAATTCAATGGACATTGTTCGACTTGGGTGTATTTCCCATAGGTTGACTGGGCGATAATCCTTTCTGTCTTGGCCTGAAAAATGAGACAAGATCGGCCAACATGTGACGTCTATTGGCCCTAAGCGCGAGAAACCGATGGGACTAGAGAGTACTTACAGTACTGACCGGAGTCGTACTTAGTAACTCCCCCGCATCTTGTGAAATTTTTTAACAATCGAAACCGGAAGAAATTCAAATCTCATCGAAGAAGATCAAAAAGAACCTTATGTGGTTATCTGGATGGGATTACAATGGGAGCAAGAACGCGATGTGGGATTGATTGGACTGGACCGAATGCATGTTCTGTACTCTGTCTGTACCTCGGGTTCCTCTCTGGGCAAATCAAGTTCGAAGCCCAAGCAGATGATGATCCCCTTATCGTTTTCGTATTGTCCAGACCGACTTAGTAACGTAACTCGATTAGTCGTCCGGGAATCCATGGTTCCTCGTTCGAATCGCCGTATCAGTCATTGATTATGAGTTCCTGAAGTTACTTTAACCTTTTAGAATAATTATTATATCTACAAGCAACGACTTCTCTCTTTTCTTTCCCCCACTTGCTTGAGTACACTCGACTGGATTGAGTCCAATATATTTGGTGTTCCCTTTAATTTCCACAGGCGGTTTCATCGGACCGTCCGGATCATTTTCTGACAGACTTGCCTTTTCATCCAACGGATTCATCACTGCAACCCTAAGAAGGCAACTCCACCGTAAAGTCGGTGGTTGGTCCCAGAGGGTCTCTTCCCCCCCTCTGACATAACCCCCTCTCGCTCTCTCCACCGCATCTCCAAATTTCAACCTCCCCCCATCCCGTTGTCGGTGATCCATCCATCCGCTTCCATTGATCCTTCTGCTTATCGATAGATTCCACTTTTTTCACCTCCAAATCTTGTTCCCCGGCTATTGCAATTCATTTTTGTTGGAACCCCCACCGTCACGGTGCATCAGACCGTCATTGATCGGCTAGTATTTTCTTGTACCTATCTATATTTTTCTTTTTCCTTTTTTTTCCTTTTTTTTTTTTTTTTTTTTTCCCTCTTCCCTTCTGTTATAGGCGCTCGGGATCGGTGAACGCAGAAGATCCGGAACTAAATGATCTCCTGCGCCCCATAACCTCCGCCATATCCGTAAGCCTCGTCATCGTGGGGAAATCCATTCGCTCCAGCTTGGCTTTTTTCTTCGATGGGGCCCATTCAGGACCCTTCTTTTTTTCCTTTCTCTTTTCCCTCTCTTCCTCTCCTCCTCCTCCTTGTTTCCTCTCTATCGACTACGATCCTCGCGGTAGACTCGTCCGGCTGGTCTGTGGTGCCGTCCAACAACTCCAGGGATCTTTCGTGGGTAGGAAAAGCCAGATTTCACCTGGAGAGCGCCCAGATTCAGCTTCCGTCGGGCGTTAGCATTACACCGTTGACAACGGCCTTGGTCAATCTCGACCAGAGTGAACTGACGGTTCGTGCAGCGCTGCGTGGATGAACCCAGCACCCTGAATTGATAACACTGACGGTGGTCCCCGCGTAGAACTTCAAGGTTACGGGTAACCTCGTGAATGTGGACGATACCAACTCCATCTCATTGAACACGAGTGATATTGCCCTGATCAGTTGCGACCAATCCGCCTATCCCGGAAATTTAGATGCAAGTGAGACCGTTCGCAACGTCATTACATCATCGCACCGTGCATCGGCGATTCTTTTGTACAGTTCCGAGGTGCATCACTGTAATTACACCGCAGGTCCCAACGCCAACGGATACATCAACGTTTTTACGTTAGTGAATCCCACTCTCGCGAAGGTTGTCACCAATCTCTCTCATTCTTCCACGGGGAACGGTTCGACGAGCATCAAACCCGACATGTCATTCACGATGTCCGGGACGCCGCCCACCTCCGGGGATTCCGGTGGGGCGACGGACAGCCCTAATACTGGTATGAGCATTTCATGTCAGCGCATGCATTCCCATGGCGGCTGACCTTGCATCACAGCTATGATTATTCTGTATAGTATTACAGGTATCATCACGGCGCTCTTTCTAGCCATCATCATTACCGGCGCGGTCCGGGCTCATCGTCACCCGGAACGGTACGGACCTCGATATACAGCGGGGCGTCCACGGCAAAGTCGAACGAAGGGGATGGCAAGGGCGATGTTGGATACAATTCCGATTGTGAAGTTCGGTAATCAACAGGATCCGAAGCTGGATGCCGTCAAGGGTGACGTGGAGATGGGCTCTGAAGATGAGACGGGTCGTCAGCCAGATTCTACTCAAGAAACAACTACGGTGCACGAAACGAATCCTCTGGCGACTCCTGCTTTGGCGGTGACGAACAATACCACGACCGAGTCTACTACAGAACAACAAACGAAGCCGACGGAATCCACGGATCATCCGAACTTTTCGTGCCCTATCTGTACCGACGACTTTGTCAAGGGACAGGATCTGCGTGTCCTCCCCTGCAACCACCAATTCCACCCGGAGTGTATTGACCCTTGGCTGGTAAACGTATCGGGTACATGTCCTCTTTGGTATGCTTTCCCATCACTTCCCAGAACAATAAAACTATCGCCATCGCTAACAAAAAGTCCAGCCGGATCGACCTCAATCCCGCCCAACCCGAAGGCGAGAATGAAAACCAAGAAGGCGAAAACAACACGGAGACACAACAAGAGGGCACAGCCGAACCAGCCGCAGAGGAATCGCACCACCGACACCGCCGCCTAACCAGCTACCTGCATGGACCGCTGAACGCGCGCCGGATGCGTGAAGCCACCGTCGAAGAGCGCCTGGCCGCGCTGCGTAGCGTGCGCGAAGAAAACCGCAACAGCATCGAGAATGAAGAAGAACGACAGCGACGTGGTCGACTCACATCACGCCTTCGTGACCGATTCCGCATTCGCACTCGACGCCACGGCGATGACGGCGAGCAGCAGCCGTCCGCATCAACATCTACCTAGTACATAAACCAGCCATCTACAACTGTTTATATTATGATGGTACTTGTACAGTCGACTTTTGCGTTTATTTTTGCTTGCATGGTGGCCTTTTTTTCACATTTAACATTCTCACTCTCCTTCATGTCCATATTTATGTCTATGATTTACGAAGCACGGAACCACCAACGAAAGGCACGGCGATACAGGCGTTAGGAAACAGGATATTTCACAAAAAGAAAGAACCGGATTCAAGACTGGATCGATTTGATTTTGAGGCAATTGTACATCTTGCACTGTATATCTTTTCTATTTCACAAATAGGTATATATACAAAATCCACGTCCAGAGTACAATACACAAACTCACAACCCAAGTATGTACATACATACATACATACAATAGTAGAAAGTAACAACAACCGTTCGGCAATCCCCCGAACCCAAACCCAAACCCACCCGATAAAACAAAACCCCCCCAAAGAAGAAAAAAAAAAGAAAGAAAGAAAGAAAGAAAGGTAAACCAACAAAAATGACCCAAGAAAGCAACCAACACGAAAAGGAAGTGGAGCAGCCAAGCCCCAAGTTCCAACTAAACAAAAAACAACGATCCCATCGGGTTCCGGAATCCGTTTCGCATTCTCTCGCATAAATTGCCTTATTCGGAATCTCCCCGTGGGGTTTCGTTTAAAAATGCGGGTTGCCTTATGTACACAATTTTCTTGTTCGCCTTGGCTTGCGGATGAATATGGAAGGTTGTGCCGTAAATTGACCTTAACCTTTCCTGGTTGGATTGCATTACATTTGATGACCGTGCTTCGAGGTTAGTTCGGAGTAGTTCGGTACCTAACTACTTAGTGAGTTAGTAGTATGGAGTACATGATTATGATACGTATCATATGCAGCTCGGTAGGTCTAGTAGTAGTAGTAGTAGTAGTAGTATTGGGTTTACCTTATGTATGTACGTGTGTCTATGGGGGTTAAGGTTAGGTTTATTGGGACTGACTGACTCGTGTAGGTAGTTGTATATGCTTTTGAAAGAGGGTGGGGGGGGGAAACTGATCAATATCTGGTTGTGGATTCTTAATTACTACTGCATATGTCGATGTGTGTAGGTGTGTACTAGTACTAGTAGTAAGTACTTTATCTATCTATGCACTCGGTATGGACGTATGTATGTATGTATGTACCTACTTTCAGTAGTGACAGGGCGATAACCCAGAGTCGTGCGGGGGTGTGACTCGTGAGTTAGGGCTAAATTAGGCTAGGCTAGGCTAGGTTAACTAAACCAGCAAGTACTAGGTACATACTAAGGCGGACCTTAGTAGTCGAGGGGCGGGTTATTATCCTATCTATCGTACATACCATTGTACCTGGGGTTGAGGGGTTATGTAGTGAGTACTATTGGCAAGTGGCTTATCGGATTTATCAGATAATCTAGACTACAATACGATGGATATGATGAGTAACACTTACAGATCATCAATAAGTTGAAATCTAAGTTCCAATAAATAAATCCTCTAGGCGAGAATGATAATTAATGTAATTGTTCTTCGTATCCCTATTACTACTAGGACATACCGTATACTGTATTAGTATAGTCGGGATCCCAGGATCACTGGTGTAAACCTATTTCCTCATTCAGGATTAGGGAAACGGTTAGTCAACATGACATATCCTTCTCTGCAGATGATCACTATCTCTTTGAGTGTTTCCGCGCTTGACCTGCCGCGAGGTAATGGAGAGTGCATGTGCAGATCCGGGGGTGAACGGTCCGCCGCACTAGTACTTGGTGTGTGTCAATCGTCCGTGGTTGTACTCTAAGGCCGATTATTTCCCGTTTGAAGTTTCTCATGTGAAGGTGATCTTCTCTTCTGGGTTGTTGGACCTGATATCCCTCTCTTGCAAGGGGAGCGGGGTTATGGGAGCTAGCTATATGGCGTTTTGACTGTTCAAATGGTCGTGCTTTTTGTGGTAAAAGGTTTCTGGAGGCATGATGCTATTTCATTTCCTCATTGTATTGCTGGGCAAGAGGGGAAGAGCATGGTTATCGTCTAGCAAAAATTATACATATATATAGAGTGAGTGAGTTTTGCATTACACCCGAATACAGCCCCCATTCAGGGGCTCTTCTCGGGTTGTCAACAGCCGAGTAGTATACATTCGAAGCAGCTCTCATTGACATTTGTGTTATAAATATATGTATGAGTATATGTATTGGAAATCTCAAAGAGATCTGAAAATAACAGCAATTTAGTAGACTATTTTCCTCTTTTCTCTGATCTTATACGACTGATTATAAGATTGATCTACTAGTCTATAAAGACTGCTAGATATAAACAATACAGTCTACTGGATACATTAATAAATATTGTATACAAATGTAGAATTCAGCAGCGGAAATATATATTGGAAAGATATTCTAATAGGAGATAGACTATCAGAGTTATATGAGTAACAGATATTCTGAGTATTATAATGGGTTAAATTCAGTGGAACGGTTGCCCTTCCGTGCTTTGCTGGAACAGGTTGTGCTGTTTGGTTTACTTCCAACAGCATGACGTTTACTGTTGTCCCAAACGCACCGGTGGTGCAGCTACTTTAGGATTTGGTATCCTCTTGGTTACTGATAATCAGTTAATACAGGCATTGTATATTTGTCTATTTGCTTATCGAGCCTTAACTAACACAACTTGTAGAAGCAGAGATAGATTCACTAATAAACAGATCGATACTATTATAACCTGTGCCTTATGTATGTACCCAGGCACTGTCTATCTCTTCAAATTATTGAAGCCGACGGCAGTGTCTCTTGTATACAGAACTATCCCAGCCGGTATCCGCCAGCAATTGGAGAATATGGTGATGGGCCTGCTGAATCGAAGCGCAATAAACTGTGTACTTGAAGAATATCAGCAAGTACTGGCTCTTTAATGGACCTGGGACACCTGGGACACCTGGGACACAGAGAAAACGTAATTCTCCGCGGACGAGAGTAAGAACTAAATTTCTTGCCACAGCAAGATCTCCATTCAGATACACGGCTGAGTTATTTTCTCTCCACCTTCCCGACGGGTGACTCGGGTAAAATGTGGTCTAGAGGCCGTGATTCATATAGAGCCTATAATCAGATGGTGTCATTGGCCTGGAGCAGGATTAGCAGCTCTGGATTCTATAAACTACCGTCCATCTGATAGTGTAGAAATCGTTATGGCGAACGAGAAAAGAGATTATCTCACAAAAGGTTAAACAGCCTGCCCACAGGTAACAATGTACTTTATCTAAGCATTTTATACCATTCTCCAACAGGGAAGTGGAGAGAAGGTGCTGCTCTGCTCCTCTATATTTGTATAACAGTAGAAAATCCGGCTTCAGACTATATGACTACAAGGCTATTAAGGACCGATATTGATAGTGGCGCAACAAGGATATAAATCAGGATATGACTAAGAGAATGTAAAGGGCACAAGTACTGTAGCACTTTATATCAGAAATCTATCTTATCTCTAAGAGTTATTGAAATTAGTCTACCAGGACAGTAATATGCGCGAGTCTTAGAATCTAATAATCTGTATAGGCTCTATGCTATACTCTTCTGCTGTTGGGTAAAAGAAGCTTTTCTGACTCTGAAAACTTTGAATTATATTCAACTAACTCAATATTTGGATGAAGAAACTCTACTTTTTACTGTCTACGATGCTGTAGCAGTTACTTGTAACTTGTCTATCCTATACTTATAGATTGACACTCTCTGTATAATCCAGGATTCTGAAGAGGACAAAGTCAGAGATATTACAAGGATAAAAGATATACATATATCTTTAACTCTGACAATAGTCGCTGCCGTTGCAGAGAGTACCTCTAAAGAATTTCTCTACCCCTCGGGTAAACCAGGAGATTCTTCACACTATTCCTGTTCGGATCAAACCCAACATTTTTGGCCGCATATCTATCAATAAACTTGACGCCGCATGCTATAACGAGCAACTTGAACCCATTGCAAAAAGAGCTTGAACTATACAAGAGCAGTTATTGAGCAATCGCACGCTCACATTTACAACACAGACCATGATGTGGAACATGCCATGAGGATATCAAGAATTTTGCCAACTCCTTATATTTTCCGCATGACCTTGATGCAGGTTATAATTCCAACGATGAAAAGTACAGCCTCAATCTGCACTCTTTATTTCTTAATCCAGAAGAGGCTTGTGCTAATAAGGAAAAGTCTCTAAGTTGCTGGATGCGCCTCGTCACAACATATTCAATCAGGAATACAACAAGATTGATGCTGCGAGGTCTTACTAGGAAGGCCTGGTATAAACCTTCTATGTCCAATATTTTCTTGCTTCCCAGACACACCCATGCAAATCCCTAACGATGGCCCTCGAAAAGAATCACTGTCGAAGAAGCTTTGTAAATACATCTGGACAATTTCAGAGTAAAGTATCCAGATATGGATCTCATCGGAGACTAATTACCGCAACATCTGTGGCTATCACTTTGGACAGAAAAATGGATGATGGAGTGAAAGGGCTACTCCTTATCAAAGACGAAGCCGAGAGCCGTCGTAGTACTAGTAGTAGCTATATATTCAGAAGAATTGGGTTTCTTGAGAGGGGAAGGAATCTCGATTTCCAATGTGAGACAAATACCGAGATTTCTATATAGGTAAATTATTGTTCAATACAGAAAGACGACGTTTAGAGATTATTTCAATATCCCGGCAACATGATTACATATTCTTTCCCAACCGCCTACTCCGTAGTTCTATCGTACTCTACGGACTTCATTCATGAATTGAACTTCAACTGAAACAAGCATCAGGAAAGCATCCATCCTAAACTGTTCATTCTGGTTTCTGCATCTTCCCATTCGCATTATTGATTGGTTGGTGCAGAGGACTATCTATCATTTCCGGAATTTGGAGTTTCCTGCCACTAAAGCCTTTGTTTGCATCTTTGTCGGCATTACTGGCGCTGGGAACCGGGGCATAAGGGCGAGAAATGCTGGCACGTATAGGATGGGCTGTGCCAGTTTGAATTGCACCTTCATCAGTCACTCTATCGGCTGTAGAGAGAGCCAAATCACCCGAGTCAAAGTACCTCCGTTCCTTGTATTTGTCAGCAGCTGCCTTGGATTGCCCTTATTAGAAACATACCCTAGACTGTTGTCTGAGCAGTCCTCCTCCATGAGGCAGCCTACCATAAAGGTGGAGTCGGCCTTTCTCATCCTCGGCGAGAGTCTAGTAACATATTGGTATGGTGCGCTAGGTATTCAATGATAACGGGGAATTGTCTGACTTGGGAATGGGGTTCTTTATCCTGTCCCGCTTCCATTATGATTTGTGTCACGTATATAGGTAAATTTTGCTAATCGCAGAGGACAAAAAAATGATGCAGATTAATATTATGAACTATATTCATTGCCACTTAATATAGATGCCAGTGTTTACGTCCCATGGATGAGCAGCCCAACCCTATCATCATGTCATCATTTGCCTTCCCATCCATAGAACGTTAAAACCCTTTAAGAGTTAAATATGAAAAGTCACATGTCGGGGCCTGAAAGACAGGCAGAGAACTTTAGGAACACCTGTATGAATTAGTGAACCGTATCGTATCACTGAAATTAAGTGGATTGAGAAAATTATACATTAGGTCATAATTGTTCCCCTAGACCTAAGTGCCTATCCTTTAACTTTTAAACAGAAAAATAATTCTCAGGTCGCATATTTGTTGTTCCGACCGAGAAATATTTTGGAGAGTGCGTAGGTATGGGTCGCCTTTACCACCCCCCCCCCCCCGAAAGAGAGTAATACTTGATTAAAAAAATATTATAGTCTTCGAAAAATCAACCTCTGTCTCCCACTGATGGCTCCCCTATGTACTTTTGTGTCACATTTTACCAACCCTTACGGTGACCGAGATACCAAATAATATTTCCAAGTCGCAGAAAAAGTAACAATCTTGGAGCAATAATGGTCCAAGAGAATCACCAGAGCTTAGGAAGGTAAACAGATCCTATCCTATCCTATCCTATCCTATCCGAACCTTTATTCCAATACATCTATGAATTTATAGCTTAGCTAAAAAAAAAAAAAAAAAAAATTCTTCGCAGCAATAGTAACCTATCCAACGAAATTAATGCCAACCACAATAATCAGATAGACCCAACTGCAGGCCCTCGAAGCCCTGCTGCCACCGCTGAAAATGCGGATTATTACCGTGAATTTCTTACTGAACTGGTGGACTCAATACGAAATGAAGATCAAGCAATGGTAGCTCGCATTGTTGGTCTTATACAATCTGGTGCACCTCAGGATGAGGTTCTTGGTGCGGTCCGGAGCGCAAATCGTCAGTGCGAAAAATGAGGGTATTCGCCACGGTTCTGCGTATGGAACTGTCTAGCTGCACTTGATTTAGGCTATGGATGGTTCTTTATGATGAGAATTTATCATCACTACTGGGTAGTGCCAATAAATGTGACAAGTTCTAATGTAATGAACTCTTACTGCCAATATCTGCCAGTGGTATTCCTTTATAACGACGGTCAAGCCTCGGTTCATAATCATACAAAAACGTTAGCTAGCTATTGTGTAGATATCTTCCCAATATGTTCCTACCTGTACCTCACTTCGACACCCAAATAATGATCCAGTATAGGAACTATTTGACTAATGCTTTTTGTTCCTATGAGACCGTCGAAGCATTTCTAGAAAAGGACCGTTCTCGGATCAGGGTGCACGATAAATATAGACAATCCCTAACCGTTGAAACCTTTGAAAGCAAAATGTGTTCTAGAGAAACCGTTGGTATTTCTATGCCGAAACTAGTTATGAGTACATAGAAAGTTATTCTTGGTGTCCCTAAGCAACTACTATTATCTCCACCTGGAAGAAACCGATTACTATTGACATCTTGTGGACAGTAATACCACTTCAGTGGGGTAGTACTATTAGGAGATGAGCTCTAGGCCAATGATTCAAGAAGCTGATCAAGAAAGAGAAAAGCCAATAAAATCCCACGTTTCATCCTCTGTAGACTGCGCTAGCCATATATCACCTAAATAAAGCAAGAAGAAATACGTCTCCCACTCGTCTTTTCACACAAATAAGTTATCAGGTGGAGGCTGTAGAACCCCAGAACATCAGCATTGGTTGGAAAGTCCGGATAAGCTTGGTAATTATATTGAAATCCGAGAAGAGCCTGGAAAGAAAGATTATCCATGACTTCTTTGACAAATGGTTTTTTAGCAGCCAATTCTGGGCTGTCTGGTTATCAGTATATATCGTCTAATCCTAATTGGCAAGCCATTAACTCTAACAATAGGATTTATAAAAGGTTCGGCCTTTGTCCTTGGCATAGCGCTGTCGAATTCCATTGGAATCTCTTAAATTACTCCCACCACTTCCAATAGCGAAAGGAATTTCCTGGACTAGATCGGTGCAGATACCATCCACAGAAAGATATTATCTTGCCTATTACCAACTTCCTGTAGGAAAAAGGAGTTAATTTCAATATAACACCACGGTCACAGACATAACAGTAGATCTGCAAAGAGATTATTAATCTATATTAGCTTTCAAAACGGCTCAGAACAGATAAGAGAATACTGTCACTGTCAGCACTCCTGATATTGTTATTGTGTCACTTCGGCCATTACTTTCTAGGTCAACAAAGGATACTAATACAAATCCTGAAGGCGGAAGACAAGTTAGATAAGAATTGGTTACTCTGGCTGGCATTCGGCGCAGGTCTCAGCTCAAGCCTCGGCGACCCGTACAACTTCTGCACACAAGTGGGTGAATCCAGAGAGAAGACTTTCACAATTTCAATCAAAGATGTTCAGTTCTCCGACTATTTTATAAACTTGGCCCGTGCTGTTAATAATTCAACTTCAATTATTCTCCAAAATAGCAATTGGCTACTTTGTTTATTCATTCCCCGTCAACTACTTGTTCCTTATTAATCCACAGATATACAGATTATATAGGGCTATAGCTCAGCACCCCAGTATCTAGAAAACTTTGTGAAGAAGCCAATACTCTAGTACTCTGGGCAGGAGATCTTAACTGAATTGCTGTAGTATCTCAATATACCTCTGGAATCTATTTTAAACCATTCAATTACTATCACACATATAATGCCACGCTTAGCGGCGCTATTGCTGCCTCGGGCTTGTGCAGATCGTCTAAGAGTAATACCGGAATATGCAACCAATCCCACAGTAGTCGGTCAATTTGTAGAGATACCCGATGAGACTGCTGCGACTATAGACTATAGTATACACGGAGCTCAGATTGCGATATTTCAACTTATAGATGTCCAAGAGATGCGGAAGAAAGATAAAAAACATTTTATTACTAGTTTCTTGGGCTTCTAAGATATGGTGAAGTGGGCTCTTTTAATATCGAGGGACTTTCATAGTAACAGTGGGATACAATTACTGATCATTCTCAAGTTGCATTATTTAGAAGTATGGGCATTTAAGAATATTACGTCGCTGGAGTTGCAGAACCCTAGCACTTCAAGATATCAGCTGTGGAGATATAAAAAACATGATAGTGGAAGTAATGGCTGGGTTATGGCCTACGAAAAGAACATATCGTCAGTCCTAGCCCGCTTATTGGTTTGTTTTATCGGCGGTGACAGGTGTTACGCGTACTACAGTTACAACTATCGCTGAACATGCTCATTAAACGACGCTGCTCTTCTACCACCCTCAGTGATATGCCCTAAAATTTATAAGTCTACTTTTTCCAATTTACAGCAGACAGTCAAATACTTAAGTATTTCGCGCAGAACTCTCGGCTACTATCATATATATATAGGAAAAAAAAAAATAGCTGGGACGCATTCATCCTGGTTTGACAGCTGGGCCGCCATCTCGCCAGGGAATAGAAACCATTTAGCTATATCCTCTTGTCCGGCACTATATATGGCCACCAGTCCAAAGCCCCTGAGTTAATGCTAGTATTGAGGTAGTGGATCCGATTATTGTCATTCTGACCGTGGCAGATAAGGCTCTGCGAACAATAGCTGGGGGTTTTCGGGATAGTGTCGCTGCCGGTATTACCAGGAGAAGGGACTCTGGCACTTTATTCTCAATATCAATTAAGGATATTTCGCAGATATCCACTTTCATACTGTAGAAAATGCATAGATTCGTCTATAGTATTAGTAGTTTCCACTATTGGCAGATGCTTGATGATATCACAGGCCCACAAATTCATTAGCGTAAATGGTCCAGGCGGCGGATCTTAGTACCGACTACTAGTACTAATCAACATTAACCCTACTTTTTGATTCAATAACTTTCCAATTGGTTGGAAGTTAATGCCATCCCATAAGCACGGCAAGAGCTCCACTATCTGAGCTGTTATATGAGGGAAAAACTGTTGTCCAAAATGTTGAATTGGAAAACCCCTCTGCATACCTTAACTAGTTGAACAGAGTATTCGTTATGTAATTATCTACGCGCCAGCCTTGGAATATAATTTATCGTTCCAATCACTGATATCTCGGACAAAAGATCTGAAAGGAAGCTATTTTGTCAACCTTCTTACATTACCAGTGAGCTAATGATGGGATCCAGAGAATGGCGTTGGGTATTGGAAACAGATCCTACCGTGAGCTCGTCCTCGATGCAGCTACCGCCAGAGCAACTGGAGAAGACCAGGCACCCTTTATCGGGGACCAGATCGAATATATCGTCGCAACATCCTTCTCCCTGCGTTTCACGTCCTTCAAAAATTCCCATCCCGAGATTGTCAATCCATAACGTGGTTGCGGTTAGACCACGCGTTAAGAAGGCATGTAAGGAATGCAGAGACCAGAAGACCAAGTGCGATGGATACCAACCGTGCAGTTGAAAGTGATGCCGGAGGACGAGGAACTTATCGCTCGAGCTTTGGCTGAAGTACACTATCCTTCGATGGACTATTCCTAGTGTCCAGCCTGCTAATATGTTTCAAGTTTTCCCCCGAATCCACCGATACAGTGACAGATCACGGCTATTCCCAATCTGCGAGAGAGGACCTCCGTTTGGGGGTAGAGTACGTACAAGAAGACTTCCACAGTAATGAACGTTTGCAACGCATTGGATTTATTGGTGGTCCTTCTGAGATGTCTTGGGTGCGCGACCTAAACCGGGCAGTGGAGAAGGATACCGAAATGCTTAATGCAAACACTCCAGACCAATCTCCAAGCGACGACCCTCAAGCTCTGAGTAAGGTGAGTTATTTCCTAGACGACCAGAAGATGACTATTGATGATAACATTGATGTTCACATTCGGTCTTCTGAAGATATTGCAGAGAGGCTAGTCTGTCTATATTTCCATACTATACATCCTTCATACTCCATCATTAGCAGATTATCCTTCACGCAGCAGTTGGAAAGCTATTACACGAAACCTTATTTGCGGCCAACAAAAAAGTGGCTCGCAATTCTGAATCTAGTTTTCGCCGCGGCGGCCAAGCTCGCACACTTTAGTACCTCAACATCTGGTGCAAGCCATGGAAGCCCCTATGGTGTACTTCTCCCGGGCTCAGAGACCTATCTTTACAGGTAGTCAATTGATTGACCACCCCGATCTTCGGCAAGTCCAGGTCGAAGGTCTCACTACGTTTCTATGCATGACGCTTGGCCATATCAATAGGCACGAGGGTGATTCCAGTCTTTGCCGTTGGTAGATTACGCGGTAGACCCTTAACTTACAATGTTACAAATCATGGAGAGCATGTGGTGTCGCGATCAGGTCGTCCATTGCTATGGGGATTAACCTTCGCAGTGAGAGTAAAGAAACTTCAAATATTTCTAAAGAGATCCGATACAACAACAGAGCCAGCATCCAGCACATCCCTATATGGAAAATGGTATTTAATTAAACCCATTTTCTTCCAGTGCAGCTTCTTTAGTCTAAAGGCCCCTCGTTTGACTTAGGATTGGTATGATCGGGACTTTCAACAACAGTGTTCATGGCATCGATAGCCTGCCGGAGGTAACTCGTCGCATTATCCTCTGCTTTGGGCAGCTTTTTATAGATAAATGAAATATTACCGATATATTATAACCCGGTCATCCCTTGTATCCCCTCCATTAATTACCGCATGTAGGCTCCGAATACCTCTCTCGTACAGTTAGGTCATTATAGGCCCCCTATTCTCTTATGGCTCGCGCCTACCTCTCTGTAAGCCGTGTTATCCGGCACGATCTCCTATAATTCAATGACAAGCTCGAAACAAGTTCTAAAGCTTTTAAGCCGTCTTTGTAATTGGTAGATTAATGGCTGTTGAATGTGTGTCTTGTGTTTGAGAGGGAAAGACTTCGAAGCTCTCAAATGTTCGTTGTGGTAGTAGGTCATCATCAAACTCTTTTCCATGTGCTTGTGGAACTAATTTTGCTGACTTGTCTGGGGATTAGGGTTAAAGGCGGTTTATATCTATTGAGAAGTTTATAGCTATTCAGAGTGGGAATGGATAAACGAGCGAGTGCGCGAGTTGTCCCTTCTTCTTGGATATTGTACTAGTAAGTGGATTTGTCTCGATTATTTATCCTTTCAATACTATCTTAAACTAGGTGATAGTATAGCGTACTCTTTATCGTAACCTACCTTATAAAGTCCTTACTCCACAGTAACCAAATCACAACGTCGTTGACATTCATCCATTAAAAACAGCCATCAAGAGATAAACTAACCACATCAACCCTAGGTATAAACCCCTAGGCTTCTCACCCAATTACAACCTTTACATCCCAGCCCTAGGGCGCAGCCTAATATAAAGACACGGCTTATTCCAAAGAATGTACGTTTCCTGCCGATTCCAATTCTCACTCCTCTCATCCAATTCCAAGTCAAAACTGTACAGCACACGACTCAGAATAAGACGCATCTCAGCGTTAGCCAAACTAAAAGTCATTAGCGAGATATACAGAAGCAGAAGTAAAACGGAAGACGTACTTGCGTCCAATGCAGTTCCGGGGCCCGAAGCTAAACGGTTGCAACACTGTTTTACTATCATTGGCAAAGCGAGAATCTCCAAGGAAACGCTCTGGGATGAAGGATTCTGGCTCTGTGAAGTTTGATGCTGAGTGGAAGGCGGCGAGGTGTGGGATGGATACGATGGTCTGGATAGATAAGGGGGATATGTTAGTATTTGGTTTGTGGGGATTATCTAGAGGTGGTGCTGAACATACCCCTCCGGGAACCCATTTCCCAGCGATCATATCACCCTCTCTATCGACAATTCTGGGTAGTCCGGTAGGAGCAGGCGGGAAGATCCGGAGTGCCTCTGTCAACACGGCATTGAGGTATTCGAGTTGATTGCAAGCAGTGACAGTGATATCCTTTTCACTCGCAAACGACGCCCTGATTTCCTGCTGCAGCTTACGCAGAACCCGCTCATTCTTCACAAGATAGTAAGTAACAGCCGAGAGTAAGGTCGCCGTAGTTTCAGAGCCAGCAACAATCAGTGTGCTACCGTTGGTAACCATCTCCTCGAAACTCATTGCCCGTTCAGTATCCTTCTGTTTCAGGATATGTCCGAAGAAATCCATCCGGTCGTTTGACTTGTCGAGTCGACCCTTGACCTTCTCCTTGGTGAGTTCAATATGCCAATTCCTCCCATTCGCTATGCGCGTAGGGGTAATGAGACGAAGCAGATATTTGGAACCGGGAAAGCGTCTCGCAACGTTTCCATACGTGCCGTATCGGATATTACTGAAGATCATGGAGACCCATTTATGATACGCCGAGTTCTGCAGACAGTTGAACGGTTCACCAAACGCCAGATCCCCGATGATATCGAAGGTTGTAAAGTTGTACCATGAAACCATGTCGAGGGGTTTGCTACCGGCATCGCAGTGCTCGTGCAGACGCTGGATCAAAAGGTCGATGTAACCGTTGACTAGCGGCTCCTGGGCACGCAACGAGGTCTCGGAGAATGCGTGAGACAACGTCCGTCGGAAGCGAGTGTGGTCTTCATCGTTGGAGAGGACGATGCTGGGAACTCCGCCTGCTGTGGGTGGATAGTAACGGACGTCTTTGGGCTTCTGCTTGTGTCCGGGTCGAGTGCCGTATATTGTCTTCCAGGCCTCACCGTCGATGAAGGATAGTTCGTTGGGAGCGATGCGGACTACTTCTCCATACTTTTCGTGTAGGTCCTTGATAGATTGGCCGATTCGGCCACCGAGTAAAGCCTGGAAATAAGGAATTCGTGTAGCCGCGAACGACTTCGGACCGGGGAACTTTGCCAACGGATGAAAGTAAACGTTATAAATAATAACTGCGAAGAGGTAGAGAATGCTCTATTTGGCTCTGCTCAGCAACCCGATTCTTGTTTTCCGTTCATTACTGCAGAGCACACTCACCAGTACTACACCCAGTCCGAGATAGAACCCAACAGCTCCCAGAGGCGAGCTGAGGGATCCTGAAAAAGGTAGGAAAGAAAACAAAGTCATCTTAAATAATCAAGTCATTTGTGTAATAGTTGAGAGAAGCTTCATATCCAGTCTCCATCATAGTATTTATATACCCTCTGATTGTTACATATCGGCATAAAACTGTTTAATGCCGGACAGGTCAGGATAATAGACGTGAATGCGGTAATGCTGAAGAGAAGTGAATACGATGATCGACCGGTAGAATTTGCCGATTCCCGTCAGTCAGTATTTACTATGCGGGCAAAATGAATTATTATTTTACATTGCTTCGAATTATGCATTGATATGCGTATTCTGTGGAGAAAAAGGTGGGGAAAGTTACGGCAGCTAAATCAACCACCCGTTTCAAGGGGGCCACGCACGTTATTCTTATATTTTATCCGGGCTTGAAGAATACCGAATATAGATGTAGGTATTTTCTATACTAATATAGTTTCTCTTGAACTATTGCAATCTTTTAATCTATCCAATGTCCCCTATTCGAACTACTCGACCTATTCAAACTTTTCAGCCAGGTCAGATAGGTCATAAAGCAGGCGTAGGTCGTCACACCGCTATTAGGTCAAATCCTGATGGTCATCACTCAAGTGTACACCTGCACTATCAGCTGGTATGTTCCACGGAAGAATGGAAAACTTTGTCTGATTCAACTAATTACGGCGATTGGCTATCTATCATATGTATAACTGAGGATCATGTGATGAGTAAGGAAACGTAGGGGTCACCCCGTTATAATAGCCTAGGTAGATTAGATAGGTCAGGTAGATCAGGTCGGTCAGATAGTGAAGTAGTACGAGGACTCTATAAAGCCTGCCCCAAACTGGGGGGGAGAAGGGTTTGGGTTCAGAGGTCACAATCCAGCTTTGATTTTGGGTTTAATATCTGAACGTGGCGCCGGTGATGGGAACCTAATAGGCAATCCAAGTACTCTGAGCAATCTATTATATAGGTAATCCAGACAGTTTAATTAAAAAAAAAAAAAAAAAAGGCAGATATGCTGTGTATACCAGATAGACTAGGTATTACGCATGTGGTGGTAATATCTAGTCCGTGGCCGTTAGTATCATTTATAAAAATCTCATTTTGACCAGGTGGTTCAATTTATGCTGCCGTTGAAAGGCAATACCAAGCCTGACTTGTAGTTCAATGGCTTCACAATACTATGTTGGATCCACCGTCTCAGCGCTGAAATGAATGAATGCAGACAGAGAAAGACTGCAAACATAGGGGTAACCTTCCATTCTTCCTGTGTCTTATGAGAGAAAAACAACGTTGTTCATCAATCCTCTACAGCAAATAGTTTGTTCAGGTGGACCGTTAGTTTATAATTCTGTTGCAGATTTAGACTGAAGCCACAGCCCGGAGGTCAAAGATAAAAACTTCCCAAGAAGTGACTTTAACTATAGCTGTGCCATGGAGGTGTATGTCTAGCCAAGCCAAGATCACTAATCTATAGAGAGAGGGGGGAAAGAGGGCTGAAACAGCTCCCTAGCCTAGCTGTCTTTGACAGACTAGAATCACTCACTGGAGGACAAATGACGTGGGTGGGAGGTATAATCCAATCACTTACCTAGTGCCTAGTTACTCATATGACGTTTCCCTACAGAGTCATATGATGAGGAAAGGACCATGGCAGCCTGTTTGATCTTGTTCGGCTTATTCAGGGAATCCTTGCGATGTATGCTTCGAGCACCGATATGTGTTGTAATGTTCACAGGGAGTGTCCGGACCATCATGTGGCGAAAGTCTGGTCTGAGACACGACGCCGATATTGGTAAAAGGGTGATGAACTCTGGGCGGAATGATCTGACGTTGTATGTATATTCTCTTACCAACAGTAAATCAATCTACAGATGAACTATGACTGTAGCGGATATGAGCGGGAAAGCGTTTACCCACGAGATGAACCTGTACCCAACTTGGCAGAGGGTTCTGCGAACGATCGGTCGCAAGAAATGATGATTTTCGACTGGGAGTTGCCATCAGTGCTTCAGAGATTGTCCTCCGGTACAGATGATCCAGTCGGGAGATATCCGGGTTCAAATTCTATCACTCTTTCGGCAAAGGGTGATTATGTCGAGATGATGACCTGCCAGCAGTACCGAAAAAGCTTTCACCCAGACAGGGGTGTCAAGCTAGTGGAGGTGATCATCAATGCCCTGAGCTCTCCGTCTGATATCAATGGCAGGTACTTTCACATCACGTTGCTTACACTCTGGTACTGTTACCCCACAACTAGCGGACCGAGATATAGTAATTCAGGCAATGCATGACCGACTGACCATCAGATCCTCCAAAATGGACCCTCAAGTCAAGGACATAGCAGTGTGGCTGTATCTCACATTCCGCACGCCAACAAAGGGAGGTACCGTCATGGATTCTACGGGCTCGTTCGACGGCACCCACTTCACAATGAGTAAAGCTCCCATGTCGTCCCCAGCGTGTTGGTCGAAGCTATTCGAAGACGCAGCCGTTGTCGTAATGCCCGGTAAAATCTTCTCAGGTGGGCTGTTGAAGATGAGCTTTGGTACCATGATCCAGGTTGCTGCTGTGAAATACCCTATTGGTGTAGACAAAGGATTGGTTCTCATGGGCTACTCGACGGCGTTAGTGCCGATTGACACCAACGCTAAGGGTCAGGTGATATGGCATCTTGAGGTTGCTTTCATGATAGGCAGCTTTGGGTATGTGAATTACAGGAAATAAAAGGATCCTGGCTGCAGAGAAAAACGTTAGAAGGGTTTCAGACCAAGGAAGCCTTGCTAGGCTGGTGTACATCGGCGGACGTCAGCATTGATACGGAAAGTCTCAAGGTCGATATGAGGTGGCCAGATGTCAAGGTCAGGCCTACGACGGAGCAGTTGGAAGGGGCCAATCTGCAGTTGCTGGCTCAGTCGGCGGCATTCATCCAGATCGAGATATAAACTCTAGTGAACAAGCCTGTGAACCGACTGGTCCTCCAGTCCAAGGCGCAGTATCCCGGGGATCTGAGATGCAGGGATTCAGCTAGGCTTCTAAGCTTGGTGATAACCTATCATTTCGGTATGGTATTATTGTAAACGATGGTGACAAGGGAGTCTATTGGTGAAACTTACTGCCAAAGAGTTTGATATGTTAGGGCAGAGGTAATAGAAATTTTCGCCTACGTGCCTTTTCAGGGATAACATTCATTGCAACGATAGTAATGCACCGCACAGGATACAGGTGACACTAATATGCACTCGTAATATTCGCTTGTGGCTTGGTAGTGGGGTCAGAAGCAACTGAAGTCTGAGCCGTGATGGAACTAAGACTGCTGGGGGATACCAACCGCTCAGATATTGCCATGTATCTTAGGCTCGCACGGGTCACTAGCTATAGAAAATGAGCAGTGGGATCTTGGTCCCAGGCTTATCTCTTGGCGGGGTCTGTAGTATGTATACACCATAACTGCTGATCCTTGAGAGCCAATGTGCAAATATTATTGCAAGGAGACCGGTTGAGATAATCACTGACAATAGAATCGGACTGACTCATGAGTTGATAAGCTCAGCTTTAACACTTGAATCGATTAACTGTTTCCTTGAGATTTCTTTTTTCTTTTCTTTTTCTTTTTCTTTTTTTTTTTTTTATTATCGTTGCACCGCATTTGTCGATAAATATAAAGAGTTGCAGTGTTGAAGGATCGTCCCGTGCTTTCTGCTTGTGACTAGTTGGGATGATTCTACCTAATGATAATAAGAGGAGAAGATATAGCCATATTAAATTTATTTTATCGGTATAAGAATATTAAACTAGCGACGTTCAACGGAGTAGCTTAGCGACGTCTATGGATTGGAATAATGGCGCAAATCGGTTTATTGCATCAATTCCTGTAGCATTAGGTCCCAAAACCCAATCATTAGGGGCATAGAAATCATTATGAGCTTCGATATCTATGAACGAAGGGTTAGGCAGAGCACAAACATGGCGTGTGCCCTGCACATTCCCAACATCGTGGGCATCCTGGACGGTTTCGTGAATATCCGTGTCGGTGGGGAGGCTCTTTTGATCATTATGGTCGGACTTGTCATCGCTCCTCTTTCTCTTGTGGTTTGTAGATGGAATGTGGTAGACTTGAACAAGCCTCTTATCAATGAGATTCTTGTCATCGAAATACAAACGGTGCAGTGTGGCTAGTTGATCGATCGTTGTCCGGTCAAGTGCATAACAACGGGCGCTTCCTAATATCGCGATCCCTCTTCGAATGGCAGCCATAGGATGCCCGTGCCATACCTTAGGGGTAGCAAGGACTTCAAAAGTGCTGGCAGAGCTGCACGTGGGAAACAAAAAGTCTTTCAAAAAGTACCCCCGATATAGTCCTCCGACCGCGTCGTGTGACACTACGCCTTGGGAGGCAAGATGGTCACGGTACTTCGCAATAGTCGGCACTGTTCGGTCAGATAGACCTACCCCCTGGGCACGCCGGGCCTGGTCTTCCATTTCCCACTTGATAAAAAACGCTAAGTTGGTTGGTAGGAACACCCAGCACGGGTCGGAAGAACGGTCGAAAGCACTATGACAAGACGGACAAAGCGGAATACAGTTGACCGCTGTTTTGAATGAAAATGGGAATAAGCCAGCTTGGATCCAATAAGGGGCCTTGAGGCTGGTTAGCCAATGTAGGAAATGTATGAGGATATTATACACATACTTGACCATCTTTTTGTGCAACCACGTGGGCAAATTCAGGGTCTGGGTTTGCACAGCTCCAACAAGACGCACCAGACATGCGCGCAGCCTCGAGCTTGACGGTCTCACTGAACGCGCTTGAGATATCTGTCCGAGGCTGTGAACTGTCATAGCGACGAGGGGAGCGGGAAGGGGACTCAGACGGAGGCATAAGAGCCTGGTCGTTCGATTTGCCTGCCATCATTAGCTGCTGGTGGTGGTGGTGGATGGATTTCTGGAGCTATCTCACCTCTGTAATAAACGGCTAGTAGTTAGAATAAGTTCGTATAGGGCAACAGCTATTCATCTCAAAAGCGACTGCCTCGCAAGCTGAACTGTCAAAAGGGGGAAGGAGTATTTCGATGACTATAGCTCAGATCCACGTAATTCAGTCGTAATACATTCGAACCGCTTTGTCTCTTACGTGACATTGACACCTTACTAGTCACGCGGGGTCTCTCAGATCGTAGCTCAGAGGGGAGATCAGGAGTTGACTATTCCAGATTAAGGGGCAGTGTAATGAACGGATGATAGAAACGATGAAAGGCAGGGTGAAGAGTCAAGACGCTTTTGCATATTTCGCATTCTGCCGCGTCAGAGGAACAGGGTCCGTTTCAAAGCACTATGAGCTAGCACCATTAGCGTAGTAGTGTTCATGGATATTTAGAGGTCATAATCAGAAACTCCCCCAGGCCCTGGCTAATACACTTACTATCTTTTTGTGTGGTTTACACCATTCGCATAGTCACACAACGTGATGGAAGCCCTAGCATTAGAGAGTGACAAGTTACTTATTAACAAAAATAATTCGTCTGATAGTGAATCAGCGTCGCCCATAGATTTTACCACCGACACTTAAAGATACTCCGTCTATCAAGAGCAACAACACCTCCATTCTCTTAACTATCGGTTATTACCTGCTGAGCATCTTTGTTTAGACACCAGCGAGGTAGTAAACCATTCTCTCCCCTTCTTTTAGCCTTATTCCTGGCTTCGAGCTGACCATACTTCAGATTCCTTATCTATTACTTGCCTCCGCTTAAATATGTCTTACCAGCTCCTCCTGCTATTTCTCAGGAGTACTAACTGCAGATAAATTTCCTCTTATCCCTTTTACTACTTCTGGCCGGTGCCGCCGCAATCAATATTTATTCTACAGCCGGGGAGCAGTTTACTTGTGAGCTGGAGATAGCTAGTTCCAACCTATCCAGGCTTGCTCTGCAAGCCCTCTAAAGATAGATATCTAACTGCAGCAGCATAAATACTTTTATCTCCAGAATCATATCAGTTAAAGCCCAGTACATGTAAACAATATCCCGCCGATATACACTGTTTCTATCCGACTATTAACTTTACCAGGATTGCCTTCGTTATATTCAGCCCCGAAGCCGCCAAATATATTTGCTGCGCTATATTATATAGCGATCCCATATACAAGGACTGGGCTCAGAGAATTTCGATATACCCTAGAGATTATCTTTGTAATCTTCGGTAAAGATAGTACAAATCCAGCAGTTTATTCTGGTAAGTCAGTTCACAGAATAAATCCAAGAAGCTACCCAAATATTGCTACAAGTACTCTGCAAGAAAGCAGTTTACAATTTACCAGTATCGAGACAGACGATAACTTGTCTAGCGTTGAGAAGCGGTCCTCGGATAGGCTATATCCAGTCGAGAGATTCCTTATCTGCGGCTTATATCATGCTGATCTCGGCATCGATGCGATCAATATTTGGGTCGGCTATTGGAGTAATAGCGATAACACCCTGCGGATTACCCCAGAGGATGGTCAGCGGGACACTAAGTATACTCTAGCTAGACGCTGGGATAAGCCCGGCTTTAAGATTACTTATACTACAAGAAAGACATCTCTACTTAATAAGCAGGACGCCCTGGAGATAGCTAAGTATATTAGTCTGAAATGGCAGGGTATGATACTTGGCAATGATATCTCGGATTTCATAGGGATGCCTGTGGCGGTATGGCGGGGATGTTATAAGATGTTGTTGAGTAGAGCCCAAAGCACGAAAAAGTGCCAATTGGTGTCTTAGTTACGTGGGATGGACTGGCAGGCCTTATTCCTATTCTAGATAATCGGGGTTTATAGATCGATGTGGCTATAACTATAAATGACTTCCATTTTATAGATTTATGGCTTAGTACCTTGTATTTCTTACATACGTTCTCAACAACTGGACTATTGGATTGTTGCATCTCCCAATCCCAAAGACCCTAACCATGGGGATTAGTAACCATGTATCGAAAGCTGGGGTGTCCCAGATGGCAACAAGATACCAGTGACACAAAACTTACTCAGTCAAACAGCTCGAGCAAACTGTCACTATTGAGAAAGTCCAGGAAAGTTGTGTAGGGAAAGGAAGTCCCCCCATACTGTGGCGACAGCATGATCTGTGAGCTGGGAGCTAGGAGGTTCACTGGTCCCTGCTGCGGCGGGCTGGGAATACCTTAATCCACCGCCTGCCACATCATGGCCCATCTTATGCAGCATGGTAGCTACTCGCTCGGCTGCCTTTGCAATATCGGTTGACGACCGCGGAGTGTTTTTCAGACTCAGATAGGTTTTATGAAGCAATTGGATGAGCTCCGTTCGCATATTTTCGGAGGACTGGGCGGTCTTTGGCTCATTGATTAAGTCCAGACATATTACCATTGCAGCAGTGAGGCAGTCAAAAACCCGAGCGAGATGCTCCAAACCACACCCGCTGTCTGTTTCCCCGACTACGAAGAACGTCTTGAAAGAGCTCGCACTGATACTCAAGAACGCACCGAGCAGCATCGACGCAAGCCGAACGGAAGGTCTCGTAGATGTTCGTTAGCCCACGACCTCACTCGACTTGAGGCATTGGCGACGTGGAAGGATAAATGCATTGCACTCTATCTGTTCCCATACCTCAGCAGCTATCTAGCTGATGGAGTATCGAAGACTATAGTCGGTGCAACAAAGCTCGACTGTGTGCCATTACCGCCAAGGTCATTGCAGTGTACGATGCCATTCACCAACTCTCATCCGCCTCGGGATGGCGCTATCTGGAAACGAGTCCTGTGGACGTTGCCATGGATTGGGATTTACGCTGCTGGTGAGTCACTGCACTGCCGGTGATCTTGAATACTCGACTCCATCTATATCCGTTTATTAAAGAAGAAACCTGGACAGAAGTTAATGGAGAGGTCCTTAGTTTGACCAAGCCCCTCTACCATAACCTCTTCCTCGACAAGTTGTCCAGGCCTCTCATTACCTGCTTTTTGCCCTCGATTACTGGGTCTGATCCGAATTCGCGGGTCCAAATGCTCTCATTCATGACAGACCTGGGGTCAGTTTATGGAATCTGGCTATTGGAGAGCTATCGCAACGCTCACTCCTGGACCAGCGTCCTTCTGTCAGTATAAACCGCAAACTCAATATACAATTCCAGAGCTGACCCATAGGGACCATGCAAAAGCCCCTTGACAGCAGGTACGGCATTCCAACTGAAGGGGATATGGATGATTGCTCCATTCTATTACACCCTGGAGTACTTGATCACGCCTCTATCCACTCTGCTTTCAGGCAGCAGCAGCAAGGAGATCGATGCTGTCACCACCGAATCCCTGGTCCTGTCGACCCTGGCTGGATATTACTCGACCATCTTTGCCAATTTCTTTGCACCAAGTCTTCGATCACGTCAATGGTATAATGCAGTGTGGCAAATCTTCCCAGTGACAATACCCCTCCTTCAGGTCCCCTTCTCGCTTGCGAGGCGCTGACTCTCGCCGCCTTCATCACCCAAAGATAAGATAGACAAAAAGCAACAGCAAAGAAAAAGCAGAATATCCGCTCCGCATACGGGACTTTCGCTCTAATCTCAGTTCTCACATTCATTTAAGGCCGACTTACAGCTCCACCGGGTGTCTCCAGAAGGAGACTTTTCTTTCCGGGTCTAAAGGATCATTCGGTCCCTGTTACTTACTTCTTTCAGTGACGGAATCGCAAGCTTTTTGCAGTACGATGACCTACTCTCCATGGCCAGGGCGTATGTTTGGCTTGGACTACGTTTCCGTGAGCTAAAGCAAGCAGGGGCCCGGTTTTCCTGGACTCGAGCCGCCGGGGCTTTTGTTGCGTCTGTATTGGCTCTAGGACCTGGGGCAACGTTTGCTCTGGTATGGGAGTGGCGCGAAGAGCTCTTGCACCAGGTGGCTGAGGAGCTCTGATCCATCCTCAGACTCACGTGTAACCCTCGCTGATCCTACCCCATAGGGCGGGGGTTTGATATGTAGTATATGCTAGGATAGAGGTTTCTTTTGCTTAAGTACGACAGAGGGCGGTGGTATGTACTGTATACTAGGTTTAGGGCTTCTGCCCTATAATAGACGGGAATTGTCACTACAGTTTATACCAGGTTCTTTTTTTTTAGATACTGCAAGTTTATTCCGATATACCTCTGTTCGAAGGGAAAGGCTCAGTCAAACCAGGCTATCCGGTTGTACTAGTGGTTGTCGCCCTCAAGGTTTGACCCCCATTAAGTAATAAGGAGTACGCAGGATCCATTGGGGTACTTCACTGTAAGAATATTCTTCTGCCATATAAGTATATTAGCTATGATTATATGCATTTTGGTTCCACTACTTGTGCTGTGACCTGATAGATAGAACTTCACGAGCACTCCTAAAATGTCGTTCAAATTCAACTACACTTGTTAATAAGGGACCGTATGAACACACATGGTCATAGTTGTTAGTTATCATTTCTTAGCCTAGAAGCACAAGCAGAAAAATTATCTATTACCACAAAGATATTCTTGAAAGCTTTCTAGCACGTTGTGAGGAAAGACATTGGAAGAGGCGAGTTATATATCATCCATACAATTAAGCCTATCCTCTACTCATGATCAGTCTTCATTCACATATTTCCTCCATATTAACTGTCTTTAGTTTTGAATACCGATGGAAAACATTGTAGAAAGCATTGATTGGAGATTCTGCTTCGACCGTTTTTTACATCAATTGGCCACATCCTGTGGACTAGGGCTCAGCTTCTCATATACTACATATAGATACATGACTATTATATCATTAATACAGTAAATCCACTCAATAGAGTAACTTTGAGAAACACAGATCAGTAAAACATCCAATCAACAGCAGTTGCAGAACTTTTCTGGCAGTCAATTTCCTTGGTAAATAAATTGCCATTGCCAGTACAACTGGAACGGTTCTTAATCACTTGAGTCTGGGCAAACAACAGGATTGCATGTTTCGGTGCTGGTGGAATCGACAAATTTGGCGATCTTGGCATGGAAGACAAGTGAGTATGGCCCGCCATTACTGCATGTGTAACTGCTTGACCAGCCACTACCTGAAGCAGGTGTTAAACAACCAGAGTTCTTTGTAAATTTGCCAGGGACGCAAGCATCCCCGGTTTTTGGAGGGGTTGTATGTTGGAGTTGAGCGCCTCCACAAATCACATCAGCATGTCCTTCAATGACTCCATAATCGGGCCCGACTTTGTAGACCCAGCTGACAGTGTTGCCGCTAATGGTGACGTCCACAGTGCCGATAACTGTAGTTTGGCCCAGTACCAGATCAGCGGAGAAGCTACTCGTCACACCCGTGAAATACCAGCCCCAGTGCCCACACCCAAGGTCAGTAAGAGACTTGCTCGACCGGGCGTACGCGCTGCCGACAGCGCAGGGCTTCTTAGACGTCGCGGGTGGAGGGCAGCAGCACTGTGTCTGGCAGGTAGTTGTGTCCTGACACGAGAACGCGATTGGAATATATTGGAAGAAGCTGCCCGTCCCAGTTAGAGTACCTCCCGTAATTGAGCATGTAGCCGAGGCAATGTCCACATTCAATGCAAGGTTCATATTGGCGTGACATAAATCAGAAGGAGGCGGAGAGATTTGTGATTCGAGGTAGCTGAAGGGTACAAAACACTCAACAGTGGATGCCGTTGGCTGGTCGCACCATTCCGCATGGTTATGGGTAATATCGTATAGCCCAGGAGGGCCAGAAATTGGACCGTCGTCAATAGCAAGGTGGTAGTTAGTGAGAGGCTGTTCCACATTATTGTTATCAAAGATCGGACCGGCCGAAACCTTCAAGCAATCCTCAGTCGATGTACTCAATGCGGGGAAGGTATTGCATTTAACAATCTCGAACTTTGCGGTAGACGAGTCCAATTTGTCCGTGTTAGGATCGAAACCATTCCCACACTGTATGGGTCCCGTTCCCGGAGAAACAGTTGTCACCTTAGTTGTAACTTGTTTCTCACAACACTGAATTGAGGTAGGGCAAGCTGCATCACGGGTAAACAGACCCCGGCGGGATGTTCGCTTAGTAGGGGGAGCTCCTGGGATCGGGAAGCCACCAGCGGCACAGCACTGTACTGCATCACCACCTGCAGTACAGGTATCAAGCCCAGAGACTGTAACAGCAGCAAAAAAGAATGAAAGGTTTGTAATCAGAAGAAATTTGAAGCCCATCTTGTTGAATGCACTTGAGATGGATGTTATAGGACACTAGAGAAGAAAGATTCGGAAGGTAAGTCCCAATCATTGAGCTGCTGGAAGGTAGTAAGAGGGGAATTATATATGTTGCCGTTAACAGGTGTTTTGCAATGATGAGCCACTGATACTCCAATAAAAATACAGATAAAGCTGCAATATCACGCCACATGTGGCTTCATGATCTCACGACTCAAGGCCCGTAGTAAACAGCTTGGGAAGAAAACCTAAACTTGCTATGCCTTGACTAGAGACAGGCAGCCACTGGTGTTACTATACTATGGAAATGGATAGATAGCTAGGGTCTTATGACCGGAAAAGTTAAAACCTGGAGTAGAGGTTGCTCTCTGGCCATGGACGAAGTGAGCGGAATGGGCCCAGCCCTCCTGTAGATGGGGTGTTCGGCCTGGCTAGATATCATTTTTCTTTCTGAGATGTGTTAGCCTAGATAGGCCTGTAACCAGATAAATAGCGCTAGGCTTTATACAAAGCTTATTTTAAGGCTTAATCAACACTTGCAGGAGCTTTATTGCTTCTAACCTCTTTAGATACATAAAGGCCTTTCAACGAGAAAATATCATTTCACTAGGTAATAAGGTAGTCCTACTCACGGATACTATATGCTCCGTGCAATATTGCTAACAGCAAGAACTCTGTACATAGAACAGGTGGGAGGTATAGGGTTGGCTTAGTTGTTGTGGGTTTATTCGATGTGGTTAGATAACGACATGAGATTTGCTTGATTGAATGTAAATTTTCGACTATTGTATGGCGTCTGATCTAGGCGCATGAAACAAAGGTCTGGAAGGACAGATTATTAGGTTCACACTCCTTGGGGCAACATTTAATCCGGAAGTGGTACAGTGGATTAAGTTGTTGTGGGACCGTTTGCGGATGCCTCTCCCGTGGGAGCTATGTCACTCTAGATCGAACTATAGTCTAACAGAACAAGTTCAGTGAATCTAGCATAGGACTAAATCCAAATCACCCGATTGTATGCAGTTATGGTAACGGGGTGGCAAAAGGTGGCGATATCGTACATCGCGGCTTACTTTGCTGTTTATGCCAACCGATTGCACCTAGATTATCTTTCTGTTTATAAGGGCTACTAGGGTCAGTATTATATATTTGAAATATTATATCTTTAAATGGATGGAAAATAAGATAATTCTCCAAAGAGCTTCGGCGGCACAGCTCAAGCCCAAACTCTCACGGAACAACTTGAAAAAATGTCTATCTCCTTTGAAGCCCGTAACCTAGGAGCAAAACGAGATACCAGTGTGCTGGGAAGGTGTTACAGGGGATCGCTGAACGATCATGGATTATTGACGCCATAAAGTCAACCTGGGAGCGCAATTCCGTGGTGCGATTTCCCGGATGGGACAACTGTCTGTCGATAGATCGAGTGCACATTCAAATCGCCTACGCACATCCACACACAAAGGGTCTTGGAAATTAGCTGGATGGGGGCCCAATGAAATGGTGGTAAATTTTAACTTTTCTACATGGGGTACTGCCTGCCAGTCCAAAAGAGAATACTGTATCAAGACAATAGCTGTGCACGAGTTCGGTCATTTTCTTGGTTTCTCTCACGGGAATAATCGACCAGATACACCACGCAGCGTCTGCACCGAAGAACCACAAGGAAATCATTGGAGATTTCATTGTGACAGTGTGGGACCTTCCCTCCGTGATGAACTACTGCAAACCCACTGGAGCGGAGATAATAGCACTTGTTACTGAAGTTGAACAAATAGTTTGTAATATCCTTAACTCATTTCCCCAAGGTGTATACACATCTCCAAACTAACTTGTTTGGAAATCAAAAAACAGTAATTCGCTCTGTACTCGACAATCTGCCGTGGCATGTTGAGAGAATAAGTGGATATATGGGGTGTCTGGAAGGCTTGGAGTTTGATGGACTGGACACGCTGATCTCCTTCATACATATCGTGAGAAACACGAGCCTGCGTTTGCAAAGATGCCTTTGCCAGAGTTTGACGAGATAATAGAGTGGATGATGCAGAGACTTCTTTCAATCGACCAGGAGCGTCTTACAGTGAATATGGACAAGTTCAAGGCAAGGGACAACAACCAGGAAGGCGGAACCTCTGGATTGAGCTATCACGGAGAGATCCTGCAGCGATGAAGGATGCGCAGCAAATTCTCCAGCAACTATATGAAGCACGAGATGTGATACATAGAACGTTGCAGCAGACAGGTTACTCGTACAGGGTTAGAGTGGATGAGCTGCTTGATATTTCAGAAAGGCTCGAGACAGCAAGCGGCTGAATCTAATGATATTGATCTGGTCAGTTGCCAGGGTTATTTGGATGGTGGCAGTTTCGATACCTTGAACTTAACCCAGCCAGATCTGGGGCAGATAGCGTGTGCAAAACTACCTTAGGTTCTTCGCGCATTTTTTCGGACCCTATATTCCAATGTAATCATATCCTCTGATACCATTTCTACGTGTTAATTCCAGTGGTGGTGGGGCAGCGAAAGCAAAATGTTGGCCAGAGTTCGGTTGGAGGCACGACCAAATGCCTAAGGTATTTTGGTCGAGTGGCAGCACGCCTGATACAAAATAATGTTTAGGAATTCGCCATCAGCCAGGTACTATACGGAGTATATAAAGGTCTTTCCTAATTAAAGTCTTAACTGTCAATCATTTCCACTCTTACTTAGTTTTACCTGGGCTTGGAAATTTAAATATCCATGTTCTTGGGTAGTCGAAATATATCAGTAGCTTTTCAATTTGATTCGAAGTTCTAAATTAAATGGTTTATTTGTATTTGAATTGCATGAGACTAGGCATTGTACAGGCACGGTTTATCTATGCATTCCAAGGTCATGATCGGCACTATCTCGAAAATTCATCTATGACAGTCCTGTTAATACAAATCCAATCACAATTCACACCTTAATAGGAAAGAAAAATCCAAGAAATACTTTCATCTGGAGTAGACAAGCGCCACAAGTCCCGCCTTACTCGTACACAAACCATCCAAATCAAAATCCCCACAATCTTAATGCCGTGCGGGGGTAAATGGCAGAAACTAGTGTGTACTTTCTCGCGCGGTATAAGAAATGACGAGTGTCGGTGGTACATTCTCTCCAAACCTCGCAATACGTACAAGGAGAATTGACTACGTAACTGCTGAACCAAGAGATCCTATTAACTTCGTATACAAGCATATCAAGAGCACCTGAGGTGTTAAGAGGGCCAAGGCAGCTTTCTTTCGCAGTCGGCGACTGAATCTTAACGCCGCATAACCAATCCCAATAAATCTTTTCTAGAAGCTGAGCTCTTACGTCAGGTAACTTAACTTGGTTTCCTCTTACGTAGAAGAATAGAAGCACGCGATATACGAGGGATTCATTCCAAACATCGACGTCGTCTAGAAGCCGACGAGCCGTTTTCTTCGGTCATTTGACCATCCTATCAGCTAACCCGTAGCCGTAGATTCCGAACAGCCCTAAAGCTGAGGCTCCATACATTACTCACGTCCAAGAACCATATGACTAAACGGAGGGTGATCAGCCCTGGCGGGTGACTTAGGCACCGCGATCTAGATCCTCGTCTCGAGGGATTTAATGGTTCAGCCCGATAGTGTAAGTATATAGTTACATAACAATAACCATTCAACAGTAAATAGTAAAAAGTTAAGTATACAGAATGACCTAAGAGTCGCATTGAGATTGAAATTCGACCAGGATAATTACCACAAACACCGCCATCGTCATTGATAATGTGGGTTCAACGGGCAAGACCCATAAATCCTCATAAGACCCAGATTAACCCCTATCTATATCAGATCATACTATATCGTACCATACCGGTGAACCACGAGCATACCCCACAAGGTACACACATATAGCAAAATTAACCCTTCCACGGAGAACTAAGAAAACAAAACCACCAAAAAAAAAAGAAAAGAAAAGAAAAGGCCAAGAACTGAGGTAGGCAGCTGTGTCCTGGAAAAGGGAAAGCTGTCGCGACGATAATTACCCGGTCGATATGCACCCGGATTTAGTCCGAGTCATTTTCTGGAGTTGCGTTATTTTTGTCATCGGGTTTCATTTAACCGGGGGAGGAAAAGTCACGGGGACGGCTGGCGCCGGATGAGGGCTTTAGACCATTGAAGGGGAAAGGCTTTTTGTTTTAGGGCCGAGGTGGTTGGTCGAAGACAAATTACGGGGTAGAAGGCCGGAGATCCATGTAATTGTAGTATATCTTTTGTCACGTCAATCGCCGATTGAAGACCATTTTATTTACAATGTGGAAATTGACTGATTTTATATTTATGGTATAATAATAGTAATTATAGTAATTCGCTAGTAGTAGAATTTCTAGAAAACACAATGCCCATTGTGCGGAGGAGTGGGGGAAAAACCAAATTATCTGGATCGAGTAAATAATTCCATTGCTGAATGCAGGAGCTGTCAGTGATGCCAATTTTTTCCCCGCATTTGATTTGATCGTCTGTTGTGTGTATCGAATTTACAGACAGGTCGGTCAGGTAAATTTATCCTTTTCAAGTCAACCGGATTTCATCCCCAGGGGTCAATTTTTTTCCTTGCCAAAAGTCAGAGAAGAATTGAGATTGTTTTTGTATCGTTAGATAGTAAAAGAACTCGTGATTGGAATGCCGACATGTGAATGTCGTCATGGTCGGTAACCTTCGAATCCGATTGTTCCTCGGCTGTCCAAAGAAAAAAAGCCATTCCCTCAGTCTTGTGGCATATATAAATTAAAGGAGATCGAACATCGTACGGTTTTCTGAAAGATGAACTGTTCTCTCTCTCTTTTGGATTTCGGTGTATCATTACTTTGATATCCTGCATTTGGGAAATATTTTACTATACCCTGTACTATACGCGATTACTTTCCCTATACGAGATTTATTACCAGATTACTATTATTATATGAGTTATATTTCCCCTCATTATTAGGTAACTGTTCTCCTCAATACCCCAACTTTTCTATTTTATTTTAATTCCTTAATTTGCCTCTGACGAATTCCTTTGGTGCCGTCGGGATTCCAGTCTCACCAAGAATTTATTTGCCCCGGTGAACGCAAGCAGCAAGCCGTGACCTCAGGTGGTGTGACCGGTTATTTTGTTTGATCAATTGGTTTCTTTTTGCCCTTTAAAGCCCCGTCGTCATCATGTCGCCTCCGTCCACCTCAGTTTCTTCTTCTTCCACCACCGCTCGTAATCGTCTCGCGTCACTCTCCGCTCAAGTCATGGGTTCTGCCAGCCCTTCCGTATTTTCCACGTCTGTGGTCCCTGCCGCCCCCGAGGATCCGCTCTTTGGTCTGGCGCAGGCCTTCCGCAATGACCCTTCTGATAAGAAAGTCGATCTGGTTATCGGCGCCTATCGTGATAACAACGCAAAGCCTTGGATCCTCCCCGTCGTGAAAAAGGTATTGTGGTGGAATCGCGCAGTGAGACGACGAGAACCAATTGAGCTAACCCCCATCAGGCCGGTGATCTGATTCGCAATGATCCCTCCGTTAACAACGAATACCTCCCCATCAAGGGTCTCCCTGAATTCACCTCGGCCGCCCAGAAAGTGATTTTGGGATCTGACAGCCCCGCGATCCGCGAACAAAGAGTACGCTGCACCCCGGTCCTTCGCTGGTCCCACATTCTCTTCTAACAGGTCAATTAGGTGGCCACTTTCCAAACGATCTCTGGCACAGGAGCCGTCCATCTCGGTGCCCTCTTCCTTGCCAAGTTCCACCCCGCGAACCCCAAGCCCACCATCTACCTCTCCAACCCAACCTGGGCCAACCACAACCAAATCTTCACCAATGTCGGCCTCTCCCTCGCGACCTACCCCTACTTCGACGCGAAGACGAAGGGCCTCAACTTCGACGGCATGCTGAACGGCATCCGTGAGGCCCCCGCCGGCTCCGTCATCCTCCTCCACGCCTGTGCTCACAACCCGACTGGTGTCGACCTCACTCAAGACCAATGGAAACAGCTCGCCGTCGTCATGCGCGAGCGCCGCCACTTCCCCTTCTTCGATACCGCATACCAGGGGTTCGCCTCGGGCGACCTGAACCGGGACGCCTGGGCGGTGCGATACTTCATCGAGCAGGGCTTCGAGCTGTGTGTCGCGCAGTCCTTCGCGAAGAACTTCGGTCTGTACGGTCAGCGCGCGGGCGCGTTCCATTTCGTCTCGGCGCCCGGCGTGGCTGCCAAGAACGATATCGCCAATGTCGCCAGTCAGCTGGCCATCCTGCAGCGGTCGGAGATTTCGAATCCCCCGGCATACGGTGCGCAAATCGCCAGCCGTGTTCTGAATGACGCCACCTTGTTCGCTGAGTGGGAAGAGGACCTCCGGACGATGAGTGGGCGCATTGCGGAGATGCGCAAGGGTCTGCGTGAGCGTCTAGAGGCGAAGGGCACACCTGGCACATGGAACCATGTGACGGATCAAATCGGCATGTTCAGTTTCACAGGCTTGACTGAAGCACAAGTCAAGTTGTTGCGGGAGAAGTGGCACATCTATATGGTAAGTTCACCGCTACTCATCCTCGGTGCCTCCGATGATTGGGCCGGGTATCCGGTCGGCATTTATGTCGGGTCTCGGAGTCGGGCCACCAGGCACGATCAAGCTAACCGTCATTGCAGACCAAGAACGGACGAATCTCGATGGCCGGCCTCAACACACATAACATCGACTACTTCGCAGAGGCAGTCGACAGTGTCGTCCGGGAGACATCATAAAATTCATTTCCCTGTACCTTATTTCATTGATGCCATGTCCACTTTGTTCGTCATTCAGATAGCGGTTATATATCCCTTAAATATAGATCAAGTATCTGCATCACTCGTGAGAATTAATAATGTAGTATAAGTACAGTATGGGAAATGACACCCCCATCAGGCAACCATCTTCATCCCCACTCCCCAGATTAGAATAGATCTAGAAGATAAGATCCCAAACAATCAACGAGGTACACAACCCAACCGTCCCCCAGAACACCGCCTGCGCCGCACTCCGCCGCTCACTCGCTCTCTTTAATTCCTTATTCCCGCGCCCGATATTCGTCTGCGTCGACGCCGCATCCGTGACGAGTTGACTAATATACTCCTCCTGTGTACCAAGATGCGACACCAGCGTCTGCTGCAGCGACGAGATCTCCAAAAGCGACTTCTCCGCATTCCTACTCAACGTTAGCCCAGTTCCACCTCCACAAAACCAACACCTAAAAACACATGGCTGGAGAAAGTGGTGGAGAAACATACTGAACCTTACTCAAGGTATCCTCATAATACCTAACCATGGCATCATTCTCGGCCTCAAAGAGCTGCAACTGCTCCGCCGACAGCTCCTCCTCAATGGCCCTCACCTCACTCTCATCCATCCCAGCCCCTTTCAAACCTACCGTATCATCCACCCCAAACGCACCCCCCGCACCACTGTTAGCACCATTATCCCCAACAGCAGAAATACGAGTATTCGAACCCCCAGAACCACCCTTAAAAAGTACACTCCTCTCCCTCTCACTAACCCTCTCAATCCTCCTCTCCACCAACCCCCTCTGCAAAGACACCACATCCTCCAACCCCCTCCTCAAAAACCAAATCACACTCCCCCTAACAACCTGCAAAACCCTCACCCCTTCTTCTTCCCTAACCTGCTCCTCACTCTTTCCCTCCTCACTGTCGCCATCGCCAAGCGCCCCAGACCCGGAAGCCCATTTCGCAAGGACCCGTCCCGCGACCGACCGCCCGTACTTCTTCCGAAGGATACTCGTCGCCGTCTCGTGCCGGAGAGTCTCCGCGCTGGATAGTGTTGAGATGGAGTTACTTAGATCATGGAGAACGAGGGAGGTGGAGGTATCGATTTGGTCGCGGTCGGTGTCGCTTAGTGGGGACGCTGCTTCTTCTTCTCCCGACTTTGCGTTTCTGAGTTTGGGGGACGAGGGCTTGTGGCGGGGGGCTTTGGTTAAGGAGAGATATTGGGGGCGAATTTTTTGGAGGTAGGTTGTTAGGTTTGTTATGTGTTTGTTCTGTTGTGGTGTTATTCTCTTGTTAGTTGTTTGCGTTGTGGGTTGAGTTTGTTTCGGGATTTGAATTAGACATTGGAAATGGGAATTGCATTGATTGAATCCGGCGAGGAAGTATACGTACAATGCGGTAAGCTTCCTTAAGGAATTCATCAGCTGGTGAGGCCTTATTGTAAGTTTTTATTGGGATAGGCGGGGATTGGCGTTCTAGGAGGATTGCGTTGAGGGTTGGTGTCAGGTCGGTCATTTTCCTCTTTCCCTTCTCTTCCTCTTCTCTCTCTGCTCTCTTTGCTTTTTTCTTTTTTCTTTTTGGGTCGGGGGTTTAGTGGAGGTGGAGGTTGTTTTGCGGCCTGAGTTGGACAATTGATTATGGAGTCCGAGTTGGAGATGGTGTTGTTGTATGTAGAGTAGATAGCTGGCCGGTTGTTATCTGGGTCCCGTGATTTCAGGGCTAAGTATGTATTTATGGTATTAGTTATACATTGCTTAGTTATCCGTACACCTGTAATCGATCAATTAATCCAATATAATTAATACTCTCTATTTAATCTTATAAACAGTAGTACATTATTATAGACCTATAAGGTTCTGTATAAAGGATGATTGGAAGATCTAGGCTATAGGATTTAAATAACCTTTAAGCCTATTATGGAGGGCGCAAATTAAGGGCAAACTGGCTCTAGGCATACCGTTTACAGCAAGCCAACGTGACTTTTAACGTCCGCAGCTCTGGCACTGGCTCTGCCAGTTCTTCCACCTTCTCTTTCTTGAATTTCTTCTTCTTACCTTTCGTCTCCTTACATTTGATCCTGTTGTAGGGAGCACTGATTCCCCGACCAACTCCTCAGCTTGTGTCCTTCGAATACCACAACCACAAGTTTATATCTTTCCCCATACTCCCGATAACCTGTATCGCGGGAGAAACAAACCCCGGTGTTACTACCTGAAGTCCAGTCCTCGCCCCATTCGAAGCTGAGCGTTGAGCTTCAAGGTTCTGCAGGAACCTCGAGGTTGACGGCCACTTCTGCAGCACCCTCTTCAGCAACATCCTCCTCAGGGGTGACCTGTCTAGACAGTACCTCAAAGGAGATTCTCATAACCCCATTCTCATCACGGCTTTGTCAAGAACAGGATGGGTCTTTGCAAACAACATGATAGAACTCTTCGTGTTGAGAGGATGTTTTTGTTGAATGAGATATCTATCTAAGTTCACACATGTCTTCGTGAACAGCCGGGCAATCACGAAAGACTGCATTTCCTGCGACAATTTTTGGTTTCTCGCTACTTGTGGAAACAAGCACCAAGCTGGCACATTATTATGATCATGTTCGAAGCACAGATCTGAGAGACAGCCTGAACTTTACGACTGGGAGGCTCCGTATGGAATTCAATGATGCAACTGTCTCCATGCATCGGGGTGATGGCTAGTAAGTACTAGTAATAACTCATTCACGCAGTACCCATTTATGAGAACTGTCCAGACATTGAACACCAGTCCCAGAGCACTCCAAACAGATATCAAAATCGTCACTATTGCAAATTGTGCAATGGTAATAAGCGCTGCCATCCGAAATCCGTCGAGTGCAAACATCACAGTACCTTGACAGCTTACCGGACTTGACTGGGCTGCCTTTCACACTGAGGTCCGTGTGACGGATTTGAGTGCCCCTTTTCTCAGCGTACTGGAGTACTAGCTCAATGACTCCAGTGTTCCCGCTCTTTATTGCCCACCAATCTAAGGTCCGACCCAAGCCGTCCTTGGCGTTGATGTCGACGTCTTCGAAAGCAAGCAAACGCTCTACAGCATTCTCGTGCCCGTTTCTTGCCGCCGCAAACAGCGGTGTTGTGTTGTAACGGTCTTTAGAATTCACCACGAGCTTATGGGAAAGCAGTAGTTGCACCACTTCGCCATGTCCAAACGCGGCAGCATGGAAGAGTGGCGTGCGACCAATGTTATCTTCAGCATTGATGTCAATTTTTGGATTGTCGAGAAGCAGCTTTACCACTCCATCATGTCCTTCATGTGAGGCAGAGATTAATGGTGTCCATCCTTCATTGTTTGCAGTCGTTATGTCAGCTCCATTGTCCAGGAGCAGCTGCGCCACCTCGACATGCCCACGGCCTGAGGCCATGTTTAGTGGCGTCGATCCATATGAGCTTGTGCAGTTAGTTTCAGCTCCGCTGTCAATCAGCAGCTTAACCACATCTATGTGGCCTTTTTGAGAAGACACATGTAATGCTGTCAGTCGACTCCCGTCTGCAGCGCCCACGTCTGCATCATTCTCAAGTAAGAGTTTAACTACTCTGGCATGGCCGTTCAAGGAGGCTGTGTATAACGACAGTCCGCTGCTTTCGTCACTTTTGCCATTATCGTCGTTTTTGCTGTTATCGTCGTTGTCGTCATTATTCTCGTTGTCATCGTTGTCATCGTCACTATCGTCACTATCGTCGTCAGTTTGTTGTGAGGCTGTTGGTGTCCTTGAGTCAACAATTTCCCGATCTGTCATGTTTACACCCCGTGTACTGTCTGCGAAGTGGAACTCATCGTACTGAACGCTGCCCAGAGCGCGGCGCAGGTCAGAAGCGGGCAGAAGCATCTTGAACATGGCTTCTCGCAACTTGGCTTGAGCGAAGGCAATGACACACAGTGTGAATGGCACCTCAACCCTCCGTTGCCTGTAGTTAGATTCAATGATGCTGGGTAAAACTGCTTGGAAATCGAAAAAGTATGACATCTCAGGTTCAATCCGACCGTCAGCAAATTCTTCTGCTGGAAACGTGACCGTATTGACCGTTAAGTTTACAATTGCTGATGGCAGTTGATCCAGCGGCTTGAGGGGATTCGGCGGCTCACTGACAGAAGAGTCTATTTGCACTCCATCTTCCGCGGAATGAGCAAGCCAGCCACGGAGTATCCGCGAAGGCAAGGAAGAATACTCCAAACAAAGGATGCTGACAACCAACACAAACGCGCTCTTGTCACCGCAAACCCCACGAAGGTCTTTATCGAGGCGGTACCATTCCGCGCTTGTTCTGCGAGAGAAAGGAATCATGATTGGCAGGTTGCCCTTCATGACAATGTTATCATCAGCACTGACCGACTCGATCGACTCGCCGAGGCTTTGGCCGCCTGGGAGCTTCTTTATGACCTTGGCGGCCGCCGATATAGCAGTAGATAAACTTCCTGCACATGATAGATTTTCCCGAAGGAAGTTGTCCTCGTCCTGGAACAAAAAGCTGTGGGGGCTCCAGGGCATGGTCAACGCCCAGGAATAGAGACGGTAAACATCCGTTTCCTGGTACACAAGGCGACCCCACACAGTGAGCCGAGGTTCCTCTCCTTCGAGATCCCAGGGGGAATAGCCTACAAACCGTGCCAGCTTCACGACCTTTACACCCAGTCTTCGGAACAAGGTCTGTACAGACGTGTCCAAATCATCCAAAGAGGCGGGACGAAGCCGGTAGTGCAAAACTCTTCTCTGACTGTGAAAAGCTCTATTCGCGCTCAGCTTAACAAAGCCACCATCGGCAGTAGGTAACCAGCCAAGATATAACGCCACCAGCGATGTCAGTGATATGTCATCGTAATGGAGGTGTAAAGGGGTTATCGAAGAATGGCCATGAAAGTAAACGGTTGGTTTCGTCGTATTATTCCCTGCCCTTTTGGTTATCAAAATCGCTCCAGTCGTTCCGTAAAGGCGAGCATAGTTTTTCAAGGATGCTTGGGACAACGCGGTTGGGATATTGTCGATTTGGCCTATAGGAGCGCCGCGGTCCTTTCGATTGGCATATCGTCCCAGCAGGCCGATGATGAATATCCAATCCTTTTGGACGGGAAGAAAGGACTCCGAATTCTCGAAGAAGAGGGTATCACCATATTCCAGGGCGAAGCCGTAATTACGGAGGACATTGCTAAACATAATCCACCCTGTTGTAGAGGGTGACTGACTTTTTTTCTTATTGCGGCTTTTGGGATTTGTGGGTTTGAAGTTCGGGATCTGAGGCGGAGTTGTCAAAATTGGAACGTTGACTCGACGAAATGCACGTTTTCTGTTCCAGGCGCGGATACCACGGCCGACATAAAGGTGAACCCTATCGTCGACCGCATTTAGAGCGATGCTACGCTGGTCTCGGAGGTTGAAAAAGACAAGCAACGGGCCAACAATGCCGACCAGCGCGAGAATAGCCACGAAAACGGCAGCCCAAGTTCCAATAATACCCGCAAGATCCAGAGAGTCAGGCATGTTGAACGCAGCTAGCCCATCCCTGTTGGGCGTGGTTGCAAGTTTCTACGGTTGATCGGAGGGAAGTTGGCACAAAATAGAGAACTATGTGACTATCGATTGATGAGCGAACTCGTCGACGTAAACTGGAGTCTAAATGCACGATACCAACGCGATTACACCTGTGACAAGAGTACAGCTCGAAAAGGTCATGCAAGCCCCTCACTAATGGAATATCAAATATTCCACACCGAAGGTACCAGCAATATCTTAAAGTCTACGGATGTACTTGTTCAAAGTGGCGTTCTGAACACGAGTGATCCGTGCCCAAGCGTGATTTGGCGCCGAAATCCCAGATACCCCTCCAGTCAACAGAGCTCCCGAGCAGAAGAGGTTGCGTATCATGCCTACTAAGACTTTGCTATAGTCTCTATAGAGTGTGGCCATGCAAATAAACTTAGGGTGGGCTACTTTGGTAGGGTTATAGGGCTTATGAATTCCAAGGGCTTCAGCTGAAGTAATGGTACATACGAACTACGAAGCATGGCATGGGTTTATTGTCGGGAACGGCCCGGGCCTTAAAAGGTAGGCAGTCAAGGTTCCACCAGTGAGTGGTCTTGATCTACCGGGTACAAACGCGGGTGCTTTTCCTTCAGTAAGACTCAACCCTAAGATCATGTGATTGCGCAGTGACAGAAGATAAAATATTTTCTTAGCTACTGGGTTCTGAGGGGGCATAAGCTTGGGAAATCAGTCGTACCGTACCTCAATCTATAGATAACAAGCAGCACATTAATAGAACTATATCCCAACATCTTCTTACGGACTTCAATAAGACGGATTACACATAGGAGGGTTATAGAAAAGGGCACCACTCACTACTCTCCTTAACCGGATAGAAGAGAAATGGTTACAGTAGGCCTAACCCTTCAATTTCTCATCTATGTATCCCCTTTGCTGCTTTTCTAACTCAACATTAAGGGTATCTCTTAGCCTAAAATCCTACATTGTTGTATTGGCATATTACAACGCGAGTGTTCTGTATTCATCCAATTCGCCATACAAAACATAAGGGGGCAAGTGGACGCTGAATTGGCCTCTGACTCCAATGGCAAAAATGCCATCTCCTCAACCTGAACGCGGACATTGACTTGAGGATATAGTAGCGGCCTCTGCGGTGTCGGTTGCGGGCGTCTAGGCTGCCTTGATAACGGCTGATAAAGGATGTTAGCCTCTGTAAATCAATTGTGCAGAGTTAAGAAAATCTCAGGCCACATACCGCAAGCCAAGCGGGCCCCTGAATTACCATTTGTTTTTGAACTTTCGTTGCCTCCTCTACCCAGATCGTCTTTACCTGCGTGAATAACTATCGATCTCTATTTCCTCCATATTAGCTAAAATGGGTAATGAGATATAGGATCTAGAATCTTACTTACATCCATCACAGAGTACGGACCATCAAGCTTAGCAACATGATCCGTTAGACTAAGCAAATACGGGTCACTAGTAACGTTAATATTTCCAAAGTCACCAACGTGGCGCACTGTATCATTGGGTGCTCCGTGGGTCTGGTTGGTTGGATTGTCTAGTTATATTGATTCAAGAATCAGTAAGTGATCCCGACATGCTCTTACTTTTCTTCTTTCTGCAGCCATTGAAGAGGGTTTAGATCGGTGACAGACATACAGTGACCACCTGCGTCAAGACATCCATTGCCTGTTTTTCCAAACTCATGAATATGTATTCCATGGGCTCCAAGCGGGATATTGCTCAATTGGCCCTCAATCATCAGAGTTCCGTCTTCGGACTGCTCTAAGACTAGAGTCCCTTGAACTGAACCTTCGAGTTCCGCGGCTTGTTAATCGATGAAGTTAGCATTCATCAGATATAGAGCTACGGTAGAGGGGACTATTATAGAAAGAAGACGAGGAGCCACATCCCATAGATAAGAAAAGATTCTTATCCAACAATGCACACCAGCGGGGACATGATAAGTTCTTTGGAGGAAGACATACTAGCGCGCAGGAGGTGGGATGACCTGGCCAGGACAGCAGGCAATATGTAAAAGATAAGAAATCGCATATTGAAGATGGATTTATATTATAATTATAAGTTATAAAGTTGGAAAATAACAAATATAAATTTGGGTGAGAGAGAGAGAGATAGTGATTGCTTGGAGGAAAGATTGGGCTTTTGGTATCAGGGTGGAAGGGAACCTTTTATAATAGCCACTGATCAATTATCGGCGATCGTATGGAGTAGTAGCTCTTCCTCGTATTTTTGGCTGGTACTGTATGGATATTACCCAAGGTTCTGATAGTTGTAGTGAGTCTGATGTTAATGGATTTACACGTCAAGATTACAGTTTGTTTTTAGTTGAAGGTAACCACTAGTTCGTATGATCCTCGTGCCACTGCATGCTGATCTTTAAACTATCTAATGGGGCCCTAGCATAAATATAATACGTCCCAAAATGATGTCATGGCTGATTTAGGAAACAGTCAGTGGAAGATTTAAGGTTTTTGCGAGACACTCTTGACGTGTGCCGATTGACTACGCGCAAGTCAAATCTGCTCGTGCGAAAATTAGTATGTAAGGACACAGTAAGCCAGGCCAAAGAACATCCGCTGTAAGTGAAGCTTTGTCGATCTTCCAATGTGGAGATCGATAGCTTGGATTTCGGACCATAGGATGGGATATTAGGAATGCCATTGATATGTTATGTGGACTAACAGAGTTCAATAGTTTCCACCCCACCGCCAGTTTATTGAAGGGCAGCGGCTGATTGGTGGAATTCCTCATTATTCTCCTTCCCGACTACCAAGACAGTGTATAAAATATACAGGCACACTGATTAGACCAACGACTGCTTTGTGGCGGAACTAGCCTGTGTATATCAGTTGACCGATAAAACTTGAAGGCATAAAATCCTTTTTTTTTCTCAAAAAAAAAAAAAAAAAAAGCCTCTTAGTTTGGGGTGGATACCGCGCAGGAATACGTTCCAGTCTCAAGTCCTCCGCCCATAGTATTGCAAAGCCGTGATCAAGCGTTGTGGAATCGACGACATATCTTGGTACTAACAAACAAGATTTGTGATGGCAAGAATCGCCCGATCTACGTGCTGGCTGATGCTCATCTACTAACCAATAGCTCTGCTGGGCTTACCCCAGACTTGCTCCCTGTGGCTATTATGAACAACTTTTCTATGTATGGGGCTGGCTATATGTATGCGATAGAGCTGTGAAGTTAGAAACAAGCCCGGCTATAGTGTAAACCTTTTTTCTTTGTAGAACTCTCCGCTTTCAGTCATGACAGGGCTGGAAGGAGTTTCTGTTCAAAGCGAAACTTTGAATCTATTAATAATTACCATCGTTTGTCCCTGCCCCAAGACATCCAGTGGTCATACCTTGCTATAGTATATCTTAATCCCACTCGACCAATATGCCAATGGCATTAGGATGGCTCCTTGAACACGATATCTCTAACAAGGCATGTAGGCACATAGACCTCTACTCCCTTATACATATACTCTTCAATTTAAGGTATATTTCCTATGTTATACTTACTCTGCATTTATCCTTTACATTATTCAACTACCCCCTCTCTACTGTATTACATGACGCCTATGATATTCAGGAAAGTTTGTGGTGACTTGAACTGTTTGGTTGATTGATCCCGTGCTCATATTGTAATATAAACCCAGAACCTTCTTGATTAATATGAAGATAACTATCAGTCTCCCTCCGAATTAGGGTATGTCACTTGAGTATAAAAGAGCCCCTTAATTCTTTATATCTAAAAGATTTATCACCTATTCTGCGAAAGACCTTTGCTTCTCCAATGACTCTGTAAGATTCCCTTTCTTTCCGTAAGACCATAAGTGGTTCACAGCCATGTATTGCACACAATACATCGTTCATGCACGCGCTTTGAGGGACTATTGCTAAGTCTTCTGTAGTGGGATCTTTTTCTGGGAGTATACTGCGGTGCTGCTGATGGAGAAATGAGCCATCATAGCGGAACGTACAGGGTTGTCGTGAGTGTAGGTATTGTGCAAACTCATGAAAGCTGTACATAAGGTCTGAGTCACTCATCAGTATTGACTTAAATCTGCTCAATTCATATTCGCTGTCCAGGATGGCTAGGAGAGAGTCGTGACCAGGTAGACATGCGACATCGTCATTGTCATTTAGAACAACCTTAAGCAATTCAACATCGTCGATAAATCGTGATATGATGAAGTAAATGCATTCGCAGGCATATTCCCACTCGGTATTAATTCTTCATCTTTAAAGTCGATATCCTCGAAGGGTCGCGAGGCAAGGGGGTTTCTGAAAACTGTCGTGCAAATTTGGCCAATCATCACTCCTTTCACTTCCAGTCGTTTTCCATCCTTGGAAAATTTCGCGATTGGTTCATCATTGCTAAGGTATATAGGATCGCCAGAAAACTCTGGAAGTATAGGATCATTCAAGAATTCAACTCCAAAAAAAGGGCACCAAGACGGTAGATTATATTGCCACAAATCCACGGGCCTCATCTGTCGACCTCTGAGGGTGATGATGTGCAGACTCCTTGTTTCCTTGATAATACCCTGAGCTGCCTGGCAAATTATTTCCTCCGGCTCTTTCTTGACGTTGACTTCGATGTAGCTCTTAATCTCCTCGGGAAATAAGTTATAAAAGGCATAGATATGATCTTGTGGGTATGAGCATCGGCTATCTAGAAACCCGTCAAGAAATCCATTTGTAGACAATGTTGACCCCGTCTTTAGGAGTTGTTGGAATCGTGGATGCCATCTAGTGCTGGGGCTGAGCGCAGCATAACGATCTGGACCTCCTGGAGATAGTTTCATAACCACGGGCCAACCCGCCAAACCGTCTAAAAGAGTTTGTAAGGCCGAAAATGAGACTTCATCGGTGCTGCATTGGATCCTGCGGTCACGACCAAGTATGAGTTCCTGGACAATCCAAGCACGAGACCAGTATTCTCTGGCGAGGAACGTATATGTTGCGTCTTTAATAGAAGCAAGGTCTTCGGATCCCAAACGCATCAGTATATAGCCTATATTAACTTGTCGTTCCAGTCCTTGGAGGACTTTGAAAAGCAATCGGCTAGAAGCGTCATGGTCGCCTAGAAAGGCGACGACTTTCTCGGCCTCTTTATAAATATCCCCGATCAATGGAATTTGCACTCTTTTTTCGTCCTCGTCGCATTGATTGATACACAGCGCATCAATCCAAAATACTACAGCTTTATCGCCTCGTCTCAGCTGTCTAAGAGTCTTTGCTAGGTTTTTCCTGATATCAAAATTTTCCCCGTTGAGGCGGATCTGTTCGGGGTTATGGTCACTTCCCCAGACATGAGACAAGGCATAATATGGTGGAGGTGAATCTGCGAGCGTTGCCAATCGAATATCGCATCTGATATGATCCGAGTATGACCCGGGATGGATAATGATAAGGCGAATGCCCTTTTCCGGTAGAGCCGAGAATATCTTCTTAGATACCTCCAAATTAGGCGCTGCCGGGCTTGACATAAGGCTTTCGAGTCTTGTTTCGGGCCTAATTACCGCCCTTCTTGTGATTTTTCGCTTTTCTAAAATTCGAGGATTCCAAGTACGGTACATGGACTGAAAGATATTAGCACTGTAGACACGGGTTTGTGAAACAATTGGTCATGGAAGGCTATCGGAAAAGGTTTGGAGGAAAATACCGGCACACTTTTATTCAAATCCAGTAATGAGGGACAGATACTTTTAAGAAGCATTATCTGCTTGGGAAAGGCCTCCACATTATATAAGGTAGTCGATGGCAGCAGCGAGGCTGTGCGCCGTGCGCGGTTGCTGACAGCGAATACCTACTGCAGCCTATTTCTCAGCCTGATCACTGCCACAATATCTAATCGGGCTTCTAGCATCTATGTTCAGCCCACCTGACCTGCACCGCATTATTAAGTATAGTCTAAACTAAGGATAGGATTAAGAAGGAGGCCTAGATGTACCAATAGAGTTGACACTGGAGATTAAAACACGTGCCTTTTATGAGCCTATTGATATCCAGGAAGTTCTTCTCTAGTTACACATATCTTGAACCCCTAATACAATGTATATCTACCGCAGGAAAGGTATATTTTAGTGACAGAATTTGAATATATTACACTGGGATTAAAAGGTTGGAGGATGGGTATCAGGATGGCCTTAAGGAATTAGCTACACTGATAAAAATATTCATTAGTGTAGCAGAGAAGTGCAGTAGAAGTACAGCTATTAAATTTAATAGGCTAGGGTAAGCGCTTAGTTGCTTGGAGAACAAAAAGTAGAAAGACGTTGCTATATAGCCTTTAAGTGGACCTCAATGACAATAAATAACTTGATAACTGCTCGATTCAGGACAAGAGCACTAAATAATTGCTTTAGGCTCAATCTTTCGTTGACTATCTGCGGTATTTTTAAACGCTGCAACCTTCAGGTGCCCCAACATCATGATTGACATACGCTCGCTGACAACTCAGCACACTAGCGATGCAATGAACAATATTGGATAAGAGCACGGACGGAGTAAGTACTAGTCGATGGAGCCTACAGACCCTCGTTAGTAGCTCTGGCGTCAGACTTAAATCGTTAGTATGAGTGCCTGAACCAATCATATCTAAATGTATGAAGCAACCATTCATAACACAGCCCCAGTATCTTCTGCCTTAACAGAGTCGATAGCCCTCGATATTAGTGTTTGCTTTCAAGCCTTTATACTTATTCACTATCTCATAAAATAGACTGTATTTGCCCTCTGTCCAGAGTTTTGCTATAAGCGCGAGGAGTTATAGATAATAAGTCGCAAGTTAAAGTATATTCCATTATCTTAAATATTTATCCTTAAAACAGATGGCGCTTTGACTTCAAGGTAGAATTTCATTTTACCTTTCTCCTTTCGCCTTCAAGGTAACCTATCCTTGCCTTTTGCGAATAGATCTTTAGATAAAACCATTACTGAGGTACTTCCTCGCTTGAATATAGATTCTGGAGCTTATAAGATAGCCTTACTTGAACCCAAGTATCGAACTCCATCTATGATAATAATATTGTCTCTCGGGTCAATGCACAAAATAAATAGGAATGGAGAGGTGAGGAAGAAGATAAAATAAGCTTGTTCTATACTAACTTTACCTATGTCAGGTATATAGTATCGAGCCCCCGACGACCTCACCCTCACAGCGAACATGAGGCCGATCTCAGAGCGGTCGATGGTACTGTTGAGATGATCAAGTATTTGGGGTTGCTCGGCGGACCGTTTAGACCAATTAGGGTATGCAGCACCCAGCGTGCGTATGGGTACCCTGAGTCACTTGAAGGCCATTCACATAATACACGGCTCCATTGGGGAAGGGCAAAATGACCTCACGCATCAGCCCGCCAAGGTCAATTCCTTGTTTGGCGCCATGTCCAAGGTGCTATATATTCGTCTGGCAAATGAAGAGGAAGTAATTGGCGTTTAGATGTGTACTCTGCATAATGAAATCCAGAAGAACGTTCCTAGCAGTATTTCTCTCACTCGAGATCCCCCAGCATGGGAATCCCAACTACCAGCTGGCACTCGATAGACCTCAGTGGCTATGTGGTTATGGAGGTAGAAAATGCCTTGGTCACGCTTGTTTTCATGTGGCTTGGAGCTTCAATTCGCCGTCATGGCGGCGAAGAAACTGAGAAGCGAACTAGGGATCCCGACACGAGTTGTCAGCATGCCATGCATTAGTCTGTTTTAGAAGCAACCAGAGACATATCGGAAGGTCGTTCTGTCTGATTGTCCTCGTATTGTGTCTGCGGAGGGCATACGTATCCACCATATGAGCGAGGGTCTATACAGCCTCGACTTCGAAGGATTCTTTCGGCTATTCAGGGGTTGGGCCTGCCAATTTCCAATGCTTTAGCTTGGATGGTGATAGTATTGCTCGGAGGATACAACGGCATGTACGGGGCACCTAGATCACTGCGAAAAGGTGGGTACGACTAGCATAATTTCTCATCCGGAAACTACTTTTGGTCTGGAATGAATCATGGTGGCTTTTTTATGCCAATCCGTTCTATGATCTCTTTACCTTGATATTGTCTTGAGGATGTTCAGTAACTGCTCTATCAGGTAGAATCAGTTCTACAACATGTGCCCTCTGCATAAAATCCTGATGCCAAGGATATTTAAAAGCATAAACTCATCAAATTGACTATCACGAAAGCTATCAATATATACATAAAGAGCTATTTTGTTTTTGGTTTTCCCTAATATAAAGAAGCTTGGACAGCGTGTATACATAACTCAGATCTATTTAATTAAACTGCGAAGCCGGCATATGGTTGTAAATAAACCTCGCCAAAGCCTATGGGTTGATGGGTTTGGTCTAAATCCAACTTGTTTCTTGGTAGGGTTTGTATTAACAGTCTTAAGTGAAGCCCGCCTAATATGTCGGTTAATTCGGTGTGACTGCTGATCCTACGTCAAAAGGTCAAGTGTACAGAGGGATTGCAGGGCTGTGTATTAGTTTTAGGTACTGTGATCCCCTATATAAATTCTTATTACGAATATTACTATATGAGATTCTTAATTAAACTACAGGCTCTATCGTCAATTATACAAATTAATATATTATAGATTATCAGTACTGAAAAGTATACCTTATAGAGTAGTGCGTTATTACATAAGTGCATGGCCAGAACTTCTTGTGTAGTAAATAGAGAAAGACATAATTAGGTGGATCGCAAATTTTTGAAATTTATTATCATTATTTTTTTTCATAATCTTATTATACGAGTTTGATAACCACCCGTGATGAATAGGTCCAGCCTAGATCAGACAAAGGTATGGTAGAGTCAGAGCAAACCCAGTCATCAAATAATTCCGAAATGATAGTAAAATATCTGGCCAGCATTCTTGAGAACGATTATGCAAGTTGAAGGACCAACCCTTCCTTGATCGATTTGATCATGTCCGCAGTAAGCGGATCTTTCTTAGTGAAACTTGCTCTTTTCCGCTCTGCACTAGAATAGGTGGTGATATCGAGACGATCACCACCGATGGCTGTCCTGGGGCGGCCGCCGTAAGGGGCAACTGCGTTTCTTTTGTATGCCTTGAAAGCCGTCCCCCATTTCCAGGGGTCTTTTTGGGCAGTGGGAAGTTCGACGTTCTCCTGTTCTGACAATTCTTCACCCTCAGCAATTATGTCGTCGATATTGGACGGCCCGCGCATGGTGATATTGCCTTTGCTGGCATAGGCGAGCAGATAGGAAATGAAATTCTGTCCGTGATACGACTTCGCTTTCGACTTCTCAATGTTAATGGAACCATCAGACCGCAAAGTGTTGGCTTCACCGGCAATCAACCCCATTATGAAACCGATATTGTGGACATCAGAGTGTGCCTCCAATTGGCCTTCCTTCTCGAGCTCGGAGAGCATGGCGAGGAACATCTGTTCAAGCAGGATTGAGGTTTCTTGGAAGAGATCCCCATCATCAATCCTAATGGGTTGATGAATTAGTACGCAACCTCAATCCAAGATAATGGATAAGCTTACATCACCATAGGTGAGAGAAAGTCACCACTAAGCAGCCAGGCTAGGGCTTCAATCACGGCCCACTGCTGCTGCCATTTGCCCGAGGCTTCTTCGAAATCGAGCATCATATTCTGTACGACTTCAATCGCACCATAGCCGGAGTGGTCGTTGAAAGTGTACATCGAAAAGGAATCCGGATCTCGCAAATCCAACATGATACGATAAGTGATCATTTTGTCCATTCCAGCTCTAGAGAATATCCAGGGGTGATCAGGATAGTCGGCCGCAGGCTTGAAACACCGACAGGTTTTGCCCCCGTCACACTCGGCTTCATTGTTGTCTCCATCTTCGGCGTCATCTTCGTCTTCATCTTCGTCTTCATCTTCGTCTTCATCATCGTCATCCGCGCCGGGCCGTTTGCAGATGCACACATACTCGTATACATTTGGTTTCTCTTTCAGGAACTTTTGATATGCGACGTCGGCGTTGGCGGAGGCCGAAACAGCAGACCAGCGCTTGTTTCGAGGGATGGAAGGGGTTCCTGCAGGCATCCTTGTGGTGCGGTGTGGTGTGAGTGAAAGCAAGAAGTTGAAGAAGCAATTGAGAGGTGTCGAACCTCTATAGATGGAGTAATGGCGTCGACGCGACGCGAGAAACCCGCGAGTTGAGCCGCTATCCTGAAACTGGTAGGAGCCATGCCGCACTGGGGTTAGTAGGATACCCACAGGCAGCCGGTGGCCCAATGGGAGCCGTTTCTGGTGCCGCGCTAAGCTGTCACACCAAATAAAAGTGATGTCAACGCTAATCAGTTCTCCTGGTGAAAGCATAGAATATATAAAAGATAAATAAATAAATAAAATAAAATAAAATAAAATAAAATAAAATAAAAGCCCACGAAAGACCACCCTGTTACTCTACTGAGTTGGAATAAGAGGGCATGCTAGGTATTTGCATTTATATTAATTATCCACCCGCTTTGCAGCTGGAATGCAACGTACGGATTCCCTATGGATTCCATATGGGTATTTTCACGGGTTAATTGTTCTTTGGTCTCAATAAAGAAGACGTGGAAATAGTAGAAGAGTTGGACAGTCAAATACCCTACACTACCGGATGTACGCTGAAAATTATAAAGGAGTAGAATTGGCCGACTTATAATGAAAACAACACAGTTGGAGTTTCGAAGGAAAGCACAACTGTGTGATACGTTACCATCACGCAAGGGTTTTCCATGAAACCATGCATGACGACCCCATGGAGCATCTTCATGATGGAGGCGAAGCTTCGGTTGATCCGAAAGGGCTTCCACAGCCCCACTCAGAGAAAGAGCTCAGGAAAGTTCATGAGTTCGGCGACTCATTGAAACCCTAAGCGGGTCCATAAACTTTTAACTACGTCGTAATAATGTACTGGATCCCTAGCCATTATGGTATCTCCAAAAACATAAATAGAAATAAAAAATGTCAAAACGTCAAATTCAACTTTGAAAGTGCGGTAGTTGAAGCTCTCCCGCTTTGTAGGAAGAGACCGTGCATCATCCACCGGTCAGTTCTCTAGGAGTGACCGGTGATGGTACTCTGATTTCCTCCCAAGAACACAAAACAAAGACTGCTCTATGTAAATTACCTTCACCTGCCTTTTGGTTTTATTATTATTATTATTATGAATCATTACCTTTATGACAGCACGGAAATGCAGGTAATATGTATGCTACGTCGACATCCACGGTAGGGCTAAATGACCTCATCAATCCCGTTTCGATTGCCACAACTACACATTCCAGAAAAGAAAACCACAACTGTCAAAGGTCCCTCTACACATCTATTTCAGTCAGTCAAAGCAGATATCTCGATCTACTATAATAATTGGCACTATGGGTGACGTGAGGACTGGTTAACATGTTCAGTTTTATCCAAAAAGACTGCAAGTGACAAAAGTGTGATTAGATTGGGGGATATACATCTCCGCAGCGTTAATCTTGTATCCAAGGCTTGTGCTAAGAAAGGTGATTTCAAGGTTCAACCAAAGGTTTTTTTTTCTTTTAGCTTAGGATAGATTTCTTTTAAGGTTATGGTCTGCGATCTTTAGATTCAGTGAAGAAATAAAATTTAAGTTAGAATAGTTATAATTTTTACCATGGTAAATAGAAAGTTATCACAAACAATTGAAAAAAAAAAAAAAAAAAAACCTATAGTTTTAATTGGTGGTTCTACTTATACTACTATGGTTTAACAATTGGTTGACCATAGTTATCAAAAGTTAGTATGGTGCCACCGTATTCCAAGTTGACTATACAGATAGTTACAGTTATTGGAAACCACCACGAACCAAGCCCTGGTTCGTGGTATTCCGCAATTTGACTAGCTGAATGCCTACAGATGTGGAGCCAATTACCATCATTCTATTGCAATATACAACGGGCGAAGACCATTCCTATGATCCTCGGCGTAGAGATCGAGGGAAAAAGAACAGGGTTTACCCAGCCTCAAAGTTCGTCCTCTTTCCTTGAATCCAGCCCCACATTCTGCGGTCCAGACTCTCCAGACTCGGCACGATCCGCTTTTTCATTCCCTACATCCGGGGGATCGAGATGGCCGTGCTCGGTGTCGAAGCTAACCGACCTACCCGCACCTGTCCCTAAGGTGTAAGCTTTGGTAAAGAAGCTGATCAATAATGACGCAGCGGAGAAGGCGCACAGGACGATCCATATCATTCTTAAGGCCTCCACATAGGCGTGAATAATCTTCGCTTTGCGAGGATCACTCTCTGGTAGTGCTTTTTCCACCTCGACTAGCGGTTCTGCGTCGATTCTGCCACCTTTGGTTAAGTCAAGAATCCCCAGATCGGCAGGGAGATTTTTCTCGAATATATTGTGGAAAATGCTCCCTCCGATGGCGACACCGATCGTTTGACCCAATGTGCGAAAGAAGGCGAAGAATCCAAGGGCATGGGATTGCTCGTTCTCGGCGGTGTTGGCTTGTATTGCAAGATTCATGCTGGTGAAAAGAGAGCCCATGCCGATGCCACAAACGAGGCTGATAAGAACCCATCGAAAGATGGGACAATTGGCGTTCAAAAGGTAAAGAAGGCCAACCCCAGTCGTAGTGAAGACCCAACCAGTCCAGAGCGCCCATCGGTAGCGGCCACTGATCGTCATGGCGACACCTACAAGACCTGCCGAAATACTCATTGGGCACATCATAGGGAGGAGAGCAACACCGGACATTACCGGCGAGTATCCCTTGACAGCTTGATAATAAAGTGGGAGATAATAAAACATTGCGAGCACCTTAAACCACACCTAGATCAGACAAGAAAGTCCCTCTAATAGCTGGACGGCTGACTTGTAACGTACCACTATACCATGGAAGAATGTCTGGAAGTAAATCACTTTCGCATTCCGATCACGGAAGATACTTCGAAGTAGAAAGGGCCGGGGCGCAACCCATATCTCATAAGATGTAAAGATTATGAGACCAAGCACTCCCAGGAACAATGGGACGAGAGTATGCCAACTCGACCATGGGAACATTTCCCCACCCCAGGAAACAGGGACCAAAAGGCTGGTCATGGAAGGGATAAACAGACCAAACCCTATCCAATCCACGCGGTATATGGCCTGCTTTAACTCACTAGCCCCTGATTTATGGTTGACGGTCGCATAGATGACACCAAGTGACAGGCAAGCTGGAGGTAGGTTGAGGGCAAAGATCCATCTCCAACGTCCTTGGACGAACACAATTGTGAGTAGATATCGGAGATGTATATGGAACAGGGATTCAAGTGCATACCTCTATGAGCGAGGGCACCACCCACTAGAGGACCTGACACGCTTCCTACAGCCCACATAAGGCTGATGAGCCCGAGCCATTTCCCTCGCTCTCTGAGGGGAGCCAGATCGACAATCAGGATTTCACTCAGAGTGATAAGACCGCCTCCCCCAGCCCCTTGAAGGGAGCGTGCAGCAAGCAAGACATCAAAATTACTCGCCCCGGCAGCAAGCGCAGAGCCAACTATATAGAATAAGAATGCAATCACAAACTGATAGCATTAGATTTGATACACTGTACTAAGCCCCCAGGGGGGGGCATCTTACCAGTGGCCTTCTGCCGAAAATATGAGAAAATATAGCAAATGATGGCTGGAAAACAGTGGAGCATAGTAAGAACGACGTGCCCACCCAGAATGCTTCCGTATCGCTTGCGCCAAGGTCGCCAACGATAGCCGGGAGAGCGTTGCTAACGGTAGTTGCGCTCAACGCCGACGTTAGGCATGTCAATGACAAAGCAAAAACAGAGAGCGCAAACCGTTGGCTGTCTGGTAAATGCAACATTCCTGGTAGTCAAAGCAGGCGTGCCGGCATAAAGAACTCCGAGTGCGTTGACCTCACTTACCTGATGCCGATTTCATTCGTGTGCCCGTAAGTCGTCACAGTACGTAGTAATATAGCTTTCTCTAGCGTATGTATGCTCTAATACTGATTGGGATATAATAAAGTTTAAAAGGACCCCAAAGAAACATTCTTGCAGGAGCTAGAACAAGTTTAGGTGGCACGGATGTGGAGATGAGACTTCCGGTGGAAGGTAGATCGGAGAGCGCCATGGATTGAGGCCCGAGAAACATGTCATTGTAGCTCTCATTCTATTTCCACGGATATCTCTGACCAATTACTATTCCAGCCTTCATAGTATCACGATACATGTAGCTAAGCTATGGTCGATGACCCATCTTTCCTCTTCTGAATGCGTTTTCTTCTCGCCTTACCCATTCATGGCTCTTGATCTTGCTTGATTGTTTTGTTTTGCCCCCTTACCATTCACGCTATTGGTTAAATGGAACAAAAACCTCATTCACCCATGGGTGTATCCATGGGTAAAGTGGTAGGGAGCATCACCACAGCCCGTAATTATACTGTTTGCGGCCCTAATAGTGTAGACCGGTAGAGGTTATGTTAATTATACTATACAAGTACCCGACATACCGGATCCAAGATCTATACTTCTCCAACAAGCTCAACAGGTCTATGATTCAAAAAGTTGTCAATTACCTTGGGTTAGAACAGCCTAACATGCTCTGCAGTACTGCAGTTAAAGTCAATGACTTCATTTGAGAGGACATCTCAAGCCCACACCCATGTGTTGATGCACCACACCCCAAGCCCTGGGTCTACAAAATGTGCTTCACAAGCCGTGTGGATAGGGTCTTTTCTGGAGGATCACTTTGTAGAATAGCCTGGCACATGGTGAATTGTGTATACAAAGTCCATTACCTCGTGATCTTGGTTCTTTGGCTATCGATACCACAATGATTGTGCTCTTGTGTATTGGCCTTTTAGCCATCATCTATGTTCGTACCTCCCATCTACATCCCCCCACCCCCACCCCATGTTATCAACGTCTGGTTAACGTGTAGTAATTGATATCTAGCTTCTGTTGCTGATCGTGTATCGGTTATATTTCCATCCATTGGCTAAATTCCCGGAGCCATCACTAGGAAAGATAACTGATTGGTACGCCGCCTGGTGTATGTGGAACGGTTCTGCACATACCAAACTATATGCGGAACATCAGAAATATGGCGAGCTTGTCACTTCTGGCTATCATTTCAAGTTATGCTAAAATAATAATGTAAGAAATATCATTAGATACGGCCCCCAATGCAGTATCTATATGTTCGCAGACAAGCCTATATTCTACAATGGCCAACGTCTACAAGGCTGACTCTTATGTGGTAATGAGTCTTAGCAACCAGAATCTAAACACATTTAGTTGAGTCGACAAAACGACACATGCATTCAAGCGGAGGATCCTATTCAAGGCCTTTACAGAGAATGCGCTGAAAGGAGTCCAGGGTAAAACCCTATCCCACATCAGTCCATTCTGTGATAGGCTCGCTACTTCTCCTACCAATGTCTGGGGACCCAGTATGGATGTCGCACCATTGTGTGACTACCTTGCCTTTGATGTGATCAGTAATCTCTGCTATGGGCAAAGCTTTAACATGCCAGGAGATGGTAGATATCGTTATGTACCAAAGTTGACCAAAACGCTAAGTCGCCGGACTGCAACGGTAAGCCATATGTCGACAACAAGAGCGCGATGTCTTGCCTATGACTACTAATATATACCATACAGTGCATGGCTTAATCGCAAATATTGCGGTTCAAGATCGATCACTTATTACTAGCCAGCTTTTTCAGCAGAATAAGGGATTTTTGTGCTTGGGGTTCAGCGCCAGGGGAGAGAGAGAGAGAGCCCGCCTAGGGAACAATTTTTCTACAAAAGATTGTTTCCACTATATGCTGAATGCAGTAGATCCAAAAACTGGCCAAGGCTTTACAAGTAAGGAGTTGTGGAATGAATCAGTGCTCTTGTTGCTTGCAGGTATATTACTCTTTTAGTTTAAGATCTACCCAGAGTTTCCTGGTCTGACTGAATAATATCGGGTCGGATAGTGTTGCTGCCAACCTGAGCTCAGTCCTGTTTCACCTGGCACATAACAAACAGGCTCTGCAAAAAGCTACAATTGAGATCCGTTCGTGTTTTAAACAGGTGGAAGACATTCGCCTGGGCAGTCATTTAAAATCATGTTGCTATCTATATGCGTGTATACGCGAGTCTATGCGTATTTCACCGTCAGTGGCAAATATACCACCTCGCCGTGTGTTAGCTGGAGGAATGACCGTGGATGGATATTACATGCCAGAAGGAACTATAGTCGGAACACCGATATACTCCATCCATCATGATGAGGAGTATTATCCGAGATCATTCAAATATGAGCCGGATCGATGGATAGAGGACCAAACCACAAAAGGATGACCTTCACAAAGCGCAGGCAACATTTTGCCCTTTCAGCATCGGTCCACGGTCGTGCCTGGCTAAGAACTTGGCGTGGGTCGAGCTCCCTCTTACAATCGCTCGAGTCCTATTCTTGTACGAGATCCGATTGCCGCCGAATCATTGTCAGGATGATCCGGGCTGTTGCAGCTCGGTGCCAATGGATCAGAGTCCCCAGGTTAAGTTGCGAGCATGGGTTGGGGCCGCGCGAGAGGGTCCATCGCTGCAATTTCATGCCAGGAATATTATTCAAGAATCTATAGATCTAACCTGAGAATAATTTCTTGCCTTAGTTTCTGCATAAATAGCTAGGGTTTCCTGTTGACGTCCGGGAAAAATGTCTTTTTATCACAGCATAAATGAGCATGAAAAGAAACGCCTAGTTACATACAACCTCTATCCCGAAACTCGGCAGCAGCCATCCCACAACGGGCAAAACGCGCGGTTTAACTTGGAACTGCAGTGAAACTTTATAGAATCCGTTTCTTGTTTCTGGCGCCCCGCTAATCCGATCTTCATAACAAGATACCAGAAAGAGCAAATATGATATCAGTCTATGCTACACAGTAAACATTGAGCCCTAACCAGCATCATCATTGACTGCCGTGCAAAATACAGTCGTCTTAAGGTAATTCCATCATCACAAAGGCTTCGTTTAATAGCAACAACAGCAAGCAAGGTTCTCTGAACAACAACAAGAAGAAGAAATCATGGGCTGGTTTAGCGGTATCCTATATCCCTTCTTTCACATTTACTTTTCATTGCAAACATTGACCGCGTTTAGATAACTCTGACCAGGCAGATGCCTACAACCAAGTCACTCAATCACCCCATAAAGACGAACTATCTCATGAACTCCTCGGTGCTGCCGCATCATACGAGGCGATGAAAGCATATGAAAAGCATTGCGCTGCGAATGGTACTGTGGACTCTTATCCTATCCTTCCTAGTGATGAAAGGCAATATAGGATTAACCACCGTTTGCAGGAAAAACCCGATTCCCATGCGGAAGCTAAGGAACTTATCGCCGGGTTTGCGGGAGCCTTCCTTGATAGAGTAATAGAAACAAAGGGCCTGGACTATATTGACAAGAAGAAGGCACAACGCGAGGCCCAAAACCACGTTGATGAGGTCGTGGTGGAAGATAACTATTAATTCAGATTATGTTCATCAGATTATGTTAAGATACAAAAACCGAATTGAAATAGTTCTTGATGGATGTGATATTTCACGGCTAGTTTTCCATCCTATGGCCAAGGTCTGAAGGCTGTAGGGCTAGAAAAGATTAAACCAGAGACAATGATTGAAGAACCCCGAAGGAATAAAGATCACGGAGCTCTTGACGCTCAACGGAGTAGTTTGCTATTAGTATAGTATGGTATTGTTGGCATAATATAAATGACAGATCGGGTCGATCGCGATACCTACTGTCGTGCTCTCATACTTGCATAAAACCAGAACGTCACTGATGCTAAGGGTTCCATAGTGAAAACGCGGTTCACCTTTCATGTTTTCAAGCAACTTTCGTTTCAGGGTATCTTCTCGATACGTATTCACTATTTTAAAAAATAGATATTGATAAACCAGGCATTATCAAGTATATAGCAGGTATATAAAAATATATATTCAATCTAAACATAGTTATATTTTATTTGCTCGGTATAAAAGGCAAGCTGCGAGGGACTACAGCTTCAAGTACGGGTATCTAGCGATTGACTCCTTACAGGTATACTTGAAAGATGATTGAGTATATAGCCCGGTATCTTTGCTAGGCGAGGTCATACTCGGGGTACATGGAGTTCGTCTAACTGTGTTACCCTTCAAAATCTTCATGGCGTTTTCTACAGTTTAGGGTTGTGATAAACAGTACCATCGAAAGTATTCACCATCCAAGTGGATAGCATCACAGTACTGGTACCAAAGTCACAGCACATAGCGAATTGTTATTTTAACTACTCTGCTACTCTGCTACTCAAGTTCACAGAATGTAATATAATACGATTCGATTCAATACAAACACTGAGGTGGTTTCAGCGACATACAATGAAGCACTACTAAGCGCGTTGCGAAGAGAAAACAAAAGATCAGATTACTCAGGCTGTGAGGGTTGCCGTAGGGCAGCAGACAGGGTGCGAAGTTACAACTTCTGGCCTGCGGTTCCAGGGATGGTGGCGGCGATCTGGGCGGAGCCAAGCGCTTCAATGGCGTCGTATGGCAGAGACGAAGCAGTCAGTGTGCCTTCGGGAACGGAGTTGGTAGATCCACCCAAGTCGACATCATCGACGACCGCGTAGCCAGTGTAGTCAGAGTCAGCGAAGAAAATCGCTTCGTCGGGGCAGTTCGAGAATGCGGAGCTCTGAATCAGGACCTGAGCATCCATGCGGCAGTTGACGCCCGTTCCGAGAAGGCTGTCCCAGTAGTTGTTGATGATGTGGACCGTGCCAAAGCGGATCGACGGGGCACGGCTGTTAACGTTATACCAGTGGTTGTTGGCATAGGTGATATGGAGATGACCCGAGTCCTCATCCTCGTTGCTGTCTGAGTGTCCAATCAGGGAGGCTTTCCACTAAACGAACCGTTAATAGATTATCCAGCCCCTAGCATGAATCAAGACTTACGTGGTCATGCAAGTAGGTGTTAGAAACAGTAACCCATTCAGAAGCGTGGGTGATGTCCAGAAGACCATCCAAGTCGTCCTTTCCAGCGCTCAGATCTCCCGAGAGATCGCAGTGATCGACCCACACGTTGGTAGACCCGTCAATGCCAATAGCGTCGCCGTTGTCGGCAAGAACTTGGCCGATTTTGAGGTTACGCATGATGACATTGCTGACCCGACGGATGTAGAATCCGACGCCGGTTATGGCTGTAATAGTCGTTAATGAAAACTCACGCTGAATGAAGTTTCAGGGAGAATACGCACAACTGCCAGATTCACCGTAGATGGTTTTGTCCGAAGCAACACGGATCTTGGCACTACCTTCGATGGCACCAGAGACGATAATCGTCAATGGAGTCTCGCTCTCGGCGGCCTCAGTCAAGCTAGCGAGGTCGGTGACGGTGACGGTCTCACCAGCAGCACCACCGGTGGTGCCGCCGTTCTGTGTGCAGTACCCGATGGAGCAGCCCTCTGTAGCCTGGCGACGTGACAGCTCGTTGCGGCTGTTCAGGTTGTGCGTAGGAGAGGCGATGGCAATGGTTGCCAGCGTCAAGAGGGCAGTAAACCGCATCTTGGCCGATAGAAAATAATAAAAGTTCAGTGGTGGTGAGAGTTAAGCAAGGAACCAAAGTCAAATCAAGCTATCTCCAGCTCTTGGGAACAGTGAATTGTTAGAAGAAAATGCTCTCATCGGCTGCAAGATCACATACCTTTTATATGCGAACTTGGACAATGTTTTGACGTTTTTCTTCATATTTCGTAAAGACCCAATTCCCTTCATGAGCCTGCCTCCATACACAAACTGTGTGAATGCTCCCATAAGCCAAGCAATCCATACCATATTTCCCCTCCAATGGCAGGAAGCTAGCAATGACGATCACGGCATTTGAAGTTCAATTTCCGAATTGACCACGGAGCGCAACCTGAGAACTCTGAAAAGCAATTCAGATTGAAAGCTATATATTAAAATATTGGGCGAGAACAGAAGATCAGCACATGTACCAGACATATCATAGTAGGGTCCAGTGGTCTATTTGGTTGACATCTCTGCCGGCGCGGGCCGTGCTTCCGGGATGAGGAGGACGACGTCGTTGGAGCAAAAAAGCATCTCCGGGAGTGTTTCATGCAAATCCTGCAATGAGCAACTGCTAGGCATCGCAATAGCGAAAGTTGGGGTAATCTAACAAAGCCAAGACTATTAATATTAGTATATGGAAACAGGGATTAAATTGATCACTGATTGTGTCACGGGTTAGAAGCATGCCCTCATTCTATGGGAAATTATAGTGCTATCCCTGATCACCTGTTTTCTCCGACTTCAAGTCCCCAAGAGCGAATGGGTTCTCAAACAGCTACGAGGACGAGTAGTATATACCATGCATGATGTGATTCGCGGGTAAACATTATTTTATGGAAGAAATGTATAGTTACAATTCATCCACGAAATGTTGTTCACCAGTCTTAGCGTTACAATTTGGTGTCTCCCGCACCACCTTAGTAAATATAAGTATGGAGGCCAGAAGGTGTGTATTACCACTTCTCTCGTAAAGACATAAGACAGTTATATCGATCTGTTATAGTCATCCAGAGCTGACCTGGAGATGATTTTCCCCGTAACTAAACTTGCCCTGCTCGCTGTTATATCAGGCGTCTACGGGCACGCCGTTGTAGAGGATCCCCCTCCTCGCAAAGTACGTAATTCTGCCATCTTTATTTCAAGACATGCTAAAAGTTTATCCAATAGACGGGTCCAGCTCATGAAGCCGCGTGCGGTTCAGCTGTCGTGGACGTCCTCGAGAGTGGTTAGTATATTCCAGATCATCTATAGGAAAGGAATGGTGACAAGGCAAGCATCAGACATTGCCGGCCCTATAGAGAACGCTGTACAGGAAACCGACACCGACTACAAATGCAATGCCTTCCTTTGCAGAGGTTATCAGTTCGAAGATAATACCGATAATGTCCAGGTTCTCAAGGCTGGCGAAGTTCTCTACTTCCACATCAACTTGATTGCCGGTCACCATCCCGGTTACGCTGTAAGCTCCCGCCCTTTCTCCCAGCTCCTGAAGTTCAATGGCTTATACGTAAGGAAGAACGTATCGATCGTTAACACGGCCACAAACGAGATCATCGGCGAGCCGCTCCGCTCTTGGGATAACTGGCCAGACCATCTCTCGGGCCCACCCCGTGATGATAGTACGTACTGTTTTGCCCCCACGGATCAAATTTCTTCTAACCTGTCTGCCCTGTGTCTATCGGGATAGTTGACTACAACGTGACCATTCCGGGCTCTCTCGGTTCAACGTGTAGCCAGGCCGGCAATTGCGTGATACAGTGGTATTGGTATGCCAGCGGGAACAAGCAAACTTATGAAAGTTGCCATGACTTCTATGTTGAGTCCTAAGACAACGCTTGCGGCTATATATAGTGACTGTTTCATTATTGGATGGCTAGGGACAATGGCCATTTTCCTCGCTTATTCGTAGCTAAGAATTGCTTTCACGTTTAGTGGCACGCCGGAGAGAGATCTTGTAGATAATAAACAGTTGCTCAGCGTATTTAAATAATTAATAAGATTGAATGCCCTTTAAGTTTCTATGAAATCACATGTCAAGACA